CGCTGGCCACGTGACCCAGAAGTGTCTCCGGACAGCGCTGGCCCCCGGCCTCTTAAGTGAGATGGGCGCATAACCCTAGAGTCGGACACGACTGGCCCGTACGGGCAGGGGTACCTTTACCTTTACCTCCGGTTACAGACGTTTCAGGTTACAGACGCTTCAGGTTACAGACTCCGCTAACCCAGAAATAGTACCTCAGGCTAAGAACTTTGCTTCGGGATGAGAACAGAAATCGTGCTCCGACAGCGCGGCAGCAGCAGGAGGTCCCATTAGCTAAAGTGGTGCTTCAGGTTAAGAACAGTTTCAGGTTAAGAACGGACCTCCAGAACGAATTAAGTACTTAACCCGAGGTACCACTGTAGTTCGAATCGGGGGAAATAAAGACAGTAAATGGACAAAAGGACAAGGATTGGCAAAATGTTTTGGGGTATGCGTACCCCTGGGGGGAAAAGCACTGTGTAAATTCAATAAATAATTTCCCCATACACCCTAGAAACGCAATGGCACATCCAAGAATACTCAGATGGGGAAATACGAGGCGACTGCAAAATGTCTTTGATCGTGATTACAAATTAACGGCTCCCTCTTTCCTTGGGAAGCAAGTGATGGACCCAGGGATGGAGGCAGTGGGGTGGGATAGGGGGAGAAGCCCCCCCCCCGACAACAGGGTGGCCAAAAAAGTACGGGAGGCCAGCCCGGCCCCCCGCCGGTTGGTGTTTTGGCAAGCCGGGCACCCGCTGAGAATTCGGAGCGGGATGGCAAGGCGCCCGCTGTTTTCTGCCCTGGTCTCGCACGGACTGTTGGCAAGCCAAACAGATGTTCGCGATCGGGGAACAGGATCCGAGCCACATTCCTTGGCCATGATGCCATGACGTTCCCGGACGGGCCTTTCGCCACCTCGGAAGACGGATGAGGGCGGCCGAGCTGTCACCACGGGCCTGGTGAAAAATGGGGGAACCAGGCACGGTGACATCATCGCCCGGGGTGTTGAAGCGACGGGGCACCTGGCATCCACATGACATCACTTTGCACTCTAGTAAAGCAGACCGTCTCATTTGTCAGCGCCGAAATGGTATCGAGCGTCGGAACGACTTGGCCACAATAAGGAAATTTTGCCCGTGGTACAACTATTTTCCACCTTCCCGTTTCAACTCTCCAGCTCCCTATCTGCATAACCTGTTGTTGTTGTTGTTTAGTCGTTTAGTCGTGTCCGACTCTTCGTGACCCCCTGGACCAGAGCACGCCAGGCCCTCCTGCCTTCCACTGCCTCTCACAGTTTGGTCAAACTCATGCTGGTAGCTTCGAGAACACTGTCCCTCCATCTCGTCCTCTGTCGTCCCCTTCTCCTTGGGCCCTCCATCTTTCCCAACATCAGGGTCTTTTCCAGGGAGTCTTCTCTTCTCATGAGGTGGCCAAAGTCTTGGAGCCTCAGCTTCAGGATCTGTCCTTCCAGTGAGCACTCAGGGCTGATTTCCTTCCAAATGGAGAGGTTTGATCTTCTTGCAGTCCATGGGACTCTCAAGAGTCTCCTCCAGCACCAGAATTCAAAAGCATCCATTCTTCGGCGATCAGCCTTCTTGATGGTCCAGCTCTCACTTCCATACATCACTACTGGGAAAACTAGAGCTTTAACTATACAGACCTTTGATGGCAAGGTGATGTCTCTGCTTTTTAAGATGCTGTCTAGGTTTGTCATTGCTTTTCTGCATAACCCAGCAATTCTAAAATATAGCCGTGCTTTGACTCTCGCAAGATCGAATGTCTTGCCCTCGGCTGGACTTGAGGGACGATTCCAATAGATTCCCTGTGGAGACGGCAGTCCCGAATCGGTGGCGCATGCCCTTCTGCCTTGCCCTCTTTATAAAGACTTGAGGAATGAGATTATCACCCCTCTTTTATTGTCCATTCCGGGTCGCCCAGCCACTGCCACCGTGTCCTTTCTCTGGGCAGATCAAGATGAGCAGGTGACAGCAAAGGTGGCAAGGTTTTTCGCTGGGGCAATCGGAATAAGATCCACTGTTTGACTACTGATTCAAAACCCTAACGTGTATTGTATATAATTGACTTTTTATTTCTATTCTTTTTATATCGTATTGTTGTTTTATTGCTATGGCTGATGCAAATAAAGATTGATTCATTCATTCACTTAGAGGGGTTAAGACCACCGGAAGTGTCCTGAGGCTGGCTCAGGCCAGGCGGTTCAGTGTTCTCACCGCGGCCGAATGCCCCAAAGAACTTAGGAATACAGATGAGGCTTGTCATCAGCACCCAGAAAGAACAAGCCAGGTTGCAAGAGCTGCAGCTAAGTGAGAGAGTCCTAATGGGTGGGCCTTTCCTCCACCCCCTAACCTATATGCAAGGTTAATAATAATAATAATAATAAATTTATTTATTTATACCCTGCCCATCTGGCTGGGCTTCCCCAGCCACTCTGGGCAGCTCCCAACAGAATATTAAAAGCACAACAGAACATTCAACATTAAAAACTTCCCTGAACAGGGCTGCCTTCAGATGCCTTCTAAAAGTCAGATTGTTGTTTATTTCCTTGACATCTGACGGGAGGGCATTCCACAGGGCGGGCGCCACCACCGAGAAGGCCCTCTGCAAAACTGGCATGCCTCGTCTCTTGCATTTATTTATTTTTTAAAAATAGAAATGTGTTTTCTTAAAAAGAGGAAGGTATTCTCCCTCTTGTGTGGGGCAGAAAATGGGGGGTAACGTCCCATCCTAAGACAGACTTTTAAACCGATGCTTGAGGTTAGCGCATGCATGCAGAATCTAAAAGCTTAAAAATTACTTTCCTCTCTCGGTGCCACAAAATTCTCCACCACGCATCCCCAATATGCAAAGGATGGATTTAGAATTTTAGATGCATATGTTGCGACACCCCGAGGCAAGTTTGGCACCTTTCCTTGCATCCCCATCTTGCGTTGGCCATAAAACATCAGAGGTGGCGTCTAATGAATCGTTAAAATCCACATGGATTCCTATATTAAAATCGAGAACAAAGAAAGCCCCTTCTGCCTTCTGCGAGGCAGAAGCTCTGCCTCTGAGCCAATGAGTTTGCGTTCTTGTTTATTTCCAAACAGCTCTGTTGGTTAAAGCTTGCTGCCGATTGCGCCCAGGTTGCAGGTTCGATTCCCATATGGCACAGCCGCATATTCCTGCATTAGAGGATAGGTAAAGGGACCCCCATCATCCCTGACCACTGGTCCTGTTAGCTAGGGATGATGGGAGTTGTAGTCCCAAAACATCTGGAGGGCCAAGTTTGCCTATGCCTGTATTAGGTCCATCAATTACCATATAGCATATATTCGACACAAAAAACAGCGGCAATTTGTTGTTGACAAAGGACAGCTGGACATATTCCTTTAATTTGGGCGGGGGTTAGGGTTAAAAGGGTAAAGGGACCCCTGACCGTTAGGTCCAGCTGTGGCCGACTCTGGGGTTGCGGCGCTCATCTCGCTTTACTGGCTGAGGGAGCCGGCGCACAGCTCATGTGGCCAGCATGACTAAGCCACTTCTGGCGAACCAGAGCAGCGCACGGAAACGCCGTTTACCTTCCCGCCGGAGCGGTACCTATTTATCTACTTGCACTTTGACGTGCTTTCAAACTGCTAGGTGGGCAGGAGCAGGGACCGAGCAACGGGAGCTCACCCCGTCATTGCGGGGATTCGAACCGCCGACCTTCTGATCGGCAAGTCCTAGGCTCTGTGGTTTAACCCACAGCACCACCCGTGTCCCTAATGCATTAGAGAATAATTTGCACCTAAATATTACTAAGACAAAGGAGATGGTGTTGGTCTTCTGGAGGAATAAAGGGGAACCTGCCCTGTTGTATATTGGGTGTGTGTGTGTGGAGAGAGTCTCCTAAACCTACTTCGCCCTCCCTTGAGCCCCATCACCTACGGTATTTCGTCTCCCTCCCTTGAGCTCCAGCACCTATTTCCTCCTCCCTCCCTCCTCCTCCCTCCTTTGAGCCCCAGCACCTATTTCCTCTTTCCTCAAGCCCCAGCACCTATTTCCTCCTCCCTCCCACGAGCCCTGGCACCTATTTCCTATTTCCTCAAGCCCTGGCACCTATTTCCTCCTCCTCCCTCCCTTGAGCCCCGGCACCTATTTACTCTTTCCCCAAGCCCCAGCACCTATTTCCTCCTCCCTCCCTTGAGCCCCAGCACCTATTTCCTCCTTCCCCAAGCCCCAGCACCTATTTCTTCCTCCCTCCTTTGAGCCCCGACACCTATTTCCTCCTCCCTCCCTCCTCCTCCCTCCTTTGAGCCCCAGCACCTATTTCCTCTTTCCTCAAGCCCCAGCACCTATTTACTCTTTCCCCAAGCCCCATCACCTATTTACTCTTTCCTCAAGCCCCGGCACCTATTTTTCCTCCTTCCTTCCTCCCTTGAGCTCCAGCACCTATTTCCTCTTCCCTCTCGCATTCCTTTCAGCCCCGGCACCTATCTGCGCCTCCTTCCCTCGAGCCCTGGCACCTATATCCTATTTCCTCAAGCCCCGGCACCTATTTCCGCCTCCCTCCCTTGATCGCCGGCACCTATTTCCTTCTCCCTCACTCGAGCCCAAACACCTCTTTCCTCAAGCCCCGGCACCTATTTCTTCCTCCCTCCCTCCCTTGAGCCCCGGCACCTATCTGCTCCTCCTTCCCTCGAGCCCCAGCACCTCTTTCCTCTTTCCTCAAGCCCCAGCATCTATTTCTTCCTCCCTCCCTCCCTTCCTCCCTTGAGCCCCGGCACCTATTTCCTCTTTCCTCAAGCCCCAGCACCTATTTCTTCCTCCTTTCCCTGAGCCCCGGCACCTATTTCCCACTCCCTCCCTCAAGCCCCGGCACCTCTTCCCTCCTTCCCCCCTCCTCTCTCCCAGGCTGCTCCGCTGCTCGCCCGGCGCGCCCCCGACGCTTCTCCTCCTCCTCCTCCTGCGCGCGCTCCGGGCTCCCTCGGCAGCCTTCCTCCTCCTCCTCCTGGTCCTCTTCTTCTTCTTCCTCGGGCCTCTCCATCTTCTCCTCCATCGCAGGCGGGCAGGATGGCCGAAGGCGCGGCGCTGCTCCTTTTCCTGCTGCTCCCGCGGGCCGGGCTGGCGGCCCTCGGCGCCGGCGCTTCTTCTCCTTCTTCATCATCATCCCCTTCTTCTTCTTCTTCTTCTCCTTCTCCTCCTCCTCCGCCGCCTCCTTCGTCTTCTCCTCCGCCGGGAGACGGCGACCCTTTCTCGGCTCAACTGGGTGATATATCCGCTTGCCAAGCGCGCTGCGCGCCCAGCCTCCGTCTCCAGACCCCCGGCGCCAAGGTAACCCACCCAGGGGCGCGCGGCGCAGGCTCCTACTCCGAGTAGACCCCTTGCCCCCAGAGGGGGAGACAGAGAGACAGAGAGAGGGAAAAACCCACGTTCAAGCTCGCCCCGTGGTTCCAATGGGTCTACTCGGAGTCGGGGATGGCGTTGCAGGCAAGCCATTCAGAGAAATGGCACCGCCGGACGCGCACGCCTCAAACGCGCAAGATCCGTGCACGGCTAAAAGCGAATGTTATATTTAAAAGCAGCAAAATATTTGCTCCTTCAGCACCCGAGATGTGCGCGCGATTAAAAGCGATTCTATTTAAAAGCAGGCGTAGATTTTGCTCCTTTGAGCACCCGAAATTCGTGCGCCATTAAAAGCCATCGCATTGAAAAGCAGGGGTAGATTTGCTCCTCGAAGCAACCCAAGATTCGTGCTCAGTTAAAAGCGATTGTCGTATTTAAAAGCAGGAATAAATTTGATCTTTTAGCGTCTAGGGTTTCTGCTCTTTCCAAGGTGGCCTTTTCCGCCAAGGTCTTGTTTTCGGTTCAAACGCACCCAGAAATTACCGAGGAGAATCAAAAATAACGCAGATAAATAGCCTTTGATGCCTGTCTCTGCCTGCGCCCCCCCCTCCTCGTGGCCCCCTAAACTGAGAAGAATACCAGCATCCATCTTTTCCAGGCTGGAAGAAAAGAGAGACGGAAAAGGTTTAAGGGAAGAAAAAAACAGGAGGGGGAAAGCAATTTTTAAATAAAAATGAAACATGCCATTTTAAAATGATCCGTTTTGATTGGGGGGGGGGAGCATATTTGGTGTATTGCTTTATTTAGGTGCGAGGTGCTTTAATTTAATTTTTTTCCTGCATGTGGGATCTGCTGTCTGCAGGTACCAATCCATCACTGCCGCCTCCCGCTCGTCCTTCGGCAGAAAACCGCTTTGGATAAAGAAGCCTCGCTCTGATTTTTATTTTTGTTTGTCTATAGCCCCCCCCCCCCCACCAGCTAAAATCCGCCCATCTTTCTTTCGCAGACACGCAACCTATACTTGTTTCCAATTTCTGTGGGGCTCTCGGCCTCTGCCTTTGGGGGCTCAAATACTTGGAGTAGACCCACTGGAACAAAAGGAGACGACTTGTGTGCCGTTCCGTTAATGGGTCCGCGCTGCGTAGGATTTAGCTGCAGACAACCCGAACTGTGCAGGGGATTTCATCTCCCAAAACATCTTTTGTTCTTCTGCATTCAGTTTTTATTTGGAAGCCGTGTTTGCGACATACACGATTAATTTTGTGCAGTGCTGCGAAAGGAGTAGGGGATGCACTGAGAGAAGGGGACGCGATTAAAATAAGCAGGCCGATGATGCAAGCTATGCTATGATTATTTTTAAATCCTTAAATTCTTTAAGGCATTTAAAATTTCTTGGCCCATTTAAATACGGCCTCTGGTTTGGAGGTCAGTGTGGAGGAATGGTGTGTGTTTGTGCGCGCCCCTGTTTTCCTCCGCTGCTTGCTGGCAATTTCCCGATAGACTGTTCCTGGCCATGGAGGTTCTGTGCAGCCGCCCGCCTCCCTCCTTGGTGCTGATCCGGAGCCAACGGAGGGGCGTGAATTGTGTTGCTGAATCGGGTCAAAGAGGCTTCCCTCATGTCCTTCCTGTCAGTCAAATGTTCCTGGGACAATCGCAAAGGTGATGCAGCGAAAACTTTAAACCCTCCCTCTAATTCCGCAGGAAGGCAAATTAAAAATAAGAATAATATTTTTTTTCCCCTCTCCGTCGGATTAATTTTAAAAACGTCCTCTTTAGGCTTGCTTTTATTTCATTTTTCTGTTCTCAAATTGAATTTTCTATTCATTAAAGAAGACTTCGGCCCGTTTCCCAACCTGCTGTCGAAAGGCATCTATTTATCTGTTTCGTAAGATCTTTGCACCGCTGGATTGTAAAAAGGAAGGCAAACGGGAAAAACCTCAGGGCAGTTTGCAAAAAAACCCCCCAAAACCTCAAAGTTAGTGCAGAGATGGACAGTACGCTTAGGTAAACAAGGAAGGGTAGATTTGGGTTGAACATTAAGGATCCCTGACCATTAGGTCCAGTCGTGATCGACTCTGGGGTTGTGTGCTCATCTCGCTTTATTGGCCGAGGGAGCCGGCGTACAGCTTCCGGGTCATGTGGCCAGCAGGACTAAGCCGCTTCTGGCGAACCAGAGCAGCGCACGGAAACGCCGTTTACCTTCCCGCCGGAGCGGTACCTACCGTATTTTTCGCTCTATAACACGCACCAGACCATAACACGCACGTAGTTTTTAGAGGAGGAAAACAAGAAAAAAATTATTCTAAACGAAACAGTGGATGTATGATTTTTGTGGTTCATGCTGTGGCCACAGACATGTGATCTGACAGTGAGTTTGGAGTAGCCCAATGCAAAAATCCTGAGGATCCATGTGGATCCATGCTTTGTAACCACGTTTTAAGTGGGGAGGGAAGGAAAAGCACTCAAGGGACAAGGAGCACGCATGGGGTGTGTGGAGAAGGATGCTGCTAATAATGCTATTTAGCGAGCTGAGTGGGGAGGAGAGAGGGACAGAGAGCCTGCTTGCTTTAAAGGAACCAACCGGACAGGAGCCGCTTACACTCGTGTAAGCGGATCCTCTCCTCTCCCGCTTTGCTCCTTTAAAGAAGCAGGCTCTCTGTCCCTCTCTCCTCCCCACTCAGCGGCTCTTCTCCCGCTTTGCTGTTTCAAAGCGAGCCACGGAGGAGGGAAGGAAGGGGAACCATGGATCCTCTTCTCACGACTGCAGCAGATCCCCCCGCCATCTGTAGGCATTCGCTCCATAACACGCACAGACATTTCCCCTTACTTTCTAGGAGGGAAAAAGTGAGTGTTATGGTGCAAAAAATACGGTATTTATCTACTTGCACTTTGACGTGCTTTCGAACTGCTAGGTTGGCAGGAGCAGGGACCGAGCAACGGGAGCTCACCCCGTCATTGCGGGGATTCGAACCACCGACCTTCTGATTGGCAAGTCCTAGGCTCTGTGGTTTAACCCACAGCGCCACCCGGGTCCCTAGGTTGAACATTAGGTGAGAGCAATTTGACAAGCGAGACATTAACCAGGAGGGGTACCTGAGTTTTTGTATCTCAGGGTTGCCTGCATTAAGCGATGTGCATGGATATAAAATATATATATTTTTATTTACTTGTGTTATTTATATGCAAGCATTTGGCGCTGTGAGTTAAACCACAGAGCCTAGGACTTGCCGATCAGAAGGTCGGGAGTTCGAATCCCCGCAATGACGGGGTGAGCTCCCGTTGCTCGGTCCCTGCCCCTGCCAACCTAGCAGTTCGAAAGCACGTCAAAGTGCAAGTAGATAAATAGGTACCGCTCCGGCGGGAAGGTAAACAGCATTTCCGTGCGCTGCTCTGGTTCGCCAGAAGCGGCTCAGTCCTGCTGGCCACATGACCCGGAAGCTGTACGCCGGCTCCCTCGGCCAGTAAAGTGAGATGAGCGCCGCAACCCCAGAGTCAGTCATGACTGGACCTAATGGTCAGGGGTCCCTTTACCTTTACCTTAAATCTGTCCCTATTGAAATAAATTAAATAAATTGTCCAGTTGCACCTTAGAGACTAACTAAGTTTGTTCTGGGTATATAAGCTTTCGTGTGCATGGACCCTTCTTCAGATACCCTGAAACAGAAGTCACCAGACCCTTAGATAAATAGATAGATAAAATGTAACGAAATCTGCAATAAAAAAAGGAATATACAACGGGATAGACAGGGAGTCCAAAGTGTTGGTACATATACGATTTTGGAATAGTTTTTTGTCCTTGTTTCTTTTCTTTAGGTATATAAACTTTGTATACATGCTGAAAAAATTATATTATAATAAGCCTTGACATGTAATATGATAATGTTAACCGATGTAACTTAAGAACGTTAATAAATAAATAAAACTCTCATATAAAATACGAGTCGTCCTCAGGAGAAAACCAGCTTGCTCCCTCTTCTCTGTGACAGCCCTTCAGATATTTGGAATATGGCTCTCCTATCTCCTCTTCTCCAGGTTAAACATACCCCGCTCCTTCAACCATTCCTCATCAGGCTCGGTTTCTAGACCCTTTGACCATCTTGGTCACCCCAAGAATATCCTTGTCGATACCCTTCTTAAATTGTGCTTCCCAGAACACAGGACTCCCAAGTTGGTTCTGACCCAGCCAGAACAGATTACCCGACCGGGACACTAGATCTTCTGCGGCGTTTTCCAACTTTTAAACATTGGCTGAAAACTTTTCCAACCAGGCAATTAAAACAGTTCCTTCCAAAACGGTTCATCGCCGCCCATTTTTCAACGAATGGTTTTTATTGCCCTTAGCAGCAAACATATACACAAGAGAGACAGGGGCCTGCAAATATTTCCTTTGATAAATATTTTAAAAATATATCTCAGCCACCCACCCGTACAACGCCCCTTGAAGGTAGGCACATATCTTGTCAGGCTTTCCCCTGTATTCTAGGCTCGGGGTGGCGGGGTCTGAACTCACATCTCCCCGCTCAAAACTACCTTTTTTGTTTTCCTGCTCTCCACCTGCATAGCCCTAAACCTCTGGCTCCCATCCTTTGGTCACACCTAGACGTGACCAAGAGACCGAACGTTGGGATTGGGTTTTGTATAGGGTGAAATCGAAGGAAACAGGACCGGGAGGGAACTATGATTCTGTGACAGCGGTGGGACATTGTTGTTGTTGTTGTTGAGTTGTTTAGTCGTGTCCGCCTCTTCGTGACCCCCTGGACCAGAGCACGCCAGGCACTCCTGTCTTCCACTCCCTCCCGCAGTTTGGTCAAACTCATGTTGATCTCTTCGAGAACACTGTCCCACCATCTCCTCCTCCGTCGTCCCCTTCTCCTTCTGCCCTCCATCTTTCCCAACATCAGGGTCTTTTCCAGGGAGTCTTCTCTTCTCCTGAGGTGGCCAAAGTCTTGGAGCCTCAGCTTCAGGATCTGTCCTTCCAGTGAGCACTCAGGGCTGATTTCCTTCCGAATGGAGAGGTTGGATCTTCTTGCAGTCCATGGGACTCTCAAGAGTCTCCTCCAGCACCAGAATTCAAAAGCATCCATTCTTCGGTGATCAGCCTTCTTTATGGTCCAGCTTTCACTTCCATACATCACTACTGGGAAAACCAGAGCTTGAACTATACGGACCTTTGTCAGCAAGGAGATGTCTCTGCTTTTTAAGATCCTGTCATTGTGCGGGACATGCACAATGCTTTAATTTCTCTCTCCTCTCTTCCCTCCCCCCCATAATATTTTTTTCCAGGATGCCGTCCTCAACGCCTGCTACCGGGGCTGCCGGCTGTTTTCCATCTGTCATTTTGTGGACGCCACGGCCGACTTGAACGCAACGAGAGTCGAGTGCGAATCGGGTGAGCCCGCGCCCCTCCTCCTTACAAACAAAGCCCCCCCCCCCCGTCTCCAAACCTTGCTCGGTTACATTATCCAGAACTTCCTTTCCACTTAAACGGCTGTCATCTCCACACTGCCTATATTCTGCAACCGATTCCCACAGACAGCCGAGCGGAGGGGAAGGATAATGGAAAATTGCAGGTGGGGACAGGCACGAAACAAGGAGGGAACCCTCCCCTCGTAGGATGTGATTAACTCTGCAATAAACTCTGTCTTTTTGAAGGCAGTAAAGTCTTTCAGTCGGGAGGTAGCAAAACCAGAGCAGGGACTCGTTCAGGGAGTTGACACGTACCCTCCTTTCGGAAGCAGGTTGTTCTCACTGGGAGATTCCCCCCAAACTCGCAGCCAAGTGCAGAGATGCGACAGTGCGCCTCGCCCCATCGGAAAGAGCGCAGACTCACGCAGAGACGCGGCGGGTAACCTCTCTTTCCCCCCAATCTCTTCCTCCCCACCCCCCTCGACAATTCAGCCTGTATGGAAGCTTACGCTGGCGGCGATGAACAGTTTGGCTGCACGACGGGATGCAGGACTCAGCTGCCGGAGACAGACAGCCGGGGAGAGAAGGTAATTTGTCTCCTAAACCAGTGCTGGATTTACGTATAAACTAAACAAGCTTAGTTTGGGGGCCCCAAGAAAATTAAAGGGGAAAAAACTGGATGTGCATTTCCAAAATATAAGATAAAAAACAAAATAAAACCTACATACAGCAACAGTGTTTTGAGTTGTGTAGGCTCCTATGGTGTGTAAGTCAGTGGTGTTTGGGGACTACAATTCCCATCACCCCTGACCACTGGTCCTGTTAGCTAGGGATGATGGGAGTTGTAGTCCCAAAACAGCTGGAGGGCCAAGTTTGGCCATCACGGATGTAAGTCATGGGCCCCACCTGCTCCCTAAAATACAGTGGTGCCTCGCAAGACGAAATTAATTCGTTCCGCGAGTTTTTTTGTCTTGCGTTTTTTTTCATCTTGCGAAGCACGGTGTCAGAAAAGTTTTGGAAAAGCTTCAAAAATCACCAAAGTCTTCAAAAACCTCAAAAAAGGCTACCACACCGCGTGCTATGAGTTGCTCCTCGAAGTCAAGCCGCAACTGTATTAACGGTTTTAAAGAAAAAGGAAACAAACTTGCAAGACGTTTCCGTCTTGCGAAGCAAGCCCACAGGGAAAATCGTCGTGCGAAGCAACTCAAAAAACCAAAAACCCTTTCATTTTGTGAGTTTTCCGTCTTGTGAGGTACCACTGTATCCCTGGTTTGCTCCTTTCTATATATAGGGTGCCTACATTCTGCATGGACTGGTTACATGGCAACATGGGCAAATGGCTTGAGATACCTATTAGGTCCATAAATTGCCATATGGCATATATTCAACACAAAAAACAGTGACAATTTGTGGTTGGCAAAGGACAGCTGGACATATAAAGGGCCCCGTTACCTTCAGTAGCTTAGGGCCTCATCAAACCTAAGCCATGTCCTAAGCCTTTTTCTAACGGCGAATGTGCAGAGACCCTGGATAATTTGCAGATAAATTGTAAACACATAAGAACATCGGCAGGATTATTGCAACTGCTATTGCAGTTTTATAGGAGCATATATTTAAAGCAGATGAATAAATGAGCAAATTAAGTTAATTGGGACACGCAGAAGATGTTAAAAATAAGGAACCGCAGAAAGAGGGGGGAAGGAAGTCAAGTTTCGAAATGTTGAAATGATTTCAAAATCGGTGAAATGTATAAACTTGAAAAGCATAAATAAACTTAAAACAAATAAATAAATTAAACCGCAAACAAGCCTAAAAGGGGTGCTGGAATCCCAAACCTCTCTCTTCGAAAGCACGGCATACAGATTACTACTAAACTGGCAAATGTGTGGGTTTGGCGTCGAAATCTCAGCCTAGAGGGATGGAGTCACTGCTTTCGCCAGTTTTGTGAGACCGATCAAAGTGTCAGGGGGGGAAATATATGTGTGTTGGGGGATGAGAGAGCCATTCTTTAGTCTTAAAAACAGCTTAGGAGGCTGGTTCCTGCAGACATTTCCTCCAAAGCCAAGCCGTGGGCAGGGAACATCCTGTTGCCCAAACAACTCCTCCTGCCACCTGTCGCTGCGGGCAGAGTGTACGTCTGCAAATGTGTGTCGGCGCAGGCTTTTGGATCGCAACGTGGGCTGCAGGGATTGCCTTTCTGAATCCTGACAAGACAGAAGGACTGTTTTTGGGGGAGAGGGGGCGGGCAGGTGTGGGGGACTCCCTGGTCCTGAATGGGGTCACTGTGCCCCCAAAGGACCAGGTGCGCAGCCTGGGGGTCATTTTGGACTCACGGCTGTCCATGGAGGCGCAGGTCAGTTCTGTGTCCAGGGCAGCTCCATCTGGTACGCAGGATGAGACCCTCCCTGCCCACAGACTGTCTCACCAGAGTGGTGCATGCTCTGGTTATCTCTCGCTTGGACTACTGCCATGCACTCTACGTGGGGCTACCTTTGAAGGTGACCCGGAAACTACAACTAATCCAGAATGCGGCAGCTGGACTGGGGACTGGGAGCGGCTGCCAAGACCGCATAACACCGGTCCTGAAAGACCTTCATTGGCTCCCAGGACATTTCCGAGCACAATTCAAAGTGTTGGTGCTGACTTTTCAAGCCCTAAACGGCCCAAGTATACCTGAAGGAGCGTCTCCACCTCCATCGTTCTGCCCGGACACTGAGGTCCAGCTCTGAGGGCCTTCTGGCAGTTCCCTCCCTGCGAGAAGCGAGGTTGCAGGAAACCAGGCAGAGGGCCTTCTCAGTGGTGGCACCCCCCCTGTGGAACGCCCTCCCGTCAGATGTCAAGGAAATAAACAACTATCTGACTTTTAGAAGACATCTGAAGGCAGCCCTGTTTAGGGAAGCTTTAAGTGTGTGATGTTCTGTTGTGCTTTTAATAGTCTGGTGGGAGCTGTCCAGAGTGGCTGGGGAAGCCCAGCCAGGTGTGCGGGGTATAAATAAAATTATTATTGTTATTATTATTATTATTATTATTATTATTATTATTATTATTAACCTTGCAGATAGGTGAGGGGGTTGAGGACAGGCCCACCCATTAGGACTCTCTTACTTAGTTGCAGTTCTTGCAACCCGGCTGGTTCTTTCGCGGCGAGGACACTGATGGTCTTAACGCCTATAACTGAATGAATAAATCAGTCTTATTTCCCCATATACTTGGTCTGGGTACGACATCATCCCCTCCACACACCTGTAAGAAACCGACCTTTCAGGGTTTGGGGAGTTTTCAGATTGGCTCACACCTATCTTCGCACAGGTGCTGGACCCAAAACCCGCCTCGTTCTCCGTCTTTGACCTCGTCTCCAGCTTCTGCAACGATATTGTCAGTTCAGCGCAGAGTTTTATTTCCTCCACGTGGACCTTCTACCTTCAGGCGGACGATGGGAAAGTCGTCGTTTTCCAGGTGGGTGCTGCTGGCAGGGTTGGGGAGCGGGTGGCAAAACCAGGGAGCGGTGGGTGGGGGGAGACTCGAACAAAACAGAGGAAGGGTGCTTTATTATTATTATTTTACACACAAGTGATGTTGTTGTTGTTGTTTAGTCGTGCCCGCCTCTTCGTGACCCCCTGGACCAGAGCATGCCAGGCACTCCTGTCTTCCACTGCCTCCCGCAGTTTGGTCAAATTCATATTTGAGAACACTGTCCCGCCATCTTGTCCTCCGTCGTCCCCTTCTCCTTGTGCCCTCCATCTTCCCCAACATCAGGGTCTTTTCCAGGGCGTCTTCTCTTCTCAGGAGGTGGCCAAAGTCTTGGAGCCTCAGCTTCAGGATCTGTCCTTCCAGTGAGCACTCAGGGCTGATTTCCTTCCGAATGGAGAGGTTGGATCTTCTTGCAGCCCATGGGACTCTCAAGAGTCTCCTCCAGCACCAGAATTCAAAAGCATCCATTCTTCGGCAATCAGCCTTCTTGATGGTCCAGCTCTCACTTCTATACATCACTACTGAGAAAACCATAGCTTGAATAATACGGACCTTTGTCGGCAAGGAGATGTCTCTGCTTTTTAAGATGTTGTCTAGGTTTGTCATTGCTCTTCTCCCAAGATTATCACAAAGTGATAATCATGCAACAATAAGAATTAAAATGGGCACCCGGCACACGCGAGAGCATTCCTTTGTAACTATCTAACCTCCCGAGATTTCAACACCTTTTGCGATGGTTTGACCCCTTTTCCATTTTAACAGTACGAATTCTACAGACACCTTCCGTATCTCCTCATAAAATCATTTCTCCTGGAGTAAATATACGAACTATTTGCAAAGCGATTGTAATGAACAGATTAAGCTAGTAGGACTGCAAGAAGTTCTGTAAGGATATTTGAAACATTGCAAGAAAGACTATGAGGATAATTATGGCTTAATGATAATGAAGAGCAACAGAGATTAAGAAATGCAGAATAAAGAACAGAAAATCATCAGAGGTGTTGACGGAAGTCTAAAATATTGTGTAAGATAAGAAGTTATATGATTGCTGGAAATGATATGTTAAAAAAACTAATATATATAGATATATATAATTTCTCCTGTGTATTCCCCGTCTTAGGAGGCTGTGAGGGAACTGCCATCAGTGCCAGAGGGAGAGAGCAAGATCCAGAGGGATTCCGGAGAGCATCCCGGGATTGGGAGAGGCAGCCCATCTTCTGGGGAAGAGAATCAGCGTAGCACCAGTGCAGAAGGGGGGCAGATGGGGGAAGTGGTGAGGCAGTCCCATGACTCCTTGCCGGGGACCAGCGGGGAGAGTAGGGGTCCTCCGTTGCCCACGCCCTCCTTGCGCAGAAGGCTTTCTCGCAGAGAGAGTAGGAGGAGACTAGGCGTCAAAGAGCTTCTTTGCTGGAAGAAGTTTAAAAAACGCCCACTGACGGATTCTGCCAGCGATTGAGGCAGCCACGGGTGAGTGGCTGTCCGGACAGAAAAGGTTCACTCAGGCAACCCAGCCAGGTGTTTGCACCGGCTTACGCACGAGCAACCCCTAGAACCATTACAGAGGCAAACCGCAATATACGGGAAACATGCTCTGCAGAAGCGATCCCTGTGCATTTCGAAGGTTTCATATGTAACCAGATGCCCTCATTGCAAGGGATTGAACTAGATGCCTCTAGGGGCCCCAGCCGATTCTGCGATTCTAAAGACTGTCCTTCTTTTTGTCCTCAGTCTCAGCCAGAGATCGAGTATCCGGTTCCAGAGGTCCAGGCGCCCAAATCGGAGGTTATGGAGAAGGCGTGGGCGCCATCCACCTCCAACACTTTGAAGCCCCACACAGGTAAGAGAGTATTGAATTTGCTAGTATTATTATTATTAATCGCCTCTTCTGGTCTGCCCCGCAGAGGACCTTAAGGTCCATGGATAATCATAGTTTCGAGGTCCCAGGCCCTAAGGAAGTCAGACTATCCTCCACCAGGAACAGGGCCTTCTCAGTGGTGGCTCCGACCTGGTGGAATGCTCTGTCCCATGAGACCAGGGCCCTGCAGGATTTTACCTCCTTCCGCAGGGCCTGTAAGACAGAACTATTCCGCCTGGCTTTCAATTTGAACTTAGCCTCATCTTTTATTCCCCTTCCTTCCCTCCTCTTCCCCTTTTTATGAAGATTCCCCGCTCTGGGATCCCACAGCTAATTCTCCCCTGGCCTCCTCGCTGGCCCAAATTGGACTAACTTAGCCAGCTAGCCCTGGTGATCATCTAATGTCTGTTGGATGGATTTCCCCCCAAATTGATTTTTGAATTCTGAATTTATTGTTATTCACGTTTTATATCGTATTTCATGCTGTTTTTTGTTGCATTAAGTGTTTTAAATTTGTTGTTAGCTGCCCTGAGCCTGTTTTTTTGAACCGGGAAGTGCAGGGTATAAATAAAAACTTATTTATTTGTTATTATTTAATCGCCTGCCCTTCAAGCCAAGGTCCCAGGGCAGGATGCAACCCTTAAAAGGCAAAACGGAAAGCAGTTTTAAACAACTCACAATCACAGAAATATGGCACGTGCGGAAAAGACACATCTCATGTGTCGGAAGGCCACAGAGGTGCATCTTTTGCATTCGCCATAAGTTGCGCTCGATGCACCTCTGTGGAGAGGGGTCTCCGCAGTTTAGGGGTCGAAGTGATTTATTGCATGGCGATTTGCACCAGCTGGAGCCTTCGTATGACGGCAAGCCTGCTTGGAAACGATTTTTATTCTATGATTCAAAATTAATTTATTTTCTTGAGATATTTTTTGTAATCCATTTGTTTTCAAAAATTGGTCTAAATCTGTTTCTTTCATTGGCCCTTGAGTATATAATCGTTTAAAGTACTTCTGGAAACAACTTCTGATCTCTGCAGGGTTCTGTATATTTCTTCCTTCCACTTCTAAGTTCGTAATCGTATTTAATTTTTGTCTCTTTTTCATTTGCCATGCCAACAATTTGCCACATTTATTGGCCGACTCAAAAGTCTTTTGTCTCATTTGTTTAATTTTCCATTCTATTTCCTGATTCATCATTTTCATATATTGTACTTGATATAACTTTAACTCTCTCAAAATCTCTTGAGATTTGGGATTTACTCTCAGTCTTTTTCACATTCATTTATTTTGTCCATTATTTTATCCTTCTTCTCATTTTGAGTTCTTTTCTTTATCGCATTCTGTTGTATTAAGAACCCTCTCATAACCGCTTTACTTGCGTCCCAGATTACTCTTTTCTCCACGTTGGAACTAAGATTTATCTCGAAGTAATCTCTCAGAGTTTTTTGGGCCTTCTTGAGAAATTCTTCATCTCTAAATAAGGTGTCATTCATCTTCCATCTGAAGGAGCCAGTTGGTGTTAGTCTCATTTCCATCTTAACAGCATTGTGCTCGGAGCAAATTTTCGGGCAGATTTCCACCTTTCTTGTCTTTGGTGCCATTCCTCTAGTTATCCAAATTTGGTCAATTCTTGTCCATGTGCTTGGAAACGATTTTTAACATCCTTGCAAAACCCAGGGCGCCGGGGGAATTTGGGAACGCCGCAAAACCGCTCCTGGATTTATTGCAAACTTTCCCTCTCCCGGCTGGTGTCGGCGGTTTGCATTATTTCCCCGGTCCTCCACTTATGGGTCTCTTTTTCTGCCCCCTATTTCCCTCCCCGCACGCTTTCTTTGCCCCTTCAGGCCTTCGGGAGAAACCCCCCGTGGAGGAGCCGAAAGCCAGAGCGAAATCGTCGCCCCCGGCAGAGACCCAGGCGCCCCCAGAACACGACTTTCTGGGCTGCATGTCCAAGTAAAGAAGTGGGGAGGGGGAGGCGATATTTGGGGTACAGGGAGAGGAATGGGGGGTGGGATAGAGGATAAATGTGCAGACAGAGGCTGTCATGGGTCCAGGATACGTGGGGGGGAAAGGACGCCAATATCCGCTTTATTTTCGTATTTATTTGATTTTTTGTTTGGAAAGTCAGGTTCCTAGACCTCATAGAGCCAAAGTTATGCTCAGAGTCTGTGGTTGGTGCCTGAAGTTCTGCAAAGCGGTTGGGCAAAAAGGAGGTGTGTGTGTGGGGGAAACCTTCCCATCTTTGCCCCCCCACATTATCACCACCAGCAAACAACATAAACAAACCATAGGCACTAACTAACAACATAATCCTTTGACATTACACGTACTTTAACTCCCAACTCGCCTCATTGTGCTTTTTGCACCCTACCAGCTCCTGCCAACCCAGCAGTTCGAAAGCACGTCAAAGTCCATGTAGATAAATAGGTCCCGCTCCGACGGGAAGGTAAACGGCGTTTCCGTGCGCTGCTCTGGTTCGCCAGAAGCGGCTTAGTCCTGCTGGCCACATGACCCGGAAGCTGTACGCCGGCTCCCTCGGCCAGTAAAGCGAGATGAGTGCCGCAACCCGAGTCGGCCACGACTGGACCTAATGGTCAGGGGTCCCTTTACCTTTAGGGATGCGGGTGGCGCTGTGGGTTAAACCCCAGAGCCTAGGACTTGCCGATCAGAAGGTCGGCGGTTCGAATCCCCGCAATGATGGGGTGAGCTCCCGTTGCTCGGTCCCTGCTCCTGCCCACCTAGCAGTTCGAAAGCATGTCAAAGTGCAAGTAGATAAATAGGTACTGCTCCAGCGGGAAGGTAAACGGCATTTCCGTGCGCTGCTCTGGTTTGCCAGAAGCAGCTTAGTCCTGCTGGCCACATGACCCGGAAGCTGTACGCCGGCTCCCTCGGCCAATAAAGCGAGATGAGCGCCGCAACCCCAGAGTCGGCCACGACTGGACCTAATGGTCAGGGGTCCCTTTACCTTTACCTTTATCCTATACACACTTATTATTATTATTCTTTCCCGCTACTGGTCAAAGGAAATTTTCATTTTTATAATTTCCTTACACTTCTAAATCTGTCAGGAGCATTGCACGGCCGCAATACTTTTTAAGATATTCTTTAAATATTATCCAATCTTTACTAACTTTCTGGTTTGATTTCCCTCTTATTCTCCCAGTCGTTTTCGCAAGTTCTAAATATTCGCTTGCCAATCATTTTGTTCTTTTTTGTGGGAATTCTATCGCCTTCCCAATTTCCAGCTTTTAAAATCCTAGCCGCTGTGGTTGCCTACACGAAAAGGGTTCTTTTTCCGTATTTCATTGGAAATTGTATTGTAAGCAAACCTTTGAGGGGCGGGGCCAGAGGCGAGGAGGCGGGGCCAGCTGGGAAAGTGGGCGGGGTGCAGATGGCGGAGGGGCGGAGCTCCCACGGAAGGGATACTCACCTGGCCAGACTCACCTGTTCCCCTCTTCCACGTTGTTGACGGTCCTTTCCCCCCACCCTTTCCCCACCCTCCGCCGGCCCCCCTCCCCGTTTCCCTCTCCCCCACCAGCCAGTTCGAAGCGTCCGCCCCCTCCATGGCCGGCCATAATCTCGTCGTGTCTCTCTGGTGGGGGGCCTCTGGGTGTTACAGACGTTCGGGGCTTCCGCGATGGATCTTGGCCGCTTGTCTCTTCCTTTCCATCATGGTGATGTTGTGGCTCAGTTGCGCGAGCTTGGTGACCGCTCCCGATCAGCACGTCAAGACGCAGGTATGGCTTGGGGCCACAGCCCCACGATGCATCCATACTCTTCCCTAGGCAGCCACAGCTGTCCATGGAGGCACAGGTCAATTGTGTGTCCAGGGTAGCTCCATCTGGTATGCAGGATGAGACCCTCCCTGCCCGCGGACTGCCTCGCCAGAGTGGTGCATGCTCTGGTTATCTCCCGCTTGGACTACTGCCATGCGCTCTCCGTGGGGCTGCCTTTGAAGGTGACCCGGAAACTGCAATTAATCCAGAATGTGGCAGCTAGACTGGGGACTGGGAGGGGCCGCCGGGACCCCATAACACCGGTCCTGAAAGACCTACGTTGGCTCCCAGGATGTTTCCAAGCACAATTCAAAGTGTTGGTGCTGACCTTGAAAGCCCTAAACGGCCTCAGCCCAGTATACGTAAAGGAGCCTCTCCAACCCCATTGTTCAGCCCGGACACCAGGGTCCAGCTCCAAGGGCCTTCTGACGGTCCACTCCCTGCGAGATGAGAGGTTGTGCAGGGAGCCAGGCAGAGGTCGCACAGCCTGGGAGTCATTTTGGACTCACAGCTGTCCATGGAGGCACAGGTCAATTCTGTGTCCAGGGCAGCTCCATCTGGTACGCAGGATGAGACCCTCCCTGCCCACAGACTGTCTGGCCAGAGTGGTGCATGCTCTGGTTATCTCCCGCTTGGACTACTGCCATGTGCTCTACGTGGGGCTACCTTTGAAGGTGACTCGGAAACTGCAATTAATCCAGAATGCGGCAGCTAGACTGGGGACTGGGAGCGGCCGCCGAGACCACATAACACCGGTCCTGAGAGATCTGCATTGGCTCCCAGGACATTTCCGAGCACAATTCAAAGTGTTGGTGCTGACCTTTAAAGCCCTAAATGGCCCAGTATACCTGAAGGAGCATCTCCACCCCCATCGTTCTGCCCCGTGGCGTTAGCAAAATATTCTTTCGAAGGAAAATAAACGGGCAAATCTTCTTCTTTCTTTCCTCACAGCCCCTGAGTATCAACGGAGACAAGGAATACCTGGAAGACCTAGATAGCTCCCTTCCATATTCCCTCCGGCCCGTAATCGCCGTCGCCATCTGCCCAGCGGAGAACGAGGAAGCGGCGCTCCTGCCCGTCAAAGTGGATTTAGACAAGACCGCCCTCTAAGGACGCCCCCTGCCCCTTATCCCACCTTGAACCCCTCCACCACCAACCTCCCCTTGTACCCCCTCCAACACCCCAGATTTCCTCTTGTTTTCCATCAAGCCCCTCGTCGCAACACCACCCTTTCCGACATCACCTGCTGTCTCGCCCAGGTTTCTTGAACTCGGTACCTTACTGGCAGAGGCGAAGGCAGGGCCTCATATTTTTTAGCAGTGACGTCTTGCGGGTTGGGAAGGGGCAGGTGGTCGTGGTTTCCGAAACCACAATTTGAAACCAACTCGCCGTTCTCTGGGTAAAGGCTGCAGAAGGGTAGGCAGAGTTCGGCCTGCTCCGGTCCCGGGTTCAAATCAACGTGTCTCTGAGCAGGGCTGGCATAGGGGGCAGGCACACCCCCCCCCCCTGCCTGGAACGATGCCAAACTCGACAGGCGATTCGGCTCAGTATTAAGGCAGCGTTCCTGCTTGAATTCGGAACGAAAGAGGACAAGAACCTCGCTTCGCTTCCGAGCTCAGCGACTCAGAGTCCGGGAGGTCCCGAGTTCAGGTCCCGACATCTCCCAACAAGGCCTGGGTGCGAACGTCCCCTTCATACCATTCGGAACCTGTGTCGTTTTTGGTGGTGCCCGGTTTTTGTTCCGTTTTGCACTGATGTCCGCTGGGGGGGTGTCCCCATCTCCTACACCCCTCCCGGCACGCAACCCGTGACCCCCTGGCACTTAAGGGGTGGCACACGCCAGCTTTGATCGCTTGTACATTTCGCCTAACGCTCGTTTCTCTTGTACAGAGGTTTAACTTATTTCCCACCTCCTTCAATCTCTTTCTCCCGCCCTCATCAGGTGGCCCTTGCCGTCCGTAAATTCTGAAGCGATGAGACTCTTTAAAAAACGCGTCCCCAAATATCAGGTGTGGAAGGCAGTCAGCCAGGGGGCGGATATATAATTTTGGGTCGTTTTGCTATCAGTATCCATCCCAGCTTCCGCAACGGGTTCACCCTATATGTAAAAAAAGCTGAGCCACCATTTGTACAATCTTCTCAACTGAATAAAGCTGTTTTTCCCCAAACCTCCCAGTCTCTTCTTCCCACTGCCACCCATTTTTTGGGGCATCGAAAAATAGCAAGACTTTGGTGGAGCTAAGCTAGGCCCCCGCACCTATCTATCTTAACCCTATATATCTCTTAATAAACCTTTTCGTCAGTCCTGGAAGTGTTGTCAAGAGGAATGGTTTGTTCTTAAGTTGTTTTTTCCCCTATTTGATAACAAAAATCAGGTCCAGGGTGCGGAAGAAGTTGGGACACGTAATAATAAGGATAATAATTTTGTTATCTGTTACCCTGTCGACCTGGCTCGACTGCCCCAGATCCTTTTTAATCCGAAAGGGGAAGTGCAGTTTTTGTTTGTTGGAAACAACCCAGCAGCCCAAAGCTGTGGGGTATTTTTGGGGAGACAGGATGGGGCAGGACTATAGGGAACAACAGGATTTCGGTTGTTGGGTCTTCAGCTCCAATCAGTCCTAGCTAGCACAACCGACGACGGAGGACGGTACCCCAGAAACATCTGAATTTCTAAAGGTTCCCCTTTATCTTCGGGGTAGGGCGCCGTCTTGCAAATACAAAGCTGCTGGCCCAAAGAAAATAACCTTGGTTGTCGAATTGCACAAATTCTACCGGACCGACGCACCCGTTTCAAACCTGCATATGTTTGCGTATGAATAAAGATGCTTTGGAAGAACGAAGCAGGCTCCCTGGTTTTTTAAAAGCTGCCGGTCTGCAAATAGGCGCACAAATTCTGCTTGCTTTCCTCCTGACAACTGATGGGGAAAGCCGGAACCCCCAAGCACAGGGTCGGGGAAAACATCGCTTCGTAGAGTTCACAGCTGTCTCTCTGGCCTCTTTGTGTGTGTGTGTATTGGGGAGGGGAACGTTTGGTGGTAAGAAGACGGCTTCTCTCGTGGCGCGGCAAACGGAAAGGAAGTTTCTCGCTTCGGTTGGAGAAAGCCGCTGTTTTCGTCTGCCACCCTGCTGCAAAAATTAGGCGGCAGCTGCTGTCAACCAGGGAGGCACGGAGGAAACAAGATCTTTTGGGCCAGCTGTGTCCAGCTGAATCTCAGCAGGTCAGCCCAGGACAACGCTCCTTTTTTGCTCTCTGGGCCTGGAAAGAGAGAGATAAAAAGTTTTCTCTCTCTCTTGCCTGGAAAGAGAAGTTTTGCAGCAGTGTCAGAAGCCCCGCATGGAGCCGTGTTAAAAAAATATGTCGGTGATTAGGAACGCGGCATTCTAGGATAGGGGTGTTTTTTGGAAAAGAGAGCAGGGCAGAAAACTTAAATGTTCTGCAGATCAAAATGTTGATCTTTCCCTCCCACTATTCTAGGCAGTGAGAGATTTTACTTTCTTGGGCTCCATGATCACTGCAGATGGTGACAGCAGCCACAAAATTAAAAGAAGCCTGCTTCTTGGGAGGAAAGCAATGACAAACCTGGACAGCGTCTTAAAAAGCAGAGACATCACCTTGCCAACAAAGGTCCATATAGTCCGTATAGTTCAAGCTCTGGTTTTCCCAGTAGTGATGTATGGAAGTGAGAGCTGGACCATAAAGAAGGCTGATCGCCGAAGAATGGATGCTTTTGAATTCTGGTGCTGGAGGAGACTCTTGAGAGTCCCATGGACTGCAAGAAGATCAAACCTCTCCATTCTGAAGGAAATCAGCCCTGAGTGCTCACTGGAAGGACAGATCCTGAAGCTGAGGCTCCAAGACTTTGGCCACCTCAGGAGAAGAGAAGACTCCCTGGAAAAGACCCTGATGTTGGGAAAGATGGAGGGCAGAAGAAGGGGACGACAGAGGATGAGTTGGTGGGACAATGTTCTTGAAGGGACCAGCATGAGTTTGACTAAACTGTGGGAGGCAGTGGAAGACAGGAGGGCCTGGCGTGCTTTGGTCCAGGGGGTCACGAAGAGGCGGACACAAGTAAACAACAACAATATCCTAGGCTATGGTTACCAGATTTTTTTCAATGAATCCGGGGACTTTTTCTTTTTCTTTTTCTGAAGCTGAGTAGCAACAGGGAGTCAGTAGTGGGAATCAGTCAAAATAAAGGGGGAAGGAGATTGCACAAGGCACATCACATGGGGACTTCCGGCGAGGAAAAATGACGGGCGCCACGGCAGCAAGCAGCTCCTGAAGCCAGCCAGAGCCAACTGCGCTACCAGGCTGGCTCCGGGCTGCTGAGGCTGCCACGTTTCCTGGGGACAGATTTGCAAATCTGGGGACATTCCGAAAATGGAATTTGTCCGGGGCAGATTTGCAAATCCGGGGACTGTCCCCAGGAATGTCTAGTAACCCTATTCTAGGCTGCATCCCCAGAAGTCTGGTGTCCAGATCAAGGGAAGTCATAGTCCCAATTTATTCTGCTTGGGTCAGACCACTCCAAGAATTCTGTGTCCAGTTCTGGGCACCACAATTTAAGAAGGAGATCTGCAAGCTGGGACGTGTACAGAGGTGAGCGACTGCTCAAGGAGGGCTGGGGTCACTGTGCCCCCGAAGGACCAGGTGCGCAGCCTGGGAGTCATTCTGGACTCACAGCTGTCCATGGAGGTGCAGGTCAATTCTGTGTCCAGGGCAGCTCCATCTGGGACGCAGGATGAGACCCTCCCTGACCGCAGACTGTCTCTCCAGAGTGGTGCATGCTCAGGTTATAATAATAATAATAATAATAATTTATTATTTATACCCCACCCATCTGGCTGGGCTTCCCCAACTCTGAGCTTCCAACAAAATATTAAAATACAGTAATGCATCAAACATTAAAAGCTTCCCTAAACAGGGCTGCCTTCAGATGTCTTCTAAAAGTCAGATAGTTGCTTATTTCCTTGACATCTGACGGGAGGGCGTTCCACAGGGCGGGCGCCACCACCGAGAAGGCCCTCCGCCTGGTTCCCTGTAACCTCACTTCTCGCAGGGAGGTAACCGGCAGAAGGCCCTCGGAGCTGGACCTCAGTGTCCGGGCTGAGCGATGGGAGTGGAGACGCTCCTTCAGGTATACTGGACCGAGGCCGTTTAGGGCTTTCAAGGTCAGCACCAACACTTTGAATTGTGCTCGGAAACGTCCTGGGAGCCAATGCAGGTCTTTCAGGACCAGTGTTATGTGGTCCCGCGGCCGCCCCCAGTCCCCAGTCCAGCTGCCGCATTCTGGATTAATTGCAGTTTCCGGGTCACCTTCAAAGGCAGCCCCACGTAGAGCGCATGGCAGTAGTCCAAGCGGGAGATAAGCAGAGCATGCACCACTCTGGCCAGACAGTCTGCGGGAAGCGTACGGTCATCTTCGTTGCCCAATCTGAGGATGCGGAACCAGATGAGTCCCCTTGGGCCTGATCCTGCTGCAGGACCCTCCCTGAATTTCCCGTCCATTTAATCATCGCACAAAACACACAGAGGCTCTTCCTTTCCAGTAGGCAAACTTTTAATTCCGTTTTTATTTTTAAAGTCACCAAAAATCGCCCAACGAGATCATTCCGCGATGCAAAATAAAAAATCAACGTGACGGATAGAGAGTTGGTAGAGTTGAGACCCCACCCTCACTTACCCGCCCCTCCAAAGAAAGGCATCAGTTAGTTCCCTTGTGTAAACATGGTGTTACAAACGTATTTTCCTGTTTATTAAACAACAACAAAAAGAGTGTTATCGGTAGGTTATATTAAGACGACAACGGGAGACCGTACACTCTGCGTGGAGATCCAGTTTTTGAGATTTAAGAAAAACAGATCGCACGTGGCTCCGAAGGTGGATCTGCGATGCTAGAAAAAAGGGTGGTTTTTCGTTTTGGGAGAGAGACAGAGATCTTGAACGTGGGGGGCATGGCGTCGAAAAGACAACAATTCCCAGGATTCCCTGGGGTGAAGAGAAAAGGGTGCAGGAGCGAGGAAAACACAGGCCAGTTTTGTGGGTCTCCCTCCTAGATTTCTAGGGAGTATTTGGCGAACGTTTGCCGCCTTGGCTTGGTAATGTAAAAAACCACACACACAACCACAACACCCCCGGTGTGCGGAACGTAGACCCCCAAAAAATCCAAGTCTCTCCTTCTAAGGAGTTCACTAGGTTTGTTTTGTATAAATGGTGGGAGACTTCTCCCCCAAAATGAAACACTAGAGTCCAGAAACTTGGCTTTACACTGGAGGAGCAAGATGGGAAAGCAATGTGGTTGGGTTGTTTTTTTTACATAATTCTGCAACCAAGCAGAATTGGAACCCGCCGCTTAACAGCTCAGAGGTCACTCAGCACCCCTATTTGCAAAGAGCTACCCCTCCCCGATTGGGGGGGGGCTCCGAAGGGGCCACGATCCAGGCACCTCGCTGCCAACTCGGGGAGGTGGAGCGACCGCCCCATCAATTCCGCAGGCGTCTTATAAACACCCAGATGCTCCTTCGACCCCCCCCCAAAAAAAACTCCATAGGAGAAAGGGGTTCAGGAGAAAGCGACATATCTCCGTTCCTGCCAGGGGGGTTCGAAACGGCTGGCCTTTGGCATTTTGGGGAGGGGGGGTGTAGCTGCAAAATAATCGTAATAATTGCAGGTGTTGATTTAAGGCAGCGGTTCTCATGTTGTCCAAAACATCTGGAGGGCCGAAGGTTGGGGGTGCCAGCTTTAGGGTATGGCAGGTGACGTCCGAGCGGTTCTCAACCTGTGGGTCCCCAGATGTTGTTGGACTACAACTCCCATTGTCCCTGAGCTCCGGCCTTGCTAGCTAGGGATGCTGGGAGTTGTAGTACAACAACACCTGGGGATGTTGAGAAAGGCTGGTTTGAGGAAACCGTGGCCGGGCTTGGAACGCCAGGAAGCGGGGAGGTAGGGGGACAGACGGACGGCACACCTTAAGGAGTCTTTGGGGTCTGAATCTGGGGGGCTCCCCACATCCCCCCAAAGTATTCCGTAGTGTGCGAGAGGAATGGCTCTGTTTGCAAGATATGTAGGAACGTCTCTATTTATGAGAGAGGCAATGTTGGGGGGGCGACGACTGCCGCCCTGGCCCCACGGTCAAAGATGGAGCCCATCCTTATCTGGGGTGGGGAGGGGGGCAGCCAGGTTCCTTGCCCCCAGTGCAAAACAGGCTGGGTTTGCGGACTCTTGAGTTGAGGGTCGCCGCCCCGTAAGGAGGTTTTCGGACCCCCGCGACTTTCGGGTTGCGCGGTGCAAGATTTCGCGAGAGAGGGGAGAAGTTCAGAGTATATTTACAAGACGTTGGTCCTTTCGAGTAAGAAGGGGAGGAACGCCCCCCTCTCCTCAGGTGTAAACAAAAACACACACCCCGTAGCAAGGAAAATAAGAGGAAAATCAAGTTACAACGGAAGGGAATTTTTTTTGCAATCCGGTAAGGCACATGTCGTTAAAAGACCGCTGACCCCAACACTAAAGTCTGCACGGAACTTTAAGGCAGTTTCGACTGCTCTAAACAGTCTTCCCAAAACCAAGGCATCTTGGGAACTATAGTTCTCCCCAGGGTGTTGTGGTTAGGCAAGCCCTAATCCACTCGCTGGGTGGTTTAATTATCTTGCCTAGGGAACTCGCGGGGGGCTGAAGGGAATCGGGGCCTCCGAAGCACACTGGGTGCCCCCAGACAAACTACAGTTCCCGGGGGTCTTTAGGAGAAGCCAGGACTGCTTAAATGGGGCACGATACTTCTTTGAACGTTTAGGGGGCCTAAAAGACCACCCTGCTTTTTAGCCCTGCTCCGTCCCGTAAAAAAAGTTTTCACATTCGTAGTTTCCACCCAGCCGCCCCCCCCCCCACAAGCGCTCTGGGTGTTTTAAGAAACCCACGTACCCCCCAGGAAAGTTCCTGGTTAATGCATTCTAATTCTGCTCCTCAAAGGGGGGAGCAGAATAGCTAAGGCGAGACAAGGAAACAAACGGGCGCGTTTTGATTCTGGCAAGGCGTGGGGAGGCGAAAATGAGCCCCCCCCCAAAAAACACAATGCAGCTGTTTGCAAAATATAAAAACAGCATGCGTGCACCACACATTTAAAGCACGACGATGCCACTTCGTAAACAGTTCGTGGCTTCCCCGAAAGTAATCCTGGGAGTTATAGTTCACGGAGGGCGCCGGGAATTGTTCGGAGGTGCCTGCCTCCCCCCGCAACCAACTACCGTTCCCAAACTCCCCCTCCAAGAGGCGCTAACTGGCAAACTGTAGCTCCACAAAGAGAACGCAGGGAAGCAACCCCCGGCTGCCTCCGCAAGCTATAACTCCCGGGATTCTTTGGCGGGGGTGGAGGGGGAAAGCCATGGAGGTTTGAAGCGGTCCCACGGCGTTTTTAATGGACGGTGCGGACAGGGGAATAAAGGAAAGCAAAATTCTGGTGGGACATACAGCGTTTGCTGGTTCCAAAATGAAATTTTCGGCCGAGGGGTCCAGTTCTATCTCGGTTATGCTGGGAGACAAAGCCAAAAGCCAGGTGGGTTTCCAAGAGGGAGTAAAGGCAGGAGAAGGCCCCCAGCCCATAGGCACCGTCACCCAGTCCTGTGGGGATCAAGGCTGCTGTGATATTTGGGTGGAAGTATGTTAAGTGCTGTTCAGGATTTGTGGAGCAGGCACAGTTCACCCCACTGCTTCCTGCTTATAGCGTGGGTGGCTGGGGGTCGCAGCTGGCGGCCACGGGCCCGATTCAGCCCCAAAGTGGAAACTCGGGAGGCGAAGCTTTGCTGAGTTGAAATCTGCTGGGATGCGATCCGCCAGAACCGAAGAGAGAAGCCCACTACCGTTTGGGGGTTCACAAGCCAAACGCGGGGTCTTCCTCATCTAGCTCAGGTAAGTTGGCGTTTGGGGCGGGAATGAGTAGCAGGCAAGCATCGAAAAAACATACACAGCCCTAAAGTCCTCAACCGATCAAGACTTCCAAGAAAAAAACCCTCTTTTCCCCCTGGAGTTAACATTTCAGCGTTCCTCAGTTTTTCGCGCTTCCCCTACAATGTTATCTTATGTTCTCTCTCATCACTGCGGCCTCAAAGGAATGGCAGACGACGGGCAAAGCCGTTCTTGGGCACATAACAAAAAAAATAAAATAATAGTAATCAAAGGCTTCTTTCTCCTTCTCTCACAACTATTTGCATGAGCGGAGGCTCCTGAAAATGATGCAAAAAATGCAAAACAGCCCACAGGCGAAGAAGGTGGCGGTGATCCGTTGCTCTCTTAGGCAAAAGGTGGACTGCAAAGATAGATTTTAGGAAGGTTTAAGGACGTGACTTTTCCCCCGGGCCTGTGTCGTTCATCCATTGGCAAAAAAGTGAGAATGGACACAGGGAGAATAGAGGAATAAAAATGGCAGCTCACATCCCTCAAGGGCAAGAGCCACGCTTCCTGCAGTTCCAAACCAGCAAGGTCCTCCAAGTTCTTCTGCCGTCGCCAAAAAGGCAAAGATAACATTGAGATGATTTGAAACAAAAAGATAGATGGGGGGCGGGGGGAAACCAGGGCAAAGACGACGGACGCCGTGCGTGTTATTCTTCCACCCAGAATTATTTTTAAAATCCACAAAAACTGCAAGATGTAAAAATAAAAATTTGCACAGCCATCCGAAAAAAACAAACGATCCGGGCGCAAGTCTGACGGGAGCTGATTTCGAACTCACGGCCACCTGCCTCCGGGAGGGTAGTTGGGGACGGTCGGGTACTCAGGGAGACTGTTCCCAGAGAAGTTGCTGAATTGAGCTTCCCGGCTCGGGGGGTCCCGCCACGACCCGGTCTGCCACTCATCCTGAGCTTTCTGGAAGCTTCCGCCGCCGCCGCGGTACAGCCGGTGGACCTGATTTCAGAGAGGGAGGGGAGTTTAAAAGGCAGGTCAAAACGGGAGCATCTCAAACTCAAAACCCCACGGACAGCGCTTCCGGGAAGTGCCGAGAACTACGGAATATTCCCCGTTACCAGCTAAAAATAGCGCGTGCGATTGCACACACCATGGCTGTCAACGTTTCCCTTTTTTTAAGGGAAATTGTGGCACTGTGGGTTAAACCACGGAGCCTAGGGCTTGCCGATCAGAAGGTCGGCGGTTCGAATCCCCACGATGGGGTGAGCTCCCGTTGCTCGGTCCCTGCTCCTGACAACCTAGCAGTTCAAAAGCACGCCAGTACAAGTAGATCAATAGGTACCACTCCGGTGGGAAGGTAAACGGTGTTTCCGGGCGCCGCTCTGGTTCGCCAGAAGCGGCTTAGTCCTGCTGGCCACATGACCAGAAGCTGTACGCCGGCTCCCTCAGCCAGTAAAGCGAGATGAGTGCTGCAACCCCAGAGTCGGCCATGACTGGACCTAACGGTCAGGAGTCCCTTTACCCTTATTCTGAATAGGATTCCTCACAAGAAAAGGGAAAAGTTGACAGCTATGGCGCACACACACACCCTTTTGTGCATGCCCCAACCCCAGTCAGACTCTAGTCGGTAAGACTTGAATTAAATCATATATATTTTTACAGAAAGACTCATCCTTGCTGGTATAAATCTTCACATTTACAAGCAGGTGAAGGTTGCATTTTTGGAATCATACATTTTCAGAGCAGTTTTCACAGCTATATCAAAAATTGCTGATTTGGTGGTACTACTAGAAATACGTGGGACGCGGGTGGCGCTGTGGGTTAAACCACTGAGCCTATTGGGCTTGCCGATCAGAAGGTCGGCAGTTCGAATCCCCGCAATGACGGGGTGAGCTCCCGTTGCTCAGTCCCTGCTCCTGCCAACCTAGCAGTTCAAAAGCACACCAGTGCAAGTAGATAAATAGGTACCGCTCCGGCGGGAAGGGAAACGGCGTTTCTGTGCGCTGCTCTGGTTCGCCAGAAGCGGCTTAGTCCTGCTGGCCACATGACCCGGAAGCTGTACGCCGGCTCCCTCGGCCGGTAAAGCGAGACGAGCGCCGCAACCCCAGAGTCGGCCACGACTGGACCTAATGGTCAGGGGTCCCTTTACCTTTACTAAAAGGTACCCCTGCCCGTACGGGCCAGTCTTGCCAGACTCTAGGGTTGTGCGCCCATCTCACTTAAGAGGCCGGGGGCCAGCGCTGTCCGCAGACACTTCCGGGTCACGTGGCCAGCGTGACGAAGCTGCTCTGGCAAGCCAGCACCAGCGCAGCACACGGAAACGCCGTTTACCTACAAAGCGGGACCTATTTATCTACTTGCACTTTGACGTGCTTTCGAACTGCTAGGTGGGCAGGAGCAGGGACCGAAAGACGGGAGCTATCCCCGCCGCGGGGATTCGAACCGCCGACCTTGCGATCGGCAAGCCCTAGGCGCTGAAGTTTTACCCACAGCGCCACCCGCGTCCCTTTACCTTCACTAGAAATACGTAATTTACTATGAAGTGATTGTGAGGTTTAACACGTTAACTGTTTACATTTAGGCAACTTTTCCGCTCTGCTTTATTGGAAGGAGAAAAACAACCGTTTCCGTAACAGCAATTTAAACGAAACCTGGCTTACCCGCAGAAGGCAAACCAGCATCACAAGTGCTGAAAACGTGAACATGATCGCCGGGATGAGCATGATGACGGCAGCGCCGACGCTCGTGCCAAAGAACGTCACGGCCGCAAGCCAACCGCTGGAAGAGAAGAAAAGGGCATCCGGTCACTGCTGAATGGGGAAGCTTGCATTCTGGCGCAGACCTTCTCGTAAAAGATTCCTGGCTCTGATTTTCAGCAGTTCCCCGGGGACAAGGCCAAAGGCCTTCCTAGTCTAGCTCAGGTAGGTTGGTGTTTGAGACACGAATGAGTAGCAGGCGAGCATAAAAAAAACATACGCAGCCCCAAAGTCCTCAACCGATCCAGACTTCCAAGAAAAGCACCCTCTTTCCCCCTGGAGTCAACATTTCAGTGTTTCCCCTGGTCGCCCCGAAACAAATCCCTGCATGCAGAAATTGAGCAAAGAGAGATATTCTGGTTTTCCACCTGCGGGGACTTCCTCCATTTTTAGCGCTTCCCCCACAACGTATCTTAAATTCTCTCTCACCGCTGCGGCCTCAAAGGAATGGCAGAGATCGAGAACGGGCAGCGCCGTTCTTGGGCACGTAACAAAAAAATAATAGTAATCCAAAGCTTCTTTCTCCTCCTCTCACAACTATTTGCATGAGCGGAGGCTCCCGAAAATGATGCGAAAAACGGGGCAGACCTTCTCATAAAAGCTTCCTGACTCCGATTTTCAGCAAGGAGAGCAGGAGTCTTAGGACATCAAACTGGTGCCATTTGGAAATCACTAAGTGGCGCAAATCCTATCCATGCCCAAACCTGCTTGGGCGTCCGTCTGTCTGTCCTACAGCCCCTGTCAGGCTCAACAAGGCTTGCTCCGGGCTAGAGGCCCACCGTAAGCCGTGAAATATTCTTCTTTCTCGTCTTGGAGGGAATATTATTTGTGATGTGTTAAGACGACGACGCAGAGAGAGAGCTGATCTATGGGGCCCTCTCGCCTAACCCAGAAGGACAGCTCCTTGAGATGTTCCAGAATGCGGCAGCTAGACTGGGGAGCGGCCGCCGGGACCACATAACACCGGTCCTGAGAGATCTGCATTGGCTCCCAGGACGTTTCCGAGCACAATTCAAAGGGCTGGAGCTGACCTTCAAAGACCTATACAGCCCAGTATCCCTGAAGGAGCATCTCCACCCCCACCGAGGTCCAGCCCAGACACCGGGGTCCATCTCCCGAGGGTCTTTTGCCGGTTCCCTCCCTGCGAGAAGTGAGGTTGCAGGAAACCAGGCAGAGGGCCTTCTCGGTGGTGGCGCCCGCCCTGTGAAACGCCCTCCCATCAGATGTCAAGGAAATAAGCAGCTATCTTCTCTTTAAAAGACATCTGAAGGCAGCCCTGTTTAGGGAAGTTTTTAATGTTTAATGCTGTATTGTTTTTAACACTTGATTGGGAACCGCCCAGAGTAGCTGGGGAAGCTCAGCCAGATAGGCGGGGTATAAATAATAAATTATTATTATTATGTTTCCACCACACATATGAGGATCGATTGGGAAATGTCTGCTTGAAACACACTGATTTTCAACTGTGCATTGTCGAAGTCCGGCCAGCCGGCATCCCACAACTTCAATGCGACGCGAGGAGAGGACCTTGCTTGGGGAAGCAAGGCCCTCTTTCTCTCGACGGGTCTGGGGTGCTCCCGTGAGAGATCTCGCGGGGATTCGTGCGGCCCCAGGAGATCTTGTGAGAGCCAGAGCACGTGGGAGTTGGGTTCTGACGATTCATACCTCGGATTCCGAACACCTTGGTACTCAGACGTTTTGGCTCCTGAACAGCGCAAACCGGAAGTAAGTGTTCCAGTTTGTGAATGTTCTTTAGAACCCGAACATCTGGCGGGGCTTCCGATTGGCTGCAGGAAGCTCCGGCAGCGAATCGGAAGCCGCGCCGGACGTTCGGCTTCCAAAAATGGTTCGCAAACCGGAACACTCACTTCCGGGTTTGCGACGTCCGGGAGCCAAAACGTCCGGGAACTCGGCCGTCCGACTTCCAAAGTACGGCTGTGTATCCTCAATCTTTTCAGAAACGAATAAACTTACCACGCTCCCCAGCCGCCGATGCCGACGGCTTGAATGACGGTCAGGACGAACTGGGCTCCGAAGACAAAGAAGAAAGCCATGAAGTTAAAAGAGCTGTCCGACCTGTGGGAGGAAGTGGAAAAGAGAGAGGATTCAGCGCAGGCCAGGAGTCTTCAAATGGACGAAAACATTGCAGAGAGAGGGCCTTCTCGGTGGTGGCACCCGTCCTGTGGAACGCCTTCCCGCCAGATGTCAAGGAGATAACGATTGGACTTTTAGAAGACATCTGAAGGCAGCCCTGCTTAGAGAAGTTTTTAATGTTGGATATTTTATTGTATTTTTAATAGTCTGTTGGGAGCTGCCCAGAGTGGCTGGGGAAGCCCAGCCAGGTGGGTGGGGTATAAAAAATAAAATTGTTGTTGGTTAGGGTATAAATAATAAAAAATTTGCTGCTGTTGTTGTTAAGAGTTTGATGTTTTATTGTGACTTCACAATTTGTTGGATATAGCAAAAAACAAGAACGGAAGCCAGCTAATAATTGGTTTATTAGGCTGTGAGTTTAGTTCGAAGGTAAGTTAGAATTAAGAGATCAGGAGAGGAGAAAATAAAGGTTTGGGAAGGGGGAAATAAGAGGAAAGAGAGGAAGGGAAGTCCTACGTCCCCCCCCCCCCCGAATATGTAAGAATTTTGAAATGTAATAGAAATGCAAATAGACAGAAATAAAAAAATTACCGTATTTTTTGCTCTATAAGACTCCCTTTTTTCCTCCTAAAAAGTAAGGGGAAATGTGTGTGCGTCTTATGGAGCGAATGCAGGCTGCGCAGCTATCCCAGAAGCCAGAACAGCAAGAGGGATTGCTGCTTTCACTGCGCAGCAATCCCTCTTGCTGTTCTGGCTTCTGAGATTCAGAATATTTTTGTTCTTGTTTTCCTCCTCCAAAAACTAGGTGCGTCTTGTGGTCTGGTGCGTCTTATAGAGTGAAAAATACGGTAAACGTTCTCTCCGGCAGTTCAGAAAGGCTGCATCCTAGCCGGATGGGCGGGGTATAAATAATATAAAAGAATAATAAATATTATTACTTAAAGTTTGATGTTTTATTGCGGTTTTGTAAGGCAGCGAGTGCGGAAGACGCTGCTTCTGAACGCCGCAAGGAGAAAGGCAGCACTTGCGGAGCCAGTTTCTTGATGGACTAGATTTCTCCTTGCAGAGAGGTTTTTAAAAGACAACAAAAGGAGCCCACCCACAGGGCTCTTAGCAACATAAGGAGGAGATAAATGCAGGTGGAGGGACGCAGGTGGCGCTGTGGGTTAAACCACAGAGCCTAGGACTTGCCGATCAGAAGGTCGGCGGTTCAAATCCCCGCAATGACGGGGTGAGCTCCCGTTGCTCGGTCCATGCTCCTGCCAACCTAGCAGTTCGAAAGCACGTCAAAGTGCAAGTAGATCAATAGGTACTGCTCCGGCGGGAAGGTAAACGGCGTTCCCGTGCGCTGCTCTGGTTTGCCAGAAGCGGCTTAGTCCTGCTGGCCACATGACCCAGAAGCTGTACGCCGGCTCCCTCGGCCAGTAAAGCGAGATGAGCGCCACAACCCCAGAGTCGGCCACGACTGGACCTAATGGTCAGGGGTCCCTTTACCTTTACCTTAAATGCCGATGGACGGGCCATTTACCTAAAGGCTTTGTAGACCGGCCGGAACCAGCAGACGTAACCGCAGGGGCTGAAAGCGAGCAGCCAGAGGAGCGCCAAGCCGAAGTTGGCCCCGGAACCGCCGGCGATCCACCAGGCCAGGCAGGCGATGAGATTGACGCCCAAGGTGATGCAATAGACTGTAGAAGACGGGAGAGAGAAAAAAAGGGAAAGAAATGTCCTAAGGCGACAGAAATGGGTTTGGATAGCTCAGTTGGCTGGGCGTGGCGCAGATTTAACGCCACGGTTGCGGGTTCGACTCCCTTAAGGGACACAGCTGCAAATTCCTTTTTCTATTTTATATACAGTGGTACCTCGGGTTACATACGCTTCAGGTTACAGACTCCGCTAACCCAGAAATAGTGCTTCAGGTTAAGAACTTTGCTTCAGGATGAGAACAGAAATCGTGTGGCAGCAGCGGGAGGCCCCATTAGCTAAAGTGGTGCTTCAGGTTAAGAACAGTTTCAGGTTAAGAATGGACCTCCGGAACAAATTAAGTACTTAACCCGAGGTACCACTGTAATGAATGAATGAATCTTGATTTGCGTCAGCCGTTGACCATAGCAATAAAACAACAATACGATATACAAAGAACAGAAATAAAAAGTCAATTGTTGTTGTTTTAAATAAGGCCTTTTATGCCATTCAAAGTCTGGCCCTTGTCTAAATGCCCCCTCCATTCTGTAGGCTTTCTAAATACAGTGGTACCTCGGGTTACATACGCTTCAGGTTACAGACTCCGCTAACCCAGAAATAGTGCTTTAGGTTAAGAACTTTGCTTCAGGATGAGAACGGAAATCGTGTGGCAGCAGCGGGAGGCCCCATTAGCTAAAGTGGTGCTTCAGGTTAAGAACAGTTTCAGGTTAAGAACGGACCTCCGGAACGAATTAAGTACTTAACCCGAGGTACCACTGTATATATATAATTTTTATAGGTTTTTGCACATGTTTTCCAAACATAACATCCCATCTTATACAACATAACAAACCTTTGGCTACCACAGCCTAGGACTTCTGTCAACCTCGACTAATGGGTTTTCTGACTCTCCCTGATTTCGCATTTTATTTTAATACAGCGAGGGGGGGGGAGAGTATTTGATCCCCTGCTAAATTTGCCCGTTTGCCCTCTGACGAAGAAATGACCAGTCCCCAATTTTAACGGTAGGTTTATTGCAGCTGTGAGAGACAGAATAACAATAGAGGGCCTTCTTGGTGGTGGCGCCCGCCCTGTGGAACACCCTCCCTTCAGATGTGAAGGAAATAAGCAGCTATCCTATCTTTAAAAGACATCTGAAGGCAGCCCTGTTTAGGGAAGTTTTTAATATTTAACGCTGTATTGTTTTTAACACTTGATTGGAAGCCGCCCAGAGTGGCTGGGGAAACTCAGCCAGATGGGCGGCGTATAAATAATAAATTATTATTATTATTATAAATTATTATTAACAGGAAAACCCCCCAGAAACCCAGAAGACAAAAGTCATGTAACTTTAATTGAAAACTACCTTTAGAAAGATTTTTCCTTCAAAAGCGTTTTATTTTTAAAATCCCGATCTAAATTTTTAAAAATCCCATTTTTTTATTTACCGTATTTTTTGCTCTATAAGACTCAATTTTTCCCTCCGAAAAAGTAAGGGGAAATGTGTGTGCGTCTTATGGAGCGAATGCAGGCTGCGCAGCTATCCCAGAAGCCAGAACAGCAAGAGGGATTGCTGCTTTCACTGCGCAGCGATCCCTCTTGCTGTTCTGGCTTCTGAGATTCAGAATATTATTTTTTCTTGTTTTCCTCCTCCAAAAACTAGGTGCGTCTTGTGGTCTGGTGCGTCTTATAGAGCGAAAAATACGGTACTTTAAAAAAAAACACATTGCTTTTTATCCACCCTGAATGTCGTTTTTCCCCCCCGGGGGAAACTTACAGATCCATAAGTGATAGATCCGTCTCACCAGCGTCTGATGATCGATGGGAATCTCGTCGGCAAAGTTCTGGTAGAAGCACGGCTTCAGCGGGATGAATTTGGGAAGCGGAGGGAAGTTGTTGACTTTCTCTGGGAAAGGAACGAGAAAAACCAAAGTCGGGAAAAGAGGTTTTGGGGTTTGCGAAACGTCGCTTTTGCCGCCGGAAGGTTAAGCCGGCGACTCAAAAATCCCTGAAAACAGATAGGAACCGGTTCCGGAGACATGGTGAATCCGGATACTCCCTAACTGAAGGCAAGATTTGCGCTCCCAATCTATTTCTTGGCACCAGTTTATCTGCCTCCCCGTTCTACCTTTCAATGCTTTATTACAGCTCTTCTCAAAGCTGCGATCTATGCTCTATTTTATCGGACTAACAACCTCCGCCGTGAGGTTGCAGGAAGTTGCAGGAAAGGAAAAGCTGAGCTCTCTTCCAGCCCCCCCTGAATGAGAGGCATTATTAATGAGTCGCTGTGGGTTAAACCACAGAGCCTAGGACTTGCCGATCAGAAGGTCGGCAGTTCGAATCCCCGCAATGACGGGGTGAGCTCCCGTTGCTCAGTCCCTGCTCCTGCCCACCTAGCAGTTCGAAAGCACGTCAAAGTGCAAGTAGATAAATAGGTACCGCTCCGGCGGGAAGGTAAATGGCGTTTCCGTGCGCTGCTCTGGTTCGCCAGAAGCGGCTTCGTCCTGCTGGCCACATGACCCGGAAGCTGTACGCCGGCTCCCTCGGCCAGTAAAGCGAGATGAGCGCCGCAACCCCAGAGTCGGCCACGACTGGACCTAATGGTCAGGGGTCCCTTTACCTTATAGCCTCACAAGGCTCACAACTTTACTTTGAGCGAGACTCGACAACTGCTCCCAATAATAAATATTGAAAAGAGGCTTATTAGCAAATGGGACTAAAACACTCCCTGTGCAAAGACGCCGAGACCTCGGTCACAATTAGAAACCAGTTGATTACCTGAGGAACTGGAAGCAAGTTTGGCTCAATAATTTCTACTTGGCATCAGCTATTATCTTATGTATGGAAGTGAGAGCTGGACCATAAAGTGAATATCATTACCTGCCATTTTGTCCTTCGGGTGTTTCCCACGGGGCGGTTTTCAAGTCAGAGTCGACCCTACGGGAGAAAAGACAAAAATTCTGAGCCTCACCAGGACATTTCTCGTTTCCTTGGGGCAGAGGACGCCCACCTAAACGGAAAGCAAGCTAACTCAGCAAAGAAACAAAACAGCAACGCAGCGTTTCAACGACCCCCGAACCAAATACCGTATTTTTTGCACCATAACACTCACTTTTTTCCTCCTAGAAAGTAAGGGGAAATGTTTGTGCGTGTTATGGAGGGAATGCCTATGGGTGGCATGCCTACGGATTTTCCTCCTCTAAAAACTACGTGCGTGTTATGGCCGGGTGCGTGTTATAGAGCGAAAAATACGGTACCTAGCAACGCAGGTGATTTAAAGCAGGGGTCAGCAAACTTTTTCAGCAGGGGGCCGGTCCACTATCCCTCAGACCTTGTGGGGGGCCGGACTATATTTGGGGGGGAAGGAACGAATTCCTGTGCCCCACAAATAACCCAGAGATGCATTTTAAATAAAATGACACATTCTACTCACGTAATAACACACTAATTTCCGGACCGTCTGTGGGCCGGATTTAGAAGGCGATTAGGCTGGATCAGTCCCCCAGGCCTTAGTTTGCCTACCCATGATCTAAAGTCAAGAAATATCACAGAATTTTGCAATTCGGAGGGACCCCAAAGGTCATCCAGTCCAACCCCATACAATGCAGGAATCTCGACTAAAGCATCCATGACAGATGGCTGTCCAACCTCTGCTTGAAAACCTCCAAGGATGGAGAGATCGCTGCCTTCCATCCCACGGACTAACAGCTCCCACTGTCAGAAAGTTGTTCCTGACGTTGAGTCAGAATCTCCTCTCTTGTCACCTGAAGCCACGGGTTCGAGTCCTGCCCTCCAGAGCAGGAGAAAACAAGCCATGTGACAGCCCTTTGGATATTGGAAGAGGGCTCTCCTATCTCCTCTCAGTCTCCTCTTTTCCAGGCTAAACGTAACCAGCTCCTTCGACCGTTCCTCATCAGGCTTGGTTTCCAGAACCTTCTTTCTGCACAACTTCCGGCCGGTCAACATCCTACTTTAAATTGTGGTGCCCAGAACTGGACACAGGACTCCAGGTGTGGTCTGACCAAGGCGGAATAGCGCCAAGACTGTGACTCCCCTTGATCCAGACAAGTTAGAAGAAAAGAGATTCCGACTGAACAATAGGAATACAGTGGTACCTCGGGTTAAGAACTTAATTCGTTCTGGAGGTCCGTTCTTAACCTGAAACTGTTCTTAACCTGAAGCACCGCTTTAGCTAATGGGGCCTCCTGCTGCCGCTGCACGATTTCTGTTCTCATCCCGAAGCAAAGTTCTTAACCCAAGGTACTATTTCTGGGTTAGTGGAGTCTGTAACCTGAAGCGTATGTAACCTGAGGTACCACTGTAACTTCCTATTGTTTGGCAGTGGAACAGGTTGCGGAAAGAGGGTCTTCGGTAACTGGGTCCTCCCCAATTTGCCCACCTGTAAACTCCGATACATGGGACACGGGTGGCGCTGTGGGTTAAACCACAGAGCCTAGGGCTTGCCGATCAGAAGGTCGGCAGTTCGAATCCCCGCAATGACGGGGTGAGCTCCCGTTGCTCAGTCCCTGCTCCTGCCAACCTAGCAGTTCGAAAGCACCTCAAAGTGCAAGTAGATCAATAGGTACCGCTCTGGCGGGAAGGTAAACGGCGTTTCCGTGCGCTGCTCTGGTTCGCCAGAAGCAGCTCAGTCCTGCTGGCCACATGACCCAGAAGCTGTACGCTGGCTCCGTCGGCCAGTAAAGCGAGATGAGCGCCGCAACCCCAGAGTCGGCCCGACTGGACCTAATGGTCAGGGGTGCCTTTGCCTTTAAACTCTGATACGCAGCGGGTTAACGCAGCCACACTCCGCAGAAACCAGCCACAGCCTCCTCCTTTCATCCGGGCAGACAGAAGACCCTTTTGTGCTGGGAGCCTTTTTCCAAAAAGCACGCAGGGAGAGTAATACAAAGAGTCTTGTGTGTGTGTCTCCATCTCTGCTCAGAAGCAGCCATTTTTTAATTTTTAATTTTTTGCCAAGCAAACAGAGGCAGCTCTGCTAGAGGGTGTGAGGGCTGAATCCTTGCATAAAAACCCCAAATCGCAGAGAATATTCTATTATTTTGAAGACAGTGGTACCTCAGGTTAAGTACTTAATCCGTTCCGGAGGTCCGTTCTTAACCTGAAACTGTTCTTAAACTGAAGCACAACTTTAGCTAATGGGGCCTCCTGCTGCTGCCACGCCACCAGAGCCCGATTTCTGTTCTTATCCTGAAGCAAAGTTCTTAACCTGAAGCACTATTTCTGGGTTGGCGGAGTGTGTAACCTGAAGCGTATGTAACCTGAAGTACCACTGTAGAGGCATTCCTCTAATGGGAGGGACGGACGAATGACGACAACACCGTCTACAAAGTCGTATTCCCTTCTTAGGAATGAATGGCTCTCCCAAACAAATTCATCCCCCTATCTTTTCCATGCGGTAAGGGAATGTATCTCAAATTTGCCACCCTCCAACGTTTGGGGATTCCTACACAGGAGAAGGCTGTTTTAAGACAGCTGCACAGCTATTGCAGTACGAATTCGGTGGGCTGGACATTTCGGATAATAAGAATAATAATTTCTTATTTATACCCCGCCCATCTTGCTGGGCTTCCCCAGCCACTCTGGGCAGCTTCCAACAAAATATTAAAATACTGTAATACATCAAACATTAAAAGCTTCCCTAAACAGGGCTGCCTTCAGATGTCTTCTAAAAGTGAGATAGTTGTTTATTTCCTTGACATCTGGCGGGAGGGCGTTCCACAGGGCGGGCGCCACCACCGAGAAGGCCCTCTGCCTGGTTCCCTGTAACTTGGCTTCTTGCAGCGAGGGAACCGCCAGAAGGCCCTCGGAGCTGGACCTCAGTGTCCAGGCAGAACGATGGGGGTGGAGACGCTCCTTCAGGTATACTGGACCGAGGCCGTTTAGGGCTTTCAAGGTCAGCACCAACACTTTGAATTGTGCTCGGAAACGTACTGGGAGCCAATGTAGGTCTTTCAGGACTGGTGTTATGTGGTCCCAGCGGCCGCTCCCAGTCCCCAGTCTGGCTGCCGCATTCTGGATTAGTTGCAGTTTCTGGGTCACCTTCAAAGGTCGCCCCACATAGAGCGCATTGCAGTAGTCCAAGCGGGAGATAACCAGAGCATGCACCACTCTGGCCAGACAGGCCGCAGGCAGATATGGTCTCATCCTGCGTACCAGATGGAGCTGCCCTGGACACAGAATTGACCTGCGCCTCCATGGACAGCTGTGAGTCCAGAATGACCCCAGGCTGCGCACCTGGTCCTTTGGGGGCACAGTGACCCCATTCAGGACCAGGGAGTCCTCCACACCCGTCCGCCTCCTGTCCCCCAAAAACAGTCCTTGTGTCTTGTCAGGATTCAACCTCAAACTGTTAGCCGCCATCCATCCTCCAACTGCCTCCAGACCCTCACACAGGACCTTCACCGCCTTCACTGGTTCTGATTTAAAAGAGAGGTAGAGGTGGAGACTCTGGGGGTCCACAATGACCCCAAGGCAGCCCCGCACTGACGCTCCCCTGTACCCCTGCGTAAACCGCTCGCCGATTTAGCTGCCAAGCATAGTCTTCCCACACCAACTGTTTTTCTGCTTAAAAAGGGAAAGGAAAGGTCTATTCGAGATATCCTAGTTTCCTGCCTTCTCGGATGAATGAAAAACATCCCTTGCCGAGGTCACGAAAGCCAAGGCAACACCCATCACGTTCCCGGAGAACGGCCTGATCAGGGAATGCCATTTCAGTTAAATCTGTTTTAAAAGGACTACTTTATTTTTGCTATATTTTAAATTGATTTAGGCAGGCTAGGCCGACTTCTTAAATTGGTCAACCCCACGCCGTGTGTTTTAATAATAATAATAATAATAATAATAATAATTTATTTATTATACCCCACCCATCCGGCTGAGTTTCCCCAGCCGCTCTGGGAGGCTTCCAATCAAGTGTCAAAAACAATATTAAAAACTTCCCTAAACAGGGCTGCCTTCAGATGTCTTTTAAAAAGAAGATAGCTGCTTATTTCCTTGACATCTGACGGGAGGGCGTTCCACAGGGCTGGCACCACTACCAAGAAGGCCCTCTGTCTGGTTCCCTGTAACCTCGCTTCTCACAGGGAGGGAACCACCAGAAGGCCCTCGGAAGATGGACCCAGGTGTCCGGGCTGAACGATGGGGGTGGAGACGCTCCTTCAGGGATACTGGACCATTTAGGGCTTTCAAGGTCAGCACCAACACTTTGAATTGTGCTCGGAAACGTACTGGGAGCCAACGCAGATCTCTCAGGACCGGTGTTATGTGGTCCCGGCGGCCGCTCCCAGTCACCAGTCTAGCTGCCGCATTCTGGATTAATTGCAGTTTAAATGACTCTTATAAACAGAACTGCAGCTTAAAGGTGCCAGGACTCACAGCTTCCTTTACAAGCGACAATTACCAGGATTCGGCTACTTTAAACAGCCACAGAGAACCGTGGGAACTGTAGTTCAAGGGTGCTGGGAAGGAACTGTAGCTCTGGGAGGTTTGTGCCCTCGGAAAACCACCGTTCCGACGAGACAAGGACTCTTCATACCACTCTGACAGCCGTGGCTCCCCGTGGGAACTGTAGCTCAAAAGTGCCGACCTCCCAGAGCTACAAGTCCCAGCACCTTCAAACTACAGTTCCCAGGATTCTCAATTCAAGTCGGACACAGTGGGACTTGCGTCTGAGTAAACCAATGGAGAGGACTGGCTCTGAAAAGCACCGGGACCTCCACCTGCAAAATGAATGAGGCAAAAACCTCTCCTCTCGTGCATTCTACCATTTATGTTTTGTTTGTGTGTGTTTATTCCTTTCCCCTTTTGACTCTCTGGAGGGTCCTTGAGGAAGCATACCCCATATATATATATATATATATATATATATATATATATATATGCACCTTGGTTCTCAAACTCAATCCGTTCCAGAAGTCCGTTCCAAAACCAAACCAAGGCGCGCTTTCCCATAGAAAGTAATGCAAAACGGATTAATCCTTTCCAGACTTTTAAAAACAACCCCTAGAACAAGCAATTTAACATGAGTTTTACTATCTAACAAGACCATTGAGCCATAAAATGAAAGCAATAAACAATGTACTGCCGTCACACAATCAATCAATCAATCAGTAGCTGAACTGGGTTCCACAGTGTCACAAAAACAAAACAAAAAAGAGCCGCCAAAACAAAAATGCAAAATAAATAGCAAAAACAGGCAGACCTCAGCGTAACACACAAAACGGAAGCGTGGCACTCAAAACGGAGCACGTTCACTATCCGAAAAAAGTTCGCAAACCGGAACACTTCCTTCCGGGTTTGCAGAGTTTGGGTTCCAAGTTGTTTCAGTACCAAGGCGTTTGAGAACCAAGGGACCACTGTATGTTCATACAAGACAGAAAAGGCTGTTTGAAAACGGGAAGCTTTAAAGAAATTTCAGCAGCAGATGTCACACCCGTAAGGATAAAATTAACTCTCCGCCCCCTCTGAATCAACCCTTCTTGCAACAGCTTTTCCACGACGGCGAACCCAGATTCAAGATAACCAAGAGAGCAAACTCCACCATTGGTTTGCAGGCAAGCCGCACACTCTGGAGAGTCCCATGGACTGCAAAAAGATCCAACCTCTCCATTCTGAAGGAAACCAGCCCTGAGTGCTCACTGGAAGGACAGATCCTGAAGCTGAGGCTCCAAGACTTTGGCCACCTCATGAGAAGAGAAGACTCCCTGGAAAAGACCCTGATGCTGGGAAAGATGGAGGGCACAAGGAGAAGAGGAGACAGAGATAGTGGGACAGTGTTCTCGAAGCTACCAGCATGAGTTTGACCAAACTGCGGGAGGCAGTGGAAGACAGGAGTGCCTGGCGTGCTCTGGTCCAGGGGGTCACAAAGAGGCGGACACGACTAAACAACTAAACAACAACATATATATATATTTATATACACACACATACACACACAATCACGCCTGGTGATTAGAAAAACAGTAAACACCTGATGCTTAAATAAATGTTATTTAGTTGTTCAAAGTACAAATAAAAAAACTAGCAAAACCAACCGTTGCATATCAAACACAATGCACCGCAGCAAAAAACCAACTAAAGCAAATATAAATATTGCTGCAAAGTCAAGTCTAGCAAATGTAATTGCGCTATTTTATGAGCTTGTCTCAGGGTGGTGCAGAAATATAACTTAATAATAATAATGATGAAAATGATGATGATAATTGTTTGTTTGTGTGTTTGTTTGTTTGTACCCCACCCATGTGATGGGCTTGCACCAGCCACCTCTGGGCAGCTTCCAGAATAAATGTTTTCATTTATTCTGCAAAAAAAACAACTAAAGCAAATGCAATTGTTGCTGCAAAGTCAAATCTAACCAATACAATTGCACTATTCTATGAGCTTCTCTCAGGGCCATGTACAAATATAATGACAGTAACAATGATAAGGATAATAAATATTTATTAAAACATATTATAAAAACATAGCAAAACCAACTGTTGCACAGCAAATGCACTGCTACAAAACCAACTAAGAATGGTAGCAATGAAAATGACAACAACAAGAGTAATAATAATGACAACCATAATAAATATTATTTCCATACCCCAAACCAACTGTTGCACAGCAAACTCAATGCACTACTCTGCAAAACCAACTGAAGCAAAAGCAATTATTGCTGCAAAGTCAAATCTCACCAATATAATTGCACTATTCTAGGAGCTTCTCTCAGAGCGATGTACAAATATAATAATAGTAACAATGGTAATAATGACAAGGACAACAATAAATATTATTTACATACCCAAACCAACTGTTGCACAGCAAACTCAATGCACTTCTGCAAAACCAACTACAGCAAATGCAATTATTTCTGCAAAGTCAAATCTCACCAATACAATTGCACTATTCTAGGAGCTTCTCTCAGAGCAGTGTACAAATATAAAAATAGTAATAATGACAAGGACAACAATAAATATTATTTACCTACCCAAACCAACTGTTGCACAGCAAACTCAATGCACCACTTTGCAAAATCAACTGAAGCAAATGAAATTGTTGCTGCAAAGAGGAATTGCAATACCAGCCCAGCAATGGCCCCCGTTGCAAACGGAGCTCCCCCCCCCCGCCTTGCACACGCGCCGAGCGTGCAACACGCGCCCTTTGCCCGGGCTCCTGGTGCAAGCCCCGCCCCCTCCCACCAGCCAGCCAATCAGCGGCGTCCCCGGGCCTGAGGGCGTTTCGGGAAGCGGGAGCCGCGGCTCCGGGTCCGTTACCTCCGCCGACGCCTCTGCCAGCATCTGCCGCCGACGCCAACGCCGCCCTTCGCTCTTTTCCCCCGGCCCTCCGGTTCCCCGCGGTGCGCCTCTGGGAGTCGTAGTCCTCGAAGAGGCTCCCCTCATAGGGCCTCGCGGGAGGCGGGACTGCAACTCCCGTCGGCCACCGCGGCCGGTCACGGGACAGCCGTCAACGCCGCCCTCCGCTCTTTTCCTCCGCTTCCCCGCGGTGCGCCTCTGGGAGTCGTAGTCCTCGAAGAGGCTCCCCTCATAGGGCGTCGCGGGAGGCGGGACTGCAACTCCCGTCGGCCACCGCGGCCGGTCACGGGACGGCCTCCAACACCGCCCTCCGCTCTACCCCCCGCCCTCCGTTTCCCCGCGGTGGCCCCTGGGAGTCGTAGTCCTCGAAGAGGCTCCCCTCATTGGGCCTCGCGGAAGGCGGGACTGCAACTCCCATCCGCCACCGCGGCCGGTCACGAGATGGCCATCCGCTTGCGGGCGCCTAGGGAGAGAGAGAGAGGGGAAGGAAAAGAACATAGACTTTTCTAGTAGACTGGCACGCGGGGACGGAGTTGCGGGATTCGTTTGGGAAGGAAGAAGCTTCACAGGGCGAGCAGGTCCAAGACTGAAGCCCAAAACAATTGTTGTTGTTTAGTCGTGTCCGCCTCTTCGTGACCCCGTGGACCAGAGCACACCAGGCCCTCCTGTCTTCCACTGCCTCCCGCAGTTTGGTCAAACTCATGCTGGTAGCTTTGAGAACACTGTCCCACCATCTCATCCTCTGTCGTCCCCTTCTCCTTTTGCCCTCCATCTTTCCCAACATCAGGGTCTTTTCCAGGGAGTCTTCTCTTCTCATGGGGTGACCAAAGTCTTGCAGCCTCAGCTTCAGGATCTGTCCTTCCAGTGAGCACTCAGGGCTGATTTCCTTCCGAATGGAGAGGTTGGATCTTTTTGCAGTCCATGGGACTCTCAAGAGTCTCCTCCAGCACCAGAATTCAAAAGCATCCATTTTTCGGCCATCAGCCTTCTTTGTGGTCCAGCTCTCACTTCCATACATCACTACTGGGAAAACCATAGCTTTAACTAGACGGACCTTTGTTGGCAAGGTGATGTCTCTGCTTTTTAAGATGCTGTCTAGGTTTGTCATTGCTTTACTCCCAAGAAGCAGGCGTCTTTTAATTTCGTGGCTGCTGTCACCATCTGCAGTGATCATGGAGCCCAAGAAAGTAAAATCTCTCACTGCCTCCATTTCTTCCCCTTCTATTTGCCAGGAGGAGATGGGACCAGTGGCCATGATCTTCGTTTTTTTCTATGTTGAGCTTCAGACCATATTTTGCACTCTCTTCTTTCACCCTCAATAAAAGGTTCTTTGCCTGCCATCAAATCCTTTCTCCCAATCTGCCTCTACTTCCCATATATGGCTTAACCCCCCCCCCCCCATAAACTAAATTTCTTCCTGCAAGCAAAACTGGAACCCACCTAAACACAAACTCCCATGAATATTTTCTCCTTATTCTACCCGCAAAGCTTGAGGGCACAGGATTATAAAGATATCACGAGGTACATTTAGGATTCTGAAGGCCCTCCAAACCTCCTAAAACAGGCACCCCCAACCACGGCCCTCCAGATGTTTTGGGACTACAACTCCCATCATCCCTGACCACTGGTCCTGTTAGCTAGGGACAATGGGAGTTGTAGTCCCAAAATATCTGGAGGGCCAAGGCTGGGGGTACCTGTCCTAAAACACTCTTATTTTCTTGCAAAACACACTTGCAATATTTAAAGAGCAAGGAAGGATGAAGGCTTGATCTGTTCATGAAAAAATCAGAGATGGAGAATTATTCAGTTTATGTGAGATCTAGCGGACAAGTTTCAAAGATTGAGTTTCTAGAGAGTTTCTGATATACAAGTTGCAGATTCGATTGATTTGAGGTTTGTATTCCCTAGTGGTAATACTCCGGCGGGAAGGTAAACGGCGTTTCCGTGCGTTGCTCTGGTTCGCCAGAAGCAGCTTAGTCCTGCTGGCCACATGACCCGGAAGCTGTACGCCGGTTCCCTCGGCCAATAAAGCGAGATGAGCGCCGCAACCCCAGAGTCGGCCACGACTGGACCTAATGGTCAGGGGTCCCTTTACCTTAAGGAGTCTCTATGGGAGTATATTGTATTTAAAAATAGGGTATCAGAGTTTTTAGGGGGCTAACCAGGCTGGGATAGCAGGCTTGTTGGTTTCGGAATGTCTGATGTTGATTTTTCAATTTCGTTGTTCTGTATGGGACAATGACAGCAAAGATTATCATATCGGCGGAGGATCTGGGCTCAGCAACTGGTCCAAGCAAACCATTTAAGAGACAGACACACTCTTTGTTCGGTGCAATGGAAGTTTTATTCTAACAGGCAAGAACCAAATGCCCAGAATGAACAGGTGTTCGTTTCGGCAAAGTAGCACGATACGCAGGTTTTGGGAGGGATGCGGGGGCAGAAGAGATGCCCCGTGGCGTGCTCTGTGTCTCTCACTCTGTTTACTTGACCTTCTTCTTGGGGCGAAGGTTATTGGTGTGGCCGCACTTTTTCTTGCGGCAGTTGACGGCACGGGGGTGCAAGCGGGCATAACACCTGGAAGGGGAACAGCGCAGAAACAGTGAGGCTCCGGATTAGAGGATAAGGATCCGTCCCGGCAAGCGACCCACCCGCCCAGACAACTTACTTGCGGCAAATCATCTTGTCGCAGTTGTATTTCTGGGCCAGCTGGCGGAGAGAGGGCTCGATGATCCCCCCGCGGAGACGAAGAACCAGGTGGAGAGTAGACTCTGAGCAGGGGAAGGGGGAAAAGCAAAATTAGCAGCTCCTATACTGGTGTTTCAGGGTGTGGGTTTTTTTTGGGGGGGGGGAGGGGAGACCGGGAGCAGCCAGCCTGGAAACCCAGCTTCACAGGGACTCCAGGAATTCTAAATCAGAGTCGCCAGTTATGGGGGACGTCAGGAATTAGGCAGAAAGGAGCAAAATGAGACACAACAAGACGGAAAAAGTAAAAAACAAAATGAGATCACACATGGGTGAAGGGGAACAGGGGGTATAGGGGAATTTGAAGTATTATTTATAATCTAAAAGCTTTAATATAAAATTTCTAACTGTGTTGTATTTGTATACAGAAAAGAGAGGTTTAGCGCAATTAGGTATATTTTAATTTAGTTAATTATGTAATAGGTTCACGTTAGAAAATGAATATGGATGTTGACTGTGATGTTTGTAATTTTTCATTTTTGGAAATAAAAAAATAAATAATAATAATAAAAAGAGACTGCCGTCTTGTGTGGCAGAAGGGGGCCGGGGTGGGGTGGGGTATTCTCCGCCGCAGATGCGTACCTTTCTGGATGTTGTAGTCGGAGAGCGTGCGGCCGTCTTCCAGCTGCTTCCCCGCGAAGATCAGGCGCTGCTGATCGGGAGGGATACCTGCAAAAGGAGATGTTATGAAAATCCCGCCTGCGGGAGAGCCCTAGCAGAGTCAGACCCACCGGCCCAGGATTGGCTACACTGGCTGGCAGAGACTCCCCGAGGTTTCAGGCTCTTCCTCTATATCAACAAAGCGAGATTCTAGTCCTCATGGTTCTGAAGCAGCAACGCAGTACAGGAATATATTCCTGCGTGCTAACAGTATTTTACCAGTGCTTTGTTATTTTAACCCATGTGCCACTGTCCTCATTCTGCATGCCTGCTTTATAGTTTAGTTTATCATTTTATAAAATTCTTGCCTGCTGTTCTAATTGCACACACACATACACACTCCTTTTAAACTTTACTATACCTAGCTATCTATATCTGGGTGGACTTTTCGGCAGCCCTCAGGAACATTCAAGGGGGGAGGGAGATAATAATTATGTTTTTATAATATGATATAATAATAGGTAACTAAGATGATTTTCTGTGTCATGCGTGGGTAACAAAATCGCACAGCTCTGTTTGTGTATTCAATTCGCTTAGCAACTAAGTATATTAAATCTATCAATTGTGTGTTTAATTATACACAATTAAATAGATATATTAATTATTTGGTACATTAAGTACATTGTGAACGCTTTATGATAAGGAAATTTATTCAGTTTGTGGCCCACGGTTTTCTGGGTCACAGTAGAGTCGTACCTTGGATCCTAAACTCCACAAACCCAGAAGTGAGCGTTCCAGTTTGCGAACGTTCTTTGCAACCCGAACGCCAGACGCAGCTTCTGATTGGCCTCAGGGGGTTTCCCTGCAGCCAATCAGGAAGCAGCGCCTTGGTTTCCGAACGTTTTGTAAGTGGAACAGACTTCTGGAACGGATTCCGTTTGACTTCTGAGGTACCACTGTAGTTTTGTGGCCCCACTTGGTATGAGAAGCTGGGATTGCCCTGACCTATGCGTGCTGACAAATTATATTAATATATCTGAACTACTCTATAAAGACTGGACCTAATGGTCAGGGGTCCCTTTACCTTTACTTTATAAAATGCCCCCCCCCCAAAAAAACCCCAAGCTCTCCTCACTCCATCAGCTCTCCTTCTCCTCCCCTGAACTAGCTGGTTATTATGAGACAAGAAGAATTTTAAGAATTAGTGCCCGAGTTCGAATTCTCCCCCTTTGCCCTCCTGCAGCACGTTTTTTCTGCCTGTGGGCAGAGACGATCTTGCTTTTCACTGAATCTTTTGCAGGCCCCTTTGCAAGCCCAACGCTCTGAAAAAGCATCAGTCCCTTGGGCGCTCTGGCATCCCCAAGAGATTCAACCACTCTCACCTTCCTTATCCTGGATTTTCGCCTTGACGTTCTCAATAGTGTCGCTGGGCTCCACCTCGAGGGTGATAGTCTTGCCCGTCAGGGTCTTCACAAAAATCTGCATCCTGGCAGTTGAGCGTCACCTGAAGGGGGGGGAAGAGAGTCGAAGTGGTTAAACCAAATCAATATCAGGATCGCCACTTCACAGTGAAGCAGAGAGTTGCTTCCTTAAACCCTCCTGGTAAATTGCGAGGCACACGAATCTCACTGCTCAAGATGGGAACCTATATATTAAAATCCTGCATTGAATATTAACCATGTTATGCCCCCTGCCAAATAATGACACAACAATTGGTTGTGAGTAATATTGGGTGAGGGCCTAAACAAAATCCAACTGCTTTAAAGGCTGAGATCCCCTGCTTGCTGACCTGGGAGTAAGCCCCCACTGAACAAACCAAATCCATTATAAGATTTAACCACCAGCCCTTCAAACCCAGAGGGGAGGTTCAGATGACAATGTATAAAAAGCACAGCGCAAACACATTAGGTTATATCTGTGACCCCCCAAAAATTGGGTGGTTTTTGTGTGTATAGACACACGGGTGGGTGGGTAGATATAAAACAAATATAGGACACGATGTAATTTACAGACATGAATAAAACGAAACAGAAGGCAGAAAAGCAGCTGTATCAAGAGTTTTTCTCGATATTGCGTACGTATCATGAGAAGAGGCGAAACATAAGGTGTATATGTAAACATACATACATACATACCTTTTCCATTTTGGGGTTTTATGCCATATTCATTACACACACACACACACACACACACATATATATATATATATATATACCCAGAGACCAACAAGGTTATAGATAGATGATAGATAATAAAACGCAAAATTAGAAATGTAACGTAAGTTATGACTATAACATAAAACCCAGAAACAGAAAAGGTTATATATGTAGATATATATATATATACACAGAATTACAAATATAACATAAAACCCGGAAACAGGTAATGTTATAGATAGATATAAAATGCAGAAATATAAATATAACATAAATTATGAATATAACATAAAACCCAGAAACTGACAAGGTAATATATATATATATACACTGGGTTTTATGCCCTATTCGTAATTTATGTTATATTTTCTCTCTCTCTCTCCTTCTCTATAGAATAAAACGCACAATTACAAATATAGCGTCAATTACGAACGTGACGTAAAACCCAGAAACGGCTACAGATACAAAGCCCTCTCAGAGGGGGGGGAGAAATGAGATTATCCACAAGAGGCTGCCCGACTTGCGAGTAGACAAGAATTCAAAAGTAACTGATATATATATATATCATATTATATATTATAAAATAAAATATTATCATTCACATATATATATATATATATATATATATATATATAAAAGTGAATGATAATATTTTAGGAGGGGGGAAAGTAAATGATAATTTTTTTATATAAAAAAAGTAAATGATATATATATTTTTAAAAAATAAATGATAATTTCTTATATAAAAAAAGTAAATGATATATATATTTTTAAAAAACAAATGATAATTTTTATATAAAAAAAGTAAATGATATATATATTTTTAAAAAATAAATGATAATTTTGTTATATAAAAAAAGGAAATTATATATATATTTTTAAAAAATAAATGATAATTTTTTAGGAAAAAAAAGTAAATATTTTTTTTTAAAGTAAATGATAATTAAATACACGAAAGGACGAAAACTCCTCTCGCCTCCCCCTCCCGAGATGAAAGGGGCGAAAGGGACCCAGGCGTCCGAGGCGAGGCCACCCACCCTCCACGCGGCTCTCCTGCTTCACCTCCTGCCTCGCCGAACGGAAAGAGAGAGAGGAAGACCCCGACCGGAAGCGGAAGCCGAGCTCCCGCGGGCTACTTCCGGCGCCGCCGCCTCTTCCTCCTCCTTCTGCGCCTCCTCCCTCTCGCTCGCTCTGTCGCTAAGCCACGCCCACCTCCGGCCCGGCGTCACAGACGTCGCCCCGCCCACGGATCCAAGCGACGCATGCGCGCACCTCCCTCTCTCTACTGGGACCGCAGAGCTATGAAAAGCCAAGAGTGGAGGTATGGTGGGAAGTTTCCGGGTTCAACATGCATCTTTATATATATATATATTTTCTTAACACCCCCCCTCAAAGCAGCACACATTTAATTGTTATTTTTAATTTAATTTTTATTAATTGCATTGAGATACCGCCCTATATCCGCGATTCCTCCTCCTCTTCTTCTTCTTCTTCCTATTATTATTATTGTTATTAGCTGTTATATACTGCCCTATACCAGCAGTTCACATTATTATTATTATTATTATTATTATTATTATTATTATTATTAATTGCATGTATATACCTCCCTATACCCGCAGTTCACGTTATTATTATTATTATTTGCATTTACATACTGCCCTATACCCGCAGTATATTTTTAATTTAATTTTTATTAATTGCATTTAGATACCGCCCTATATCTGCGATTCCTCTTCTTCTTCCTATTATTATTATTAGCTGTTATATACTGCCCTATACCCGCAGTTCACATTATTATTATTATTATTATTTGCATTTACATACTGCCCTATACTCGCAGTATATTTTTAATTTAATTTTTATTAATTGCATTTAGATACCGCCCTATATCCGCGATTCCTCTTCTTCTTCTTCTTCCTATTATTATTATTAGCTGTTACATACTGCCCTATACCCACAGTTCACATTATTATTATTATTGTTATTGTTATTAATTTGCATTTATAGACTGCCCTATACCCGCGGTTCTTCTTCTTCTTAGCATTTATATACTGCCTTATACCTGCAGCATATCGACACAAAAAACAGTGACAATTTGTTGTGGACAAAGGACAGCTGGCCCCATTACCTTCAGGAGCTGAGGGCCTCATCAAACCTAAACCCGGTGCCGTCATCACCCATCTCCTCGAATCATAGAGGTGTAGAGGATGGGACCCCCAAGGGGCATCCATCCTGACCCCCTGCAATGCAGGATTTTTTTTCCACGCCATGTGCGACTCGAACCCACAACCCAGAGATTCAGAGTCCCAGGCTCTGCCGACTGAGCTACCCATGCTGGAGGAAGAAGGCAGGAGTTTGGGGTTTCTGTGCGCAGGGAGGCGATTACGTTTATGTTGTTGTTGTTGTTTAGTGGTGTCCGCCTCTTCGTGACCCCCTGGACCAGAGCACGCCAGGCCCTCCTGTCTTCCACTGCCTCCCAGTTTGGTCAAACTCATGCTGGTGGCTTCGAGAACACTGTCCCACCATCTCGTCCTCCGTCGTCCCCTTCTCCTTGCACCCTCCATCTTTCCCAACATCAGGGTCTTTTCCAGGGAGTCTTCTCTTCTCATGAGGTGGCCAAAGTCTTGGAGCCTCAGCTTCAGGATCTGTCCTTCCAGTGAGCACTCAGGGCTGATTTCCTTCCGAATGGAGAGGTTTGATCTTCTTGCAGTCCATGGGACTCTCAAGAGTCTCCTCCAGCACCAGAATTCAAAAGCATCCATTCTTTGGCGATCAGCCTTCTTGATGGTCCAGCTCTCACTTCCATACATCACTGCTGGGAAAACCAGAGCTTGAACTATACGGACCTTTGTTGGAAGGTGAAGTCTCTGCTTTTTAAGATGCTGTCTTGGTTTGTCATTGCTTTACTCCCAAGAAGCAGGCGTCTTTTAATTTTGTGACTGCTGTCACCATCTGCAGTGATCATGGAGCCCAAGAAAGTACAATCTCTCACTGCTTCCATTTCTTCCCCTTCTATTTGCCAGGAGGTGATGGGACCAGTGGCCATGATCTTCGTTTTTTTGATGTTGAGCTTCAGACCAGATTTTGCGCTCTCCTCTTTCACCCTCATTAAAAGGCTCTTTAATTCCTCCTCACTTTCTGCCATCAAGGTTGTGTCATCTGCATATCTTAGGTTACGTTTATACAGCCGCCCAAATACTGGGTGCTTTGCAAAGCCACCGGCGATCTTAACATGCCCAGAGGCCCACTTGTCATCCTGTGCCCTTAAACACCTAAGAAACCCTCTCATGGAAAAACTTTGAACCGTCGTCTCTCGAGACAGACAGATGCCAAGAACAAAATAGCTGCATTTCTATAAACAGTCAGTGCCTTCTCATTTAAAAAAAAACCTTTGGAACTCCCTACCTATTGATGTCAGCCTTTGCAGTGTTCTTTTTGGCACCCGTTAACATTTTTTTCGGAGAAGCCTGCCCGCATGTTTAGAAAGCTGATGATAGTTTCTGTTTTTAGTCTGTTATTGTAACTTTTTTTGAAAACCTTTGATTGTTGCTGCTGATGTTTCAAATTGATGGTTTTATTGTTTCCTTGAGGTTTTCCTTGTTTGCAATCAAGTGGTGTGTAAGTTTTATGAAACAAATAAACAGGCCCCAAACTGGAAATCACAGTCGTACCATTTCCAGCAAACGGATTAGACCAGGGGTCAGCAAACTTTTTCAGCCAGGGGCCGGTCCACCGTCCCTCAGACCTTGTGGGGGGCCAGACTATATTTGGGGAGCGGGGGAATGAACGAATAGCTATGCCCCACAAATAACCCAGAGATGCATTTTAAATAAAAGCACACATTCTACTCATATAAAAACATGCTGATTACCGGATCTATCTATCTTTCTTTTTCTTTCTTTCTTTCCTTCCTTCCTTTTCTTTCTCTCCTTCCTTCTTTCCTTTTCTTACCTACCTACCTTCCTTCCTTCCTCCCTCTTTCTTTCTTTCTTTCTTTCTTTCTTTCCTTCCTTCCTTCCTTCCTTCTTTCCTTCCTTCCTTCCTTCCTTCCTTCCTCTCTCTCTCTTCCTTCCTTCCTTCCTTCCTTCCTTCCTTCCTTCCTTCCTTCCTTCCTTCTTCACACCCCCCCCAAATTACAGGTGAGTGGATCAGATGGGGCCTAAGGGCTCTAACCAACGCTAGCTTCTCCTCAGAGTAATCCCACTGAAGCTAATGGCTGGGACTAACTCAGCTCCATCCATGTCAATGTCTTCGGAGCAGAATTTAGCTGGATACATTCCTAAAACAGTGATCCAGCCTGTTTTCCTGCCAGCCTAAACTTTGGAACTGCCTGCCACTGGATATCAGGCAGGCGTCCTCAGAGTCCTCTTTTCGGCACTTGCCCCAAAACGCCACGTTTTTGTTTAGACATGCTTGCCCATCTTATAAATACGTTTAGAAAGTTGCTGTGGGTTTTAATCTGTCGTTCGCCGGCTGCTATTTCAACTTAGAGGAAAGGCTGGTTATAAATGAGATTGTGTTGCAAAACACCCGGTGATCTTAGGATGAAGGACCGTGGATAAATTTAATTTCAACCAATCATTAATAATCATCATCATAATAATCCGACAGGTAAAAGAAGCGTGTAAAGAGATCGGGACACAAAGGTATTTTTTGTTCTTGTTTTTATAGAAAATAGGCTTTTTTAAAAAATGTAGAAAGAGAACAAGAAACAACATCTTTTTTAAAAACAACAACAACACCCAGCTTATGAGGCACTCGGTGTGACCATAGTGGTGAATTTAAATTAGAGAGAGATATATAAGTATATATTTTTAAAGGCTAAAAACTGGTAATTTGTCTGGGTGAGTTCCCGTCCCAAAGTGTGCCTATTGGCTTGATCTCTGTGATGTCACGGAATGTTTGTGGGAAGAGTCAGCAACGGGATGTTAACAAACGGCGCAGCTTCGGGAGTTGGGGCAGGGCCTGAATTTTCCGCTCAGCGCAGAGAAAAACCTCCCGCAGGATTTTAGGGCAGGGATAGGGTGTCGCCGAGAGGCAAGCAGAGAGCAGAGAACCCCATACTGATCTGAGCTAAGCTGCTAGACCTCAAGAACTGCAGTCCCGGCTTCCCCCTCGCTCTCACAATGTGAGGAGGAGAGGAGGAGGAGAATTCTGCAGAGTGGGGGGGTGCCCAAAAGGAGGAAGAGGAGGAAAAACTGGGGCAGATATGCTTAGGTGACATCAGCCGAGATATCTATCTATCTGTCTATATATATATATAAATAAGGCTGTCGTCGTCTTTTGGTCTTAATAAATATCAGATATATACGGTCTGTACATCGTTAACAGATAATGCCCCAGGCGTGTCGTCGGGAGTCGGATAGAGCACAACGGCAGGTTCAGATGTAGTTTTCCTCCGCTTCATCTGTGTCCAGTGGGTATCGGTTCGGGGCTACGGGAGAAATCAAAAGAGGAGAGGGCAAAATTCAGGATTTGCATAGAACGGCACCGTCAGCGTGGGCGACGGATGCAGAAGTCAGGCCTCTCTGCCCGCAAAGAACTTACAATCTGGAGGCATATTTCCTTCGACACCCAACAGAATTATGGGATCTGTAGTTTTCCCCTCCCACAGCTACAATTCCCGGATGGGGGAATTGCTGATGGGGGACTAAAGGATAACAGAGCAAGACAGAGGCGGTGGCCAGAAAGAGGCGGACAAGGCGCCATCCAACTGCCTTAGGGCCTCCGGATCTGTGTAGGGTTTACTCCCGAGTTTTTTATTCTCCCAAAGATATCCCACAAACAGGACCGGATTTAGGTCTAATGAGGCCCTAAGCCAGGCATAAGCAAACTCCAGCCCTCCAGATGTTTGGGACTACAACTCCCATCATCTGTTGGGTTGAAATAAACGACAGACGAATGGCAAGTGTCATATGGGAGGCATCTACCGAGCAGGTCTTGGCGAGTCTCTTTTATTGAATATTACAGAATTACCACATATGTGCTTGTTGCTGATTGGTTAACACAAATACAATGCAAAGGTTGAATATAGGCATTAATCATCAATAGATTAAAGGTTGGGAAAAGGAAAACAGAATTGGACAGGCGTGAAACCTCCTTATTAAACTATTAACTAGTGATTGATTATCAAGACTTAAACTATTACTAGTGATTGATATTGCATGACATGAAAGAACATAACTATCGCGTTCCGTAGATGTGGTCAACAATGCGTTAAGAACAGGTCAGGGTGTGATGTTTCATGAACTCAATGTGAACTGATCAGAACATTCCCAGACTCATGTGCAAAGGCAGAAACTTCCCAGCAATCATCCCTGACCACTGGTCCTGTTAGCTAGGGGTGATAGGAGTTGTAGTCCCAAACATCTGGAGGGCTGGAGTTTGCCTATGCCGCAGAGACCACATAACACCGGTCTTGAAAGACTTCCATTGGCTCCCAGGACGTTTCCGGGCACAATTTGGGTGTTGGTGCTGACCTTGAAAGCCCTAAACTGCCCAGTAACCCTGAAGGAGCGTCTCCACCCCCATCGTTCTGCCCGGACGCTGAGGTCCAGTGCCGAGGGCCTTCTGGCAGTTCCCTCGCTACGAGAAGCCAAGCTACAGGGAACCAGGCAGAGGGCCTTCTCGGTGGTGGCGCCCGCCCTGTGGAACGCCCTCCCGTCAGATGTCAAAGAGAAAAATAACTACCAAACTTTTAGAAGACATCTGAAGGCAGCCCTGTTTAGGGAAGCTTTTAATGTTTAATAGGTTATTGTGTTTTGTTGGAAGCCGCCCAGAGTGGCTCTGGAAACCCAGCCAGATGGGCAGGGTATAAACAATAAATTATTATTATTATTATTATTATTACAGTGGTGCCTCGCAAGACGAAATTAATCCGTTCCGTGAGAGTCTTCGTCTAGCGGTTTTTTCGTCTTGCGAAGCAACCCTATTAGCGGCTTAACGGATTAGCGCTATTAGCGGTTTAGCGGCTATTAAAGGCTTAAAGGCTTAGCGGATTAGCTGCTAAAAGGCTATTAAAGGCTATTAAAGGCTTAGCGGATTAGATAAAGGGGGGGGAAAGCGAAAAAAAAATCTCAAGACTCGCAAGACATTTTCGTCTTGCGAAGCAAGCCCATGGGGAAATTCGTCCTGCGAAGCAACTCAAAAACGGAAAACCCTTTCGTCTAGCGGGTTTTCCGTCTTGCGAGGCATTCGTCTTGCGGGGCACCACTGTATTACCCTGCAGGGGGAACCCCTAACTTGCCGAGGTTTGAGACCCTAGACACACTGGGGCTGAAACCATGCCAAACAGAGTTTTGGGTCCCAACCCCAGGGGAAAACCTACCTGCGCAGCTTCCATAATGTCGGACGCCGATGGACCGCCCCAGGAAGCAGGTGGCTCTTCGGAGGTGGCAGGTGGAGGGGTACGTGACGTTGTTGTTCCCGCAGATCGCATGGTCAATGTCGGTAGGGTCTGGGCAAGGGGCGGCCCGGCACATGACGCAGTGGGCACTGGCAGTCTGGTCCACGACACACGTGTGGGTCCCGGGACACACGACCGTGGAGCACGATTCTGCACAAGGGGACACACACAGACACATCAGAGAAATAATAATAATGATGATGATTTATTATTTATACCCCACCCATCTGGCTGGGCTTCCCCAGCCACTATGGGCGGCTTCCAACAAAATATTAAAATACAATTATGCATCTAACATTAAAAGCTTCCCTGAACAGGGCTGCCTTCAGATGTCTTCTAAAAGTCTGGTAGTTGTTGTTCTCTTTGACATCTGGTGGGAGGGCGTTCCACAGGGCGGGCGCCACCACCAAGAAGGCCCTCTGCCTGGTTCCCTGTAACTTGGCTTCTCGCAGTGAGGCAACCGCCAGAAGGCCCTCGGTGCTGGACCTCGGTGTCCGGGTAGAACGATGGGGATGGAGACGCTCCTTCAGATATACTGGACCGAGGCCGTTTAGGGCTTTCAAGGTCAGCACCAACACTTTGAATTGTGCTTGGAAACATACTGGGAACCAGTGTAGGTCTTTCAAGACCGGTGTTATGTGGTCTCGGTGACCACTCCCAGTCCCCAGTCTAGCTGCCACATTCTGGATTTGTTGTAGTTTCCAGGTCACCTTCAAAGGCAGCCCCACGGAGAGCACCTTGCAGTAGTCCAAGGATCAAGATCAGCTGGAACTTTGGGCGAGTTGTCACCGCTTTCTGTCATGAAATTCTACTCAATACAGCAGTACCTTGGTTCTCAAACTTAATCCGTTCCGGAAGTCTGTTCCGAAACCAAAGCGTTCCAAAACCAAGGTGCGCTGCTTTCCCATAGAAAGGAATACAGAACGGATTAATCCATCCCAGGCTTTTAAACGAACGCCGCAAACCCGGAAGTGAGTGTTCCGGTTTGAGGACGTTTTTCGGAAGCCGAACATCCGACTTGCCTTCCGATTGAACGCTGGAAGCTCCCGCAGCCGACCGTAAGCCGTGCCTCAGTTTTTGAACATTTTCAGACATCGAACGGACTCCCAGAACGGATTACATTTGAGAACCAAGGTACGACTGTGTTGGCGCAAGCCACGGTTTGTCCGATAACCTGCCGGACCATTTGCGGTTGGGTTTAACAAACCACAGTTTCTAGAGCGCTTGTGTTTTTTGTTAGTCAAACTTTGGAAGATGCCCGTGGTGGGAGTTTGGAGTGGGGAGACCAGCTTACTTTTGCACCGGCCTTGATACATGACTTCCAGGTCGGGTTGTCCTCTGCATTTTGCCGTCAGAAGCTCGCATTCGTCTCGGTAGGTGAAGCCATCGGATCCGCACACCTGAAGTTTCCGGGAGAGGTTGGTGCAATCTGGGGCGCAGCTACAGTGTGGGCGTCCATATTTCATTTTGCAGACTTTTCCCGGACCGCAGTCCACCCCTTCACAGCTCTCTGAGGAAGGAGGAATTGAGAGGTGGTTATTATTATTATTAGTCATCCGAAGCACGGCAGAGCAGTTAAATTAAAATCTGCAGAAAGCAGAAGGAAACGGAGAGAAGCAAAATCATTAAACATTAAACATTTTTTAAAAATACCTTCCCTATACAGGATTGCCTTCAGACGGCTCGGGGGTCAGATAACTCCATCCTCTCCAACATTTTTCCCATGAAAATAGGGACGTCCTATTCCATCCCCTCCAACGTTTCTCCCGTGAAAATAGGGACGTCCTATTCCATCCCCTCCAACGTTTCTCCAGTGAAAATAGGGACGTTCTATTCCATCCGCTCCAACGTTTCTTTGATGAAAATAGGGACGTTCTATTCTATCCCCACCAACGTTTCTCCAGTGATAAGAGGAACGTCCTATTCCATCCCCTCCAACGTTTCTCCCGTGAAAATAGGGACGTCCTATTCCATCCCCTCCAATGTTTCTCCCCTGAAAATAGGGACGTCCTAAGGAAAAGCGGGATGTTCCAGGGTCAGATCAGAAACCGGGACGGCTTCTCTAAATCGGGGGGCTGTCCCTGGAAAATAGGGGCACTTGGAGGGAATGGTATTTAAGCAGAGGTCAGATGGCCAAGAGCCCGGGATTTTTCAGTTGTGATTCCTGCATTGCATTGGTTTGATGACCCAAAGATTCCCTAAAATTCTACGCTTCTCTTAAAAACGACACAAGATTGCAGTCCTCATGACTCCCCTGGGACAAGCTGGAGGGTCTGCAAAACCGGAGTTTTGCAACGATGTGCTCGCGGCAAGTCCGAAAACTTGGGTTTTGCAGGAGAGGGGGACTTTCCACGGAGAGCTTTTTCTCGCACAATAGATGCCCCTGTTCTTCCGCAGCTTCCGTGACATGAAAACAACAAGTCAGAGAGAGGGAAGGATCTGTCTGGGGGAGGCAGCCGGGATGGGGGGAGCCCCCGGGTCTGTGGGGAAGGAGGGAGAGTCTCAGGAGACAGACGGGTGCATTATGTTGGAGGGTCACCCCGGGGCAAAACAAAAAAAGTCTGGCGGAGATGGGAGAGGGGCGAGACGCACAGTCGTCCCCCCCCCTTGGAGACGTGGGTGGGCTCTCTGTGGCTGTCTGGGAGAATGTAACCCCCCCCCCAAGGCAAGTCTGGGGGTGGGAAAAAGCAGCACCCGTTTTCCCGGCAGGGTCGTGCCCCGCAAGGAGGGCGCAAAGAACCAAATCTAGGGTTGCCGTATTTCAAACAGTGAAAATCCGGACACAAAAGTTTTTGAGATTGGTTGTTTTTTTTCAGGGTGGGGTTTTTCCCCCTCCTGACAGCTCAGAGCAGGAGCTTCTTAATTTCAGGGTTGTGGGTTCGAGTGCCGCGGCGGGCAAAGGATTCCTGCATATTTCAAACATTGAAAATCTGTTGAGCTTTTTTGTGCAAATTCCAGGGGGCAGGGAATAATTTATGAACTATTCTTAAGGAACACCTGAGATTCTTAAAGCCTAAATCTAAAGTTGCCTGATTTATTTCATTGTGGTTATCCAGTCTTTTCCTTTAATTTAGTCTTTTATATTCTGTATGTGTGTTTGGATTGTCAACGTATTTTGTACCATTTCGTGATTTTTCCTGTTTTAACTTATGCCAATGAAGGCTAGTTATGAAAAAGAGTTCAGGAAGATCGCCAAAAGCGACACTGGGTTGACACTGCTTCTGATATTCCGGATATATGTCCAGGAAATTCCGGACGTCGCCCTCCCCAAATCTGCCCCAACTTTTTGTTTGTAGCGCTGGGGGGTGAGAGTAGATGACCCCTAGGGAGCCCGTCTACAAAAAGCAGTTTAAGGAAAGTACCGTATTTTTTGCTTTATAAGACTCACTTTTTCCCTCCTAAAAAGTAAGGGGAAATGTGTGTGCGTCTTATGGAGCGAATGCAGGCTGCGCAGCTATCCCAGAAGCCAGAACAGCAAGAGGAATTTTTGCTTTCACTGCGCAGCAATCCCTCTTGCTGTTCTGGCTTCTGAGATTCAGAATATATTTTTTCCTTGTTTTCCTCCTCCAAAAACTAGGTGCGTCTGGTGGTCTGGTGCGTCTTATAGAGCGAAAAATACGGTATTCTCCACCTGCAGCTCCTTCCGCCTGGAGAGCCTGTTTCAGAACTAGGGGCACGTTCTCTTCTTTTGGGGGGGCCACATACGTAACTCTCCCTAAAACACAACAGCTTGAATGGGTGCGATCTCTGAGCTAGGGAACTGATGGAGAACGTTGCTGTCCCGATATGTCTCCTTGCATTCGTGGTGGCTGCAATCGAGGGTGATAAATTGGGGCGAACGCAGTACTGCCCAATCGGACTTAGGTGGAAACTACGCATACAGAGAGAGAGACATGAGTGGTGCTGTGGGTTAAACCACAGAGCCTAGGACTTGCCGATCAGAAGGTTGGCGGTTCGAATCCCTGCGACGGGGTGAGCTCCCGTTGCTCGGTCCCTGCTCCTGCCAACCTAGCAGTTCGAAAGCACGTCAAAACGCAAGTAGATAAATACCGTATTTTTCGCTTTATAAGACGCACCAGACCACAAGACGCACCTAATTTTTGGAGGAGGAAAACAAGAAAAAAAATATTCTGAATCTCAGAAGCCAGAAGAGCAAGAGGGATCGCTGCGCAGCGAAAGCAGCAATCCCTCTTGCTGTTCTGGCTTCTGGGATAGCTGCGCAGCCTGCATTCGCTCCATAAGACGCACACACATTTCCCCTTACTTTTTAGGAGGGAAAACGTGAGTCTTATAGAGCAAAAAATACAGTAGCTACCACTCCGGCGGGAAGGTGAACGGCGTTTCCGTGCGCTGCTCTGGTTCTCCAGAAGCGGCTTAGTCCTGCTGGCCACATGACCCGGAAGCTGTACGCCGGCTCCCTCGGCCAATAAAGCGAGATGAGTGCCGCAACCCCAGAGTCGTCCACGACTGGACCTAACGGTCAGGGGTCCCTTTAGCTTTACCTTATGCATATATATATATTAATACACACACACACACCGTGAAGATGCTTTTTTTAACCAACAACACACATTTCAAAATATATAAATTGAATTTGCCCTTTGCTCGCCACCGCCACCTAGTGTCAGATTAGCACAATGCGCTTAAAACACACTTAAAAACGACCGCTGCAAAGCAAATAAAAACATTAGCAGGATTTTAAGAGCAAATGCTATGAATAATACGGAGAGTTATAATATGTGGATTATGAAATAATATGCAGTCGAAGATGCGATGGTGGGAAGCCAGGAGATTCAGAGAAATCTCAATAGACGGTTATGCAGGTGGCACTGTCGCAATTTTCCTGTTTCGTAAAACTAAATGAAAATGCTTCTAAAAATGAAAATAAAAGACAGTTGAAACGTTTTATTTGCCGCTGTAGTCTGCCCTCTGCCAAAGAATGCCACCTGCCTGACTTTTTTCCCTTTGCTCTGGCGCCACCTACTGCTGGCTCCCAGCTTCCACGGCACCTTCATAGTGGTGGCCCCTTGCAAAGTTTTTTTTTTTTAAAGGCCCTCTACCTTTGCAAGGGTGACAGGTCACGAGCCCCAGGATCCGGAGGAGGCTGATCTTGTTGTCCGGGTGTGAGGCGTTTGACCAGGCCATGTCCGTGCTACCGTTGGCGCAACACTCCTCCCAGCTCACGCCGGTCCGGACGATCATGGTGCATTTTGCCTCGCGCCCTTGCTGCAGCCAGCAGATGCCGCCTGTTTGGGAAAAAAGGGGCCGTTAGAACGGAATATCGGCTCTTAAGAGATTGGTTAGCTCGCGGAACTCACCGCCACATGACTGGCCAGCTTACGTGGCTTAGACCAGCATTCTGTCGTCACAGCGGCCGAATGACCATAAAACAACCTAGGAGTCCAGATAGACTGCTCTGGGTCTGGAGGTTTCATAAGAACGTCGGAAGAGGCTGCTGTTACAGGCCCATCTATTCCAGGAGCCTGTTCGGACCAACTCTTTATGTTTATATCTATTATTATCAGTGCTTTTTTTCGGGGGGGAAGCAGGGGTACACATGCCTCTAAACATTTTGTGAATTTTTGTACTTTTGTCCATTTACTGTATTTATTTCCCCCCGATTTGAACTATAAAATGGTGGCTTTCTTGAGTCAAAATGAGAGTACCTCTAAACATTTTTAAAGAAAGAAAGCACTGATGATGATTAGAATTTATGTACCACCCTATACCCAAGGGTCTCAGGGCGGTTCACAGAATAAAATCAAGAGATAAAACCACAAAATACCTAATAAAAATAAAAACCACAGCCCAGTAGCCCGCCCTGCCCCCGGAAAAAAACACATTTTTAAAGGGCATAGGAGATCTAGAGCAGAGATAGACTGCACTAGGCTACAGAAGTTCTACTTTCACAGCCTTGACTATTGGCAGACTTTGCGTAAGGGCCTTTTGTGGTTTCCCTGCAATCGGCAGGATTCGCCCATTGGTGCCTATTATTCCTAGTGGCTAGTTTTCCGTGGAGCTTCCATTCTCAGGAACAGTCTACCACCAAATACCCTAAGTGCTTAGGGTTCCTATTTTGCATGTGAAACATCTCCAATATCTCCAGGCAGAGAATACCACCGTGCCTAAGAAGCCATTGCAGCCGTTGCTGCGGGCCAGAGCAGACAATACAAGGCCTAGGTGGATCGGCGCTGCTTCCCGCTGTCCTTTTTAAAACCAGTCTTTTATTTCACGGCAATGAGGACCGGAAACTTGGTTAGGCGTTTAGGGCAGAAGAGCCAGCCAGGAAGCAAAATCTAAGCGTATTTCTGCACAGAACAAATGATAATAATAAAAAAAGAATTACTGGCTATTCATAGATATACTCTGACGCTGGCAAAAAAAATAAGCTGATACAATATAAAACATGGGTAGGCAAACTTAAGGCCCGGGGGCCGGATCTGGCCCAATCGCCTTCTCAATCCGGCCTGTGGATGGTCTGGGAGTCAGCGTGTTTTTACATGAGTGTCATTTTATTTCAAATGCATCTCTGGGTTATTTGTGGGGCCTGCCTGGTGTTTTTACATGAGTAGAATTTGTGCTTATATTTAAAATGCATCTCTGGGTTATTTGCGGGGCATAGGAATTCGTTCATATTTCCCCCAAAATATAGTCTGGCCCCCCACAAGGTCTGAGGGACAGTGGACCGGCCCCCGGCTGAGAAAGGTTGCTGACCCCTGATATAAAACAAAAAAAGGCTGCAATTCTAGACTGGGAGTTGTTGAGTGTAGAAAATTAGCCTCTGAATCTCAAAGTCGCGGGTTCGAGTTCTGACTCGGGCCGACATTGCAGGGGGTTGGATGACCCTGCCGGGACCTCGCTCGCCGCGGGCCTTCAAAACAAGTTGGCGAGGGCTGACCCCCTCATTCTTGCCCCCCACCCACAACAAGCCTGATCTCTTCTTCGCACCCCCCACAAAACCCCCTGGACAGACAAACTGTGCTTTGTTTGGCTCTTGGAGTGAAAGATCAGGCCTGAGCGTGTGAGGTCTGTCTGGGACTTCTGATTTGCACCCCCCAGTGCTCATGGCATCCTCAAACCTAACCCCCCCCCCAAAAAAAGTACTACCCAGGACAGCCGGCGGCAAAGCAGCCAGCCAGCTGGCAGCCGATTCAAAAGGCTGTTTGTTCCTTAATCTGCTGAACGAATCGTTCATTTTTTTGGAGAGCAAAGCCCCCGGGGCCATTCCTGTCTGGGGTGCCCCAGACGCTCCCACGTTTCAGGAGGGAGAGGGTGGAAGGAAAGCTTCCCCATCCCACCCCCACGGCTCCTCAATTCAGGAGAGGTGCCCTTTCTCAGTGTTATAAGAAAAAACTGCTCTTTTTTCCCTTATGGGATATCCAAGAGCCTGTCGAATCATAGAATCCTAGAGTTGGAAGAGACCACAAGGGCCACCGAGTCCAACCCCCTGCCAAGCAGGAAACACCATCAGAGCACTCCTGACATATGGTTGTCAAGCCTCTGCTTAAAGACCTCCAAAGAAGGAGACTCCACCACACTCCTTGGCAGCAAATTCCACTGTCGAACAGCTCTTACTGTCAGGAAGTTCTTCCTAATCTCTAGGTGGAATCTTCTTTCTTGTAGTTTGGATCCATTGCTCCGTGTCCACTTCTCTGGAGCAGCAGAAAACAACCTTTCTCCCTCCTCTATGTCACATCCTTTTATATATTTGAACATGGCTATCATATCACCCCTTAACCTCCTCTTCTCCAGGCTAAACATGCCCAGCTCCCTTAGCCGTTCCTCATAAGGCATCGTTTCCAGGCCTTTGACCATTTTGGTTGCCCTCCTCTGGACACGTTCTGTACAGAGTCCTTATGTAGGTTCTGTTGCAGGAATTTATGTATAGGTTTTTTTGGGGGGTTGCCCCTCCAGCAGATATCACGCACATACAGCCCACTACCAAAACCAGCACAATCGCTTTTGTGACTTTTGCGATTTGTCCCCACAAAACACCTCGTCGCAGTTTTTTCCTATCTATTCAAAGGGCCTCTGCTGCACGATACCAAATGTAAGAATTCACTGATCAATGTATCTGTGTACTGGCTCAGTGGGAAAACTTCAGAAATTCATATAGACATGTGAGCTCAGCTCCTCAGCAGCCCCTCTGCCTGAGTGATAATCCCTGGCCTCCTGATACCTGAGTGCCAGACAGGTAGCCATTCCAGAAATAACAAACCCAGATGAAGACAAAAGGGTGTGATGAACTTGGCTGGGAAACAGGGAAACATCTTTTTTGTTACGCTTAATGGGTGTTTGGTGGAGGGCAAGGGGAACCATGGGGCAGGGTCCAGGATGCTCAGATTACGGCCACCAGACCTCCCCTTTCATGATGTAACCGTGATGTACGAGTGATGCAGGGAAACATCTTTTTTGTTACGCTTAATGGGTGTTTGGTGGAGGGCAAGGGGAACCATGGGGCAGGGTCCAGGATGCTCAGATTACGGCCACCAGACCTTCCCTTTCATGATGTAACCGTGATGTACGAGTGATGTAGTTTGGGGGGTGTAACATGGGGATTAGCAGCTAATAAAAGTTTGGGGGCTCTTTTGTTCAGGGCTTCCATCTTGTTCCACCTGGTGGCAGGTGGGAGTCCTGTCGCGACCGTCTTCAATAAAGACCAAGCCTCCTGGCTGCTGTTTTGCTCTGGTATTCCTGGCTGGTGTCCTTGTTTTTTGTCCAAGGGAGCCCTCAGATTTCTCCGTTAACAGTTCCCTATCAGTAGGAGAAAATAACAGGCCAATGTTATAAGAAAAAACTGCTCCTTTTTCCCTTATGGGGTATCCAAGAGCCCATATAGAGTCCTTAAGTAGGTTCTCCATCGGTCAGAGAAAATAACAGAGGCCAACCAGAAAATATTGAGAAGCAAAGCAGCTAGTAAGCCTGATCTTTCTTAATCTGTAGCAACAGGGTCCTCCGCTCACCCCACGCAGGGAAGGAGGAGAGGAACCCCCAACATTGGTGTGCAAGCTCCTATATAGACGTTTGAAATTGCCTCCCCTGTAGCTCAAGGTAAAGGAAAAGGGACCCCTGACCATTAGGTCCAGTCGCGGCTGACTCTGGGGTTGCGGCGCTCATCTCGCTCTATAGGCCAAGGGAGCCGGCGTACAGCTTCCGGGTCATGTGGCCAGCAGGACTAAGCCGCTTCTGGCGAGCCAGAGCAGCGCACGGAAACGCCGTTTACCTTCCCGCCGGAGCGGTACCTATTGATCTACTTGCACTTTGATGTGCTTTTGAACTGCTAGGTTGGCAGGAGCAGGGACCGAGCAATGGGAGCTCACCCCGTCATTGCGGGGATTCGAACCGCCAACCTTCTGATCGGCAAGTCCTAGGCTCTGCGGTTTAACCCACAGTGCCACCCGCTCAAGACCACCCCCCAAAACATCACGCATACATCACAGAAAGAGGTGGTCCCCAGCAGAAATTGGAGTGTGTTGCTTCTCTCCTGTCTGCCATGATACCTGATCATGCCTTATCAACTGCCTTTTCTAGATAGCCTGGCCATTCCTTGGAGATAACATTTAGTTCCTGAATCTCTTAGGCATATTGATAACTTTGCTCAGCTTAACAGATACTTGCCAGACTGTATTCGAAAAGGGAGGTGTGAGCCCCTACAGTCCAAAGACACTTGCAAAGCTTTCCCCATTTCCTTCCTCCTTGCAGAGAAATATTTGAGGTCAATTTGGGAGAGTCAAAACGGCTTCAGGATTCCTCTCCTGTACTATTGCAGAATGTGGTTTGTATACTTATGTATGTGTTTGCCTTGTACGTTTATGAACATTTATTATATATATATATATATATATATATATATATATATATATATAAAAGACCTTGTTGTTGTTTAGTCGTTTAGACGTGTCCGCCTCTTCGTGACCCCCTGGACCAGAGCACGCCAGGCACTCCTGTCTTCCACTGCCTCCCGCAGTTTGGTCAAACTCATGCTGGTCGCTTCAAGAACACTGTCCCACCATCTCGTCCTCTGACGTCCCCTTCTCCTTGCGCCTTCCATCTTTCCCAACATCAGGGTCTTTTCCAGGGAGTCTTCTCTTCTCCTGAGGTAGCCAAAGTTTGGAGCCTCAGCTTCAGGATCTGTCCTTCCAGTGAGCACTCAGGGCTGATTTCCTTCCCAATGGAGAGGTCTGATCTTCCTGCAGTCCATGAGACTCTCAAGAGTCTCCTCCAGCACCAGAATTCAAAAGCATCCATTCTTCGGCAATCAGCCTTCTTTATGGTCCAGCTCTCACTTCCACACATCAGTACTGGGAAAACCAGAGCTTTGACTATACGAACCTTTGTTGGCAAGGTGATGTCTCTACTTTTTAAGATATAAGACCTTATAATTCCTATAACAATCAGCAGCGAGGACACCTTCCCGAACCTTTTGAATTGGAGAGCTGTTTAATTTCACAGAATCAAAGATTTGGGGATTTTACACCCAAAGGTCATCCAGCCCAACCCTCTGCAACGACGCACCCTCCTCCAAGTGTCCCGGTTTTCCCGGGACAGTCCCGGAATTACAGGCAGGGTTGGGCTAGCTAGATTACCCCCCGGGGGCACATTCCAACTCTACAATTCAGTTGTTTTATGATGCCTTTAAATCTCAAGCAACTGCAGGGCTGTGCCGTGGAGAAGAGTTTGGATTTGATATCCCGCTTTATCACTACCCTAAGGAGTCTCTAAGCGGCTGACATTCTCCTTTCCCTTCCTCCCCCACAACAAACACTCTGTGAGGTGAGTGGGGCTGAGAGACTTCAGAGAAGTGTGACTGGCCCAAGGTCACCTAGCAGATGCAGATGGAGAAGCGGAGACGCGAACCCGGTTCCCCAGATTACGAGACTACCGCTCTTAACCACTACACCACACTGGCTCTCCAGTGTGAGCCAGTGTGAGCAGCAAGCTTGTTTCTTCCTGCTCTGGAGGGCAGGACTCGAACCCGTGGCTCCACGTTACGAGGAGGGAGCTTCTGACTCAACGTCAACATTGCTTTCTGATAGCAAGAGCTGTTTGATGGTGAAATGGACTCCCTCAGGAGGTGGTGGAGGAAGGTTTTCTTGCAGAGATGATGATGATGATGATTACCCTGCCCATCTGACTAGGTTGCCGTCCGCCAAGGAGAGGGGTTTCTTAGGTGTTTAAGGCCACGGGATGAAAAGTGAGCCTCTGGGCATGTTAAGATAGCCGGTGGCTTTGCAGCGCACCCAGTATTTGGGCGACTGTATAACCCAATTGTCGCCCTGCGCCTAACCCCCCCAAAAAACCCTGCCTTCCCCTTCCAACATGGGTAGCTCAGTCGGCAGAGCCTGACACTCTTAATCTCACGGTTGCGGGTTCGAGTCCAACACGGGGCGCAAAAAAATTCCTGCATTGCAAGGGTCCAAGCCTTTCATTTCTACGATTCTGCGATAGGATTTGACCCACATCATCCGCACTGGGGACTTCTATTTCCCCAGTTCTAACCCCCTTTAATTCAGGAAAGGGGCAGGAGCATAATGTGCTAGCAATTCAACCGAATGACAGAGGGCCTTCTCGGTGGTGGCGCCCGCCCTGTGGAACGCCCTCCCACCAGATGTCAAAGAGAAAAAGAACTACCAAACTTTTAGAAGACATCTGAAGGCAGCCCTCTTTAGGGAAGCTTTTAATGTTTAATAGGTTATTGTGTTTTAGTGTTCTGCTGGAAGCCGCCCAGAGCGGCTGGGGAAACCCAGCCAGATGGGCGGGGTATAAATAATAATAATAATAATAATAATAATAATAATAGTTGTTGTTGTTATAGCAAGGATAGTAAGCCCTCTCTTGGCCGCAGGAAACTCTCAACCCCAAAGAGAGCTTTGAAACTCTAGACTTTTGCTGGGGGTGGAGGGAATAAAATAAAATTAAGCATTTGGCCTGCAGGTCTGTCTGCCTGCCTGTCTGACTTGGCCCCCACTTCCCATCAAAGAGGGACGTCTTGTGCAATTTTACCCGAAGAAGAGTCTCGACTGCAGGTAAAGCCCTGTTGAAAGATTAATTTCCCCACTTCAAAGGAAGCGTCTCCTTTTTCAAAACCCCCACCTGGTTCAGGAGCTCGGATTCCAGTCTCGCCATGCGAGGGTCCTCCCTCCCCAAACACTAAGAGAGGCATGTTTTTGCTTAAAACATCCCATAATTTGCAAATGGGGAAATCGGCGCACAGATTCAACTGCTCAGAACCCTCCGATCCATCGCCGGCAACCCTAAATTCCAAGTCTACATCCTCCCAGGACTTTGGGCTCCTTCATTTAATTAATTTATTAGATTTGCATATCTCAGGGCGGTTTTTTGCAACAGCAAAAATACAGGAGGCTCCGAATCTCAGGTTTGTGGCTGCGAGCCCCACATTGGGCAAAAGATTCCTGCATTGCAGAGGGTTGGGCTGGATGACCTTTGAGTTCCCTTGCAACTCTACAATTCCATGAAAATACGGCTTTTCAAACAGCGGCAGCGGGGTACTGTTGCTGGCTTCTACTTTTGTTGGCTAGTACATTGCGTATCTTTGTGCTTTTATATTGTAAGCCGCCTTGCGGTCCTCGGATGAAGGGCAGTGTAGAAATTTAATATATACATAATTTTTTTAAAAATAAAATAATATTTTTTTCCTCCGCAATGCAGGAATCACAGCCCAAGCATTCCTGACCCGCCCCCCCACAGGAGCCCCCCAAAACCTGCTTTTGCATTAAGTTTCTGCACCTCTTGACTGCAACAAAAACACAAAAAACGTTTACTTTTCCAGCTCTACAACACATCCTTTTTGGTGAGAGGCGACCAGAGCCGTACGCAGTGTTCCAAGTGCGGTCACAGAATCACAGAGTTGGAGTCATCTAGTTCCCCCATGCAACGCTGGAATAGACAGCTGTGTCGTGCATGGAATTCGAACCCGCAATCCTGGCATTATCGCGCCATAGATTTTGCCGTCAGTTACCTCAGCGGAGAAAATTCATGCTAGAGGCACCACAAGCACAGCTAGTTTCTTGGACCGTCTTTGTCAAGGGTTCAGATCTGTCTGGCGTGCAAAATAATAATAATAATAGATAGACGCTTTAATGCTCATGCGCAGAAACCCACGCGCATGATCACTAAGGCACTATGGCACACCACCAAAGATAGCTGAGGGGTACACATTTGTAGCACAAATGTGTGCAAACCGTGACGGTCTCTTCCGATTCTATTGCTCCTTTCCAAACTTCCCAGCTGTATCGCTTTAGAGAAAACCTTCGGAACTCCCTGCCACTTGAGATAAGGTAGGCGCATTCGCCACACTCTTTCTGCCGCCCGCTGAACACATTTTCTGTTTAGACGAGCCGCCCCAGATGTTTAGAAAGTCACTGCAAGTTTCATTCGGTTTTTAGTCTATTTCAGCTTTTCGAAAGTCTTAAATCACTGTCATTTATTTTTATTATTGATAATTTATTGATTTTTTTTTTTAACAATCAAGAACTCGGGGGGGGGCATCATTAAAAACCACCCTTTAATTCCTAACCACCTCTTGCTTTTAAAACCATTTTAAATGGATGGAGGGCATATTTTATCCTCTCCTTTTCAAACCCTCTTAACAGTGACCATACCAGAACTAAAATAAGTTTAACTCCCCCCGCCCCGCAAAAACATATCCCTTGACTTATCACCTTAAAAATCATCACAGTCTCCTTCTGCAATCCCCTAAAAGCTTGGGCTGGTAATTGATTAATTTTTGGTGTTTTTGATATTGTAATTTTAGGGAAGCTTTTAATGTTTGAGGCATTACTGTATTTTAATATTTTGTTGGAAGCCGCCCAGATGGGCGGGGGATTATTATTATTATTATTATTATTATTATTATTATTATTATTATTATGTAATAGCGCAGTATACTACTACTACTACTAATAATAATAATTCGGCCCACCCACATCCATTCTAGGGAGTCAGAACTGGGTTGGGACTGACTCCCGAAAGTTTTTAAACTAGTTCAGCGATCCCGCTTGAGTACCGCACTCTGCACATGCTTAGACGCCCTCTTTCCCATCCCATACGACGTTCTAAGCGCCGGGGTTCTTGGGGAACACCCGCGTTCCCTTGTCCCCGGGGAGGCCTGGGAAACCACTCCACCTCGGGGTTTCCTTGGGCTCCTAAAACCTGGAACCTGGAAGGAAAAGGAGGTTGGGGGTGTTGCTTAAAGCATGGCACCCCATTTCCCCAAAAATGTACTTACCTGAGAGGGAGCCCTCGCCGGCAGCGCAGAGCGCGCTCAGCAGCAGAAGGCAGAACTTCATGGCGATGCGCAGAAATCCACAGGGGAAAATAAAATTAGGAACGTCCAGGAAAGTTCAGCTTCTTGTCCCTCCCAAGGAGGAGCGAAGTCTCAGCAGAGGGCAGGCACCTAGCTTGGGAATAATCCGGGGTCCTCTTTGGCACTGCCTTCCCGGGAGGGTGTTTGTCCCTCTTTTAAAAGCACCCCCCTGCCGTCTCCTCTCCCCGCGTCCTCTCTCTCTCTCTCTCTGAAGTGTGTGAGGGTGTCTGTAACAGTCTGAATCATAGCTCCACGGGAGGCGGTGTCGAGGGCAGCCAGTAACGTGTCTGGGGAGTGTATTGCGCCCCAGGCCAGCCTCAATGCGGCCAAATCCGGATCGTTAAGAGAAGCATCAATAACGCGCCCTCCCGGGTCGTGGCGCACGCCTGTGCGCTCTAGTTGCGCGCGATGGGAGCGAGAGGCGGCGCAGCTGGCGACGCGCGGCGCTCCTCTTCCCCTCTCCCTCCTAAACTTCTGGATTGGGAAGATTAGCATCCTTCACCCCCACGCCCACCTCCTCATTCGCAAATTTTTCCTTCCTGGAAATGCTTCTCCAAAGTCGTCGTCCCCCGCGCGCCGCAGAGAATCCTCTCTCTCTCTCTGTTTCCCTCTCCCTTTCCAAACGTCTCATGTCTGGGGTTTTGGGAACGCATCAGAAAACCGCCGCCTCCCAATGGTTTTTGAAACCTTTCCAGCGTGGCGACTCGTGGTGGTTTTGCAATCCGGAAGCTTGGACGGAGTGAGAGGCATGGTTCCAAAGCGCCTTCCACCAACAGAGCTCCTTCCAGGAACTGTAGTTTCGTGGTGATGGGAGTTGGAGCTCCGCACGTGGGGCGAACCACCGCAGTCCGCTTTGTGCTTTAAATGGAACGGTGTAAGCGCAGGCTCCCTTTAGGGCAGCCATGTCCAAAGTCCATTTCGTGGGCCCGCTGGTCAATTTATTTTGGCCCCTGTGGTCGTATATGTCTTGGGGTAAAATCCTAAAAAAAAAAACCTCAGCAACTTTGGGGTAAAATCCCCCCCCCAAAATCAACAAGTTTGGTCGGCCCTTAGTCATGTTCACTTCATCAAATCTGGCCCTGGTTTGGGCACCCCTGGTTTAGGGAATCTGTGGCATTGGATAATTTGCAAACTGACCCCTTCCCCAAATGCACTTTCCCCATTAGGAATAGGGTGGTTTTGGTCCCTGATTTGACACAAATATCCAGTCTCCTCCTGGTCATTTGCATGCTTAAAGGTAAAGGTAAAGGGATCCCTGACCATTGGGTCCAGTCGTGGCCGACTCTGGGGTTGCGGCGCTCATCTCACTTTATTGGCCGAGGGAGCCGGCGTACAGCTTCCGGGTCATGTGGCCAGCAGGACTAAGCCGCTTCTGGCGAACCAGAGCAGCGCATGGAAACGCTGTTTACCTTCCCACCAGAGCGGTACCTATTTACCGTATTTTTTGCTCTATAAGACTCACTTTTTCCCTCCTAAAAAGTAAGGGGAAATGTGTGTGCGTCTTATGGAGCGAATGCAGGCTGCGCAGCTATCCCAGAAGCCAGAACAGCAAGAGGGATTGCTGCTTTCGCTGCACAGCGATCCCTCTTGCTGTTCTGGCTTCTGAGATTCAGAATATTTTTTTTCTTGTTTTCCTCCTCCAAAAACTAGGTGCGTCTTGTGGTCTGGTGCGTCTTATAGAGCGAAAAATACGGTATCTACTTGCACTTTGATGTGCTTTCGAACTGCTAGTTTGGCAGGAGCAAGGACCGAGCAATGGGAGCTCACCCCGTCACAGGGATTCGAACCACCGACCTTCTGATCGGCAAGTCCTAGGCTCTGTGGTTTAACCCACAGCGCCACCCACATAGAATTGTAGAATTGGAAGAGACCCTCATGGGAGTCCGTTCCACTGCCAAACAGCTCTTCCTGTCAACAAGTTCTTCCTGCTGTTTAGTCGGAAGCGCCTTTCCTGCAACTTGAAGCCATGGGTTCGAGTCCTACCCTCCAGGCCATGTTTCCGCAGAGACCCGCCTGCCCACCCTGTGCCATGTTTAGCAGCTATCTTCCTATGCCCTGCTTCCCGTTCTGCCACCGACAGAGAGATATGGCTGGCACTGGTTGGCGTGAGAACAGGGACTTTTCAGCGATGGCCCCATCCCAACTGGGAAACTCCCCAGAAGATGATTTGATTGGTCCCTGCTCTGTGCCAGCATTACAGCGAAGACATTTCTGCCCTGCAAACCTGTTCGTGCATTTCAAACCTTGCTCATTTGTGGACTTGCCTTTCTATCAGGTCGACTGATTGCATTTATATTCCACCTTCTCCCCCTCTCTAGGAGCTCCAGATGTCTTGCATAGTTCCCTCCCTCCCCATTTAATCCCACAACCCTGCAAGGGGGGGTCAGACAGAGAGGCAGGGACTGGCCCCCAAAGCTGCACCCAGTGAGCTTCACGGCCGCTGAATGGGGATTCGAACTCTGGTCTCTCACAGGTCCACCGCCATACATCACACCATATACATCGAGACCATATAACACCGGTCTTGAAATACCTACATTGGCTCCCAGTACATTTCCGAGCACAATTCAAAGTGTTGGTGCTGACCTTGAAGCCCTCAACAGCCCAGTATCCCTGAAGGAGCGTCTCCACCCCCATTGTTCAGCCCAGACACTGAGGTCCAGCACTGAGGGCCTTCTGGCGGTTCCCTCGCTGCGAGAAGCCAAGTTACAGGGAACCAGGCAGAGGGCCTTCTCGGTGGTGGCACCCGCCCTGTGGAACGCCCTTCCACCAGATGTCAAAGAGAACAACAACTACCAGACTTTTAGAAGATATCTGAAGGCAGCCCTGTTTAGGGAAGCTTTTAATGTTTGATGTATTACAGTATTTTAATATTTTGTTGGAAGCCGCCCAGAGTGGCTGGGGAAGCCCAGCCAGATGGGCGGGGTATAAATAATAAATTATTATTATTATTATTATTATTATTATTATTATTATTATCACACAAGCACTCTTTTACTGACTTGCCTTTGTGCTTTTTAGCGGTTGTGGAAATTTCAGGCTGCTTTAGAGCAGTTGACCAAACTTACAGACTTCGCGTGGGCTGTATGGTTGTAGAAGTTGTTGTTGTTGTTGTTGTTTTGGAAACACGTTGTGCAGTTGCTTTTTGTTCCGTTGCAGAACTGGATCAGGCCAAAGGGAGCCCAGCACCCTGGCCAAATACCCCTAAGAACCTTGGAGTGCAGATAGACTGCAACTGTATCTGGAGGTTCCGTAAGAGCAAGGGGGAAAACCCCGGCTTGCCAGATCAGGCCTAAGCATTCCCAACCTGTCTAGCATCCCCTTACGAGAAACCTGAAGGCAGGATCCGAGCGCAAGAATCCGCAAAACCAAGGCCAACGGGTGCATTCTTCCTAACCCTCTGCATTAGGTCATTTCCACATCCCGGTTTCCCAAGAAAGCTTCGGTGCCAGATGTTTCGAAAGCAGCCAAGCCTTTTGGAGACAGAGGGAGGGGATTTGCAGATGCAATAAAAGATAGCTTGCCTTCGCTGCGCGAGTGTGTGTCTCATCAAATCCTCGAGTTCAGACCAAACTCTGGGAGGGCGGTTTTGTTATGTCTGCCTGCAGGCGGGAGTTTCCAGTGAAATGCAGGAGACAAAATGCAAAATTCCACACCCTACCAAACACACAGCAGCAGCAGCAGCAGCAGCAGCAGAGAGAAAAACCGCAGCCAATTAAATTTCTGCTACGGCTAAGTTGGACCGAAATCCCTCCTGACCCAGTTTCCCTCCCCTTTGAAAATAAGGCCCATTCCCTCCCGATTTTGATCTTTCAAGGGAGCAGACTGGGTGCTGACTCTGGGGGAAGAGTCCCTTAGCGTATGATGTTGTTGTTTTTTGAAGCTGAGTAGTTGAGGCTCCAAGACGTCACCTTGCCAATATAGGTCCGTATAGTTAAAGCCATGGTTTTCCCAGTACAGTGGTAGCTCGGGTTAAGTACTTAATTCGTTCCGGAGGTCCATTCTTAACCTGAAACTGTTCTTAACCTGAAGCACCACTTTAGCTAATGGGGCCTCCTGCTGCCGCCACTGCACAATTTCTGTTCTCATCCTGAAGCAGAGTTCTTCACCTGAAGCACTATTTCTGGGTTAGCGGAGTCTGTAACCTGAAGTGTATGTAACCTGAAGCGTATGGCGTATGTAATCCGAGGTACCACTGTAGTGATGTATGGACGTGAGAGCTGCACCATAAAGAAGGCTGATCGCCGAAGAATGGATGCTTTTGAATTCTGGTGCTGGAGGAGACTCTTGAGAGTCCCATGGACAGCTAGAAGATCAAACCTCTCCATTCTGAAGGAAATCAGCCCTGAGTGCTCACTGGAAGGACAGATCCTGAAGCTGAGGCTCCAAGACTTTGGCCACCTCATGAGAAGAGAAGACTCCCTGGAAAAGACCCTGATGTTGGGAAAGATGGAGAGCGCAAGGAGAAGGGGACGACAGAGGACGAGATGGTGGGACAGTGTTCTCGAAGAGACCAGCATGAGTTTGACCAAACTGCGGGAGGCAGTGGAAGGCAGGAGTGCCTGGCGTGCTCTGGTCCAGGGGGTCACAAAGAGGCGGACACGACTAAACAACAACAACAACAACAACAACAACAACAACAACAACAACAACAGGGAGTCAGTAGTGGGAATGGCGAGGCAGAAGACCCTGGGCCCAAGCACACATGCATATTGTATAAAGGCGCAAAGCCCTTCTTTCGCACCTTGTGAAACATAAATGTTTTTTAAAAACTGGGCAACGGCTGCCCGCCTGTGACTCCCGAGCCTTCACTGATCTCCTCCCCCCTTCATTTTGACTGATCAGGGGAGGCTTGGGAGTCGCAGGGTTTCCCAGTTTTTTAAAAACTCTGCGCATTTATGTTTCACAGGGTGCGGAAGAAGGGCTTTGAACCTTGCCTGGCAGAGAAACCGCGCGCCTTGCGCCCTTCCTGGGCAACTGCCACCTGCCCGCGACTCCCGGGCTTCCCGATCAGTCAAAACAAAGGGGGCAGGAGATCTGTACCGCCGGACATCCCCAGTTCCCCCGTGGCGGCGGCAGCGAGCAGCTCCTGAAGCCAGCCAGAGCCAACGGTGCTACCAGGCCGGCTGAGGCTGCCGCTGCCACGTTTCCCAGGGACAGATTTGCAAATCTGGGGACTGTCCCCGGAAATGTCTGGTAATCCTACCTTAGCGGATCAGTTTGCGCAGGTACACAAGAAGCATGCTGCAGAATTTGAGACAGGATCCGGCAATGGAGGGAGGAACCGGGGAACTCCCTCCCACACAGACAGAGGGATAATAATAATAATAATAATAATAATAATTTATTATTTATACCCCACCCATCTGGCTGGGCTTCCCCAGGCACTCTGGGCGGCTTCCAACAAAATATTAAAATACTGTAATACATCAAACATTAAAAGCTTCCCTAAACAGGGCTGCCTTCAGATGTCTTCTAAAAGTCTGGTAGTTGTTGTTCTCTTTGACATCTGGTGGGAGGGCGTTCCACAGGGCGGGCGCCACCACCGAGAAGGCCCTCTGCTAGGTTCCCTGTAACTTGGCTTCTCTCAGGGAGGGAACCGCCAGAAGGCCCTCGGCGCTGGACCTCAGTGTCCGGGCAGAACGATGGGGGTGGAGACGCTCCTTCAGATATACTGGACCGAGGCCGTTTAGGATGCCTGCCAATTTGGGTGGCCTGCTGCCAACACCTTCATGGCTCCTGTCTATGACCTAGATCTCCTGATAGCTCTCAAAGCCCTTTGTCTTTCCAGACATATTGGAAGCCAAGCGCTAAATCTGTGCCAAATGGAGCCTCCAGGCCTGAGGGGCAGTCTACCTTGAAAACGCAGGAAGGTACACTGAGAGGCAGCAGGAAGAAGCAGGTCATTTTGAAAGCTTCCCATGAGGCCATCTGGCAGACAGGCCAGCCAGCCGGACTAGACTTTTGTGATCCAGGCAGGCTTTCTGCTCGTCCTTAGGAGATTTGACGTCCCTTAAAATCCCCTAAAGTCCTAGCATCAAGAGATTGAAAACCCAGACCGAGAGAGAGAGAGAGAGAGAGGAGCAAACAGGCAGAATTTTGCAGGCTATAAAAGGAGAAAAGCAGAGCGTCGCATTCCAAGAGGGTTTGCGTAGGTTTTTCCTTTTCCAAAAAATGACGCAGTTTCGCCATCGCTGGGCGCGTCGAGTGGCGGCTTTCTCTCGGCTCGGGGATAAACAAAGATGCTCACATTGGATTAAGTCTGGGGCTTCCAAGCGATGGATCTGTAAATTTAATTTCCCCCTCTCCAGTTTCTAATTCTCCCCCTCTGCTCTCCCCTTTCCCCCCATCCGTAATAAATAATAATAATAATAATAATAATAATATTTATACCCCGCCCATGTGGCCAGGCCTCCCCAGCCACTCTGGGCGGCTCCCAACAGAATATTAAAATACAATAATATATCAAATATTAAAAACTTCCCTAAACAGGGCTGCCTTCAGATGTCTTCCAAAAGTCAGGTGGTTGTTTATTTCCTTGACATCTGAAGGGAGGGCGCCACCACCGAGAAGGCCCTCTGCCTGGTTCCCTGTAACCTCACTTCTCGCAGGGAGGGAACTGCCAAAAGGCCCTCGGAGCTGGACCATCAGTTTGTGATTTGGGGAAGGGAGGACATCCACACAGAAATTTGTATGCATTTCCACTTGTGATTCCGCCCAACATTTCCCCTCCAACGTTATTCACGCTAGCAGGAGACCGTGCGAATGTTTCCTTCAAAACCACCTTCACAGATTGGATAGTGAATTTCAACAGGGGTAAATGTCAGGTTCCTCACTTAGGCAGGAAGAACCAGATGCACAAATATAAGATGGGGAGTGGGATACCTGGGCTTACTAAGCAGGACATGTGAAAAGGATCTAGGGGTCTTAAAAGGTAAAGGTAAAGGGACCCCTGACCATTAGGTGACCGACTCTGGGGTTGCGGCGCTCATCTCAGTTTATTGGCCAAGGGAGCCGGCGTACAGCTTCCGGGTCATGTGGCCAGCAGGACAAAGCCGCTTCTGGCGAACCAGAGCAGCGCACGGAAATGCCATTTACCTTCCCGCAAGAGCGGTACCTATTTATCTCCTTGCACTTTGACGTGCTTTCAGACTGCTAGCTTGGCAGGAGCTGGGACCGAGCAACGGGAGCTCACCCCGTCGCAGCGGGGATTCGAACCGGCGACTTTCTGATTGGCAAGTCCTAGGCTCTGTGGTTTAAACCCACAGCGCCACCCACGTCCCTAGGGGTCTTGGTGGACCACAAACTTGACTTGAGCCCACAGTGTGATGCAGCAGCAAAAAAATTCTAGGCTGCATCCACAGAAGTCTAGTGTCCAGATCAAGGGAAGTCATAGTCCCAATTTATTCTGCCTGGGTCAGACCACACCTGGAATAATGTGTCCAGTTCTGGGCACCACAATGTAAGGAGAATATTGACAAGCTGGAAGGTGTGCAGAGGAGGGAGACCGAGATGGTCTGGAAACCAAGCCTGATGAGGAACGCTTGAAGGAGCTGGGTACATTTAGCCTGGAAAAGAGGAGACGGAGAGGAGATACGAGAGCCGTCTTCAAATATCTCAAGGGCTGTCGCATGGAAGACGGAGCAAGCTTGTTTTCTCCTGCTCCGGAGGGCAGGACTCAAACCCGTGGTTTCAAGTTCCGAGAAAGGAGATTCTGACTCAAAACATCAGGAAGAACTTTCTGGTGGCATTCGGCAACGGAATGGACTCAAGGCAGTTTGCAGCTATGATTTTATTTCCTTTCCTTTGTTTTTCTTTCACTGTCGAAGGTGTTGGATGCGACTCCTTCCCTCGCGCATTTTCCCTTTACGTCAACCCTGCAAGGTAGTCGAGGTTGGCTCAAGGTGAGCGATGTCAATGTTTAGGTGATACCTGGTATGTGTCTGGGACGCGGGTGGCGCTGTGGGTTAAACCACAGAGCCTAGGACTTGCCGATCAGAAGGTCGGCAGTTCGAATCCCCGCGACGGGGTGAGCTCCTGTCGCTTGATCCCTGCTCCTGCCAACCTAGCAGTTCAAAAGCACGTCAAAGTGCAAGTAGATAAATAGGTACCACTCCGGCGGGAAGGTAAACGGCGTTTCCGTGCGCTGCTCTGGTTTGCCAGAAGCGGCTTAGTCCTGCTGGCCACATGACCCGGAAGCTGTACGCCAGCTCCCTCGGCCAGTAAAGCGAGATGAGCGCCGCAACCCCAGAGTCGGCCACGACTGGACCTAATGGTCAGGGGTCCCTTTACCTTTGGTATGTGTGCAGGAGATCAGACATGGGGACAGCTTTTCCTCGGGGCAAGGGGTTGTTCCTCCAACCCAAACCAATCCTGCAACTCCTTGAGGGACCATGACATGCCTGGGAGGTCACCCCAGCCCTCTTGGCCTCGTCCCTAACCACTGATCCATCCTGTCCCCTTTCCAGACGCCTCTTTCCTGAGAAAGGGGCGAGGGAGGCTGGCCCATCAGGACACAATTAGGAGACGTGTTGTTTTTGGTGCCCTGTCGACTCGTCTCCCTCGCCCTCGCCCGACTCTTTGCTCTCGTTCCCGGTTGTCCTTGGGCTGGGCTGGAAATCGACGCCACAAAGTCAAAACAGATGGGAGATGCTTTCGGCCGATGGGAGGAAAGTGTTTTCCGCCAGAGCCGCTGTCCCGTGGGGGACGGGCAGGGCCAGATTTAGGTTTGATGAGGCCCTCAGCTCCTGAAGGTAATGGGGCCATTCATATGTCCAGCTGTCCTTTGTCAACAACAAATTGCCGCTGTTCTTTTGTGTTGGATATATGCTATATGGCGATTTATGGACCTAATAGTACTGAAAGCCATTTGCACATGTTGCCGTGCAACCAGTCCATGCAGAATGTAGGCACCCTATATATATAAAGGTAAAGGGACCCCTGAACATTAGGTCCAGTCATGACTGACTCTGGGGTTGTGGCGCTCATCTCGCTTTACTGGCCGAGGGAGCCGGCGTACAGCTTCTGGGTCATGTGGCCAGCAGCCCTTATTTTCATCAGAGATGTTTAATGTTTTATTATGGTTTTTTATATATGTGTTGGAAGCCGCCCAGAGTGGCTGGGCAACCCAGTAAGATGTGCGGGGTATAAATAGTAAATTTATCATTACGGAACGGAACGTCCCTATTTTCATTGGGGAAATGTTGGAGGGTATGAAAAATCAAACCTCTCCATTCTGAAGGAAATCAGCCCTGAGTGCTCACTGGAAGGACAGATCCTGAAGCTGAGGCTCCAAGACTTTGGCCACCTCATGAGAAGAGAAGACTCCCTGGAAAAGACCCTGATGTTGGGAAAGATGGAGGGCACAAGGAGAAGGGGATGGCAGAGGACGAGATGGTGGGACAGTGTTCTCGAAGCTACCAGCATGAGTTTGACCAAACTGCGGGAAGACAGGAGGGCCCTGGCGTGTCCAGGGGGTCACGAAGAGTCAGACACCACTAAACGACTAAACAACAACATGAAATATCTCCAAGGAAGGAGAGCACACCGACTTGTGAGGGTGTCAAAACGGCTGTTGAGCAGAAAATTATTCCACAAAACCACGCACAGATAACCATTCTCTCACACACACACTCACTGTGGAGTCTAACGGGGACGACAGTTCCTGCTTTTATAAAATGGAGGGTTTATTTATTTTTTTTTTTAAATGCTATTGTTATTCCATCTCCATCGCTTCCTTCCTGAGGGGAGGACAGAAAATTCTCCCCAACGCAGCCTTCCCCAAAGAGAGACACACACACACACAAGCTGCTCCAATTTAAAACGTCTGTAGTACGTAACGGATCCAGGCGATGTATTTGGAGATGCGAGTGTAGACGTCCGGGAACCGGCGGTCTCCGCAACGGCGTCCGTTGAAAGAGACGATCCCGTGGACTCTGGAACCGCAAAGCAGGGGTCCGCCTGAGTCGCCCTGGCATGCGAGGGAGACAAAGGTCAGTGTCACTGATACCCACTCTGAAGGTAAAGGTAAAGGACCTCTGGACGGTTAAGTCCAGCCAAAGGCGACTTTGGGGTTGCAGTACTCATCTCTGTGTGGCTTCCAACATATATAAAATACCGTATTTTTTGCTCTATAAGACTCCCTTTTTTCCTCCTAAAAAGTAAGGGGAAATGTGTGTGCGTCTTATGGAGCAAATGCAGGCTGCGCAGCTATCCCAGAAGCCAGAACAGCAAGAGGGATCGCTGCTTTCACTGCGCAGCGATCCCTCTTGTTGTTCTGGCTTCTGAGATTCAGAATTTTTTTTTTCTTGTTTTCCTCTTCCAAAAACTAGGTGCATCTTGTGGTCTGGTGAGTCTTATAGAGCGAAAAAATACGGTAATATATAAAGGTAAGGTAAAGGACCCCTGGGACGTGGGTGGCGCTGTGGGTTAAAGCACAGAGCCTAGGACTTGCAGATCAGAAGGTCGGTTGTTCAAATCCCCACGATGGGGTGAGCTCCCATTGCTCGGTCCCTGCTCCTGCCAACCTAGCAGTTCGAAAGCACGTCAAAGTGCAAGTAGGTACCGCTCTGGCAGGAAGGTAAACGGCGTTTCCGTGCGCTGCTCTGGTTCGCCAGAAGTGGCTTAGTCCTGCTGGCCACATGACCCGGAAGCTGTACGCCAGCTCCCTCGGCCAATAAAGCGAGATGAGCACTGCAACCCCAGAGTCGGCCACGACTGGACCTAATGGTCAGGGGTCCCTTTACCCTTTACCTTTAAAGGACCCCTGGACGGTGAAGTCCAGTCAAAGGCGACTCTGGGGTTGCAGTGCTCATCTTGCTTTCAGGCCAAGGGAGCTGCGTTTGTCCGCAGACAGCTTTCCAGGTCACGTGGACAGCAGGACTAAACCGCTTCTGGAGCAACGGGACACCGTGACAGAAACCAGGGTGCACGGAAACACCGTTTACCAAGCTGCGCCTTGGTTTTCGAACATTTCAGAAGTCAAACGGACTTCCGGAACGGATTAAGTTTGGTGCTTTTGTTTTTGCTATTTATTTTGCCGTTTTTGTTTCTGAGGCTTTTTCGGTTCATTTGCTTTTGTGACTGTTTGGAACCCAGTTCAGCTACTGATTGATTGATTGTTTGTGTGACTGAGGAAATGGATAAAAGCCCCCCATCCAAACAGCGACCGTCATCATTGCAGGTAAGAAAATAATAATAATTTGAATTTTTGTCATCATTAATTATTGCTTTCATTTCATGGATCAATGGTCTCATTAGAGCGTAAAATCCATGTTAAATTGCTGTTTCAGGGGTTGTTTTTAAAAGTCTGGAATGGATTAATCTGTTTTGGTTTACTTTCTGTGGGAAAGCAGCGCGCCGTGGTTTTGGAACTTTTTGGTTTTGGAACGGATTTCCGGAATGGATTAAGTTTGAGAACCAAGGGACCACTGTATATGGTTTCTCTTTTCATATTTTTATTTTGAGCTGTCGTTAGCAGACGCTCTCTCTCTCTCTGTTTTATATATAGATTATATAAAGAAATCTTTTGCAGAAACGAAATAAATAAAAGCCTGGCATTCGGAATTCAAGAAGGCGCCAGGGTTTCTGGTTCAGAAAATTCTGATTTGGGCACCCCCCAAAAAAATAACACTCACCGAGCAGAAACCCCGGAGACTGGGGTCAGTGTTGGCGGCGCAGATCATGCAGCGGCGGATTTGGCCAGCCCACGATACGTTGCATGCTTTCCGGTCGACAATGGTTGTGTTGGCCTCCATCAGTATGGTGGGGATCGTCCCAAAATTGGAGGTGTCCCCCCAGCCCGTCACGTGACACATGACTCCCGGGCAGGGGTCGGTGTTGGCTCGCGGGATCCTGACACGTTGAACAGCGTGATTGAAGACGGCCGAGCCGTTCAGCTGCAAGGTGAATCGGGGGGGGGGGGATGTTTAGTGCTGGCATTAAGCTTTGTCTCCCTCTAGCGGCAGAACAGGGTATTTAAGCAAGGACAACTGTGACTCAAAATTGTTTCGAGGTCCTCTATTCGTGGGTGGCGCTGTGGCCTAAACCACAGAGCCTAGGACTTGCCGATCGGAAGGTTGGCGATTCGAATCCCCGCAAGGACGGGGTGAGCTCCCGTTGCTCGGTCCCAGCTCCTGCCAACCTAACAGTTCGAAAGCACGTCCAAGTGCACGTAGATAAATAGGTACCTCTCCGGCGGGAAGGTAAACGGCGTTTCCGTTTGCTGCTCAGGTTTGCCAGAAGCGGCTTAGTCATGCTGGCCACATCACTCGGAAAAACTGTCTGCGGACAAACTCCCTCGGCCAATAAAGCGAGATGAGCGCCACAACCCCAGAGTCGTCCACAACTGTCAGGGGTACCTTTACCTTTTTATTCTGGGTTAAAGAAGGTACGCACAGGAAGGCTGATGGACGGGAAACGAAAGACCCTGTGTGAGAGGCAGGTTAAGGGAGATCTGCCAGGTTAGGAGGCTGGAAGAAGTTATTTAGAGAAGCTATTGAGTGAAAGGCTTTGTCCCTGCAGCCGAGAGTGGATGCTAGGATAAGACTAAACCATCTCTGTAGCAGAAAGAAGCCACCGCCAAAGAAGACTGGCAAAATAAATTAACCAACTATGCAGGGCATATTATATCATTTGAAACCCAAGAAAGAAAGGACATTTTTTAATTTTATTTTTTAAAAGGAGTGGAAATGTTTAATGCATATTTTGTAAGCTTTGTGCATAGGTTTCTTCATTAGCTGGACTTCAAAATGTCACTTGTTATAAGATGAATAAGGTTGCAAAATTGGGTGTTAAGAATATAAGAGATTAAGGACATGCGTTATTGTCTTCCAAAGCAACTACTCTATTCCAAACTTAAAAATGGAAAGCGTAATGTTGGTGGTCGACAAGAGAGTTTTAAAGACTCTCTCAATGCAAATCTAAAAATTTTTTAGTATAAACACTGACAACTGGGAAACACTGGCCTGCGAGCGCTCCAGTTGGAGAACAGCCTTTCCCAAAGGTGTCATGGGCTTTGAAGACACTCGAACTCAGGACAAGAGGACAAAACGTGCTAAGAGGAAGGCAAGCTTGGCAAACCCTCACTGGGATCAACTCTCGCCTGGAAACCTATGTCCCCACTGTGGAAGGACGTGGGGATCCAGAATTGGCCTCCACAGTCACTTACGGACTCATTATTAAAACCGTGTTTTGGAAGACAATCTTACTCAGCTACGAGGGATCGCCAAAGAAGAAGAAACCATTTTTCTTAAAGCACTACTGTCTCTGCTGTGTCTTCCATTCTCCAAAGGGACACAGACTCTGTGGGCTCTTGCCGCCGTTTGGCAGAGAGTCCAGCAGGCACCCGGCTTTTGTAACAACACGTAAAGGTAAAGGGACCCCTGACCATTAGGTCCAGACGTGGCCGACTCTGGGGTTGTGGCGCTCATCTCGCTTTATTGGCCGAGGGAGCCGGCGTACAGCTTCCGGGTCATGTGGCCAGAAGGACTAAGCCGCTTCTGGCGAACCAGAGCAGCGCACGGAAACGCGTTTACCTTCCCGCCGGAGCGGTACCTATTTATCTACTTGCACTTTGACGTGCTTTCGAACTGCTAGGTCGGCAGGAGCAGGGACCGAGCAACGGGAGCTCACCCCGTCATTGCGGGGATTCGAACCGCCGACCTTCTGATCGGCAAGTCCTAGGCTCTGTGGTTTAACCCACAGCTCCACTCGCGTCCCTGGGGGAGCCTTAAATTTATACAAAGCAAAGCTGGCCCAAGACGTTTTGCTGCTTGAGGCAGCCTGCTATTTAAATCGGCCCTTTATTCATGAGGTCTAGAACCTCAACTTTATATTTAAGGCAGTGATTCCTATTGCATTTCTTGACAGTTCCAAACCTTGCTCCCCTTTTGGATCATCTCCAGAGTTCACATGTGGTCGTTTGTCAGAAGATCATACTGCCACCTACTGGTCAGTTTTTTGAGACAGGGCGCACCAGTGAACATGTCACAGCCTTGTGGTGCATGCTCTGGTTATCTCTCGCTTGGACTACTGCCATGCGCTCTACGTGGGGCTGCCTTTGAAGGTGACCCGGAAACTGCATTTAATCCAGAATGCGGCAGCTAGACTGGGGACTGGGAGCGGCCGCCGGGACCACATAACACCGGTTCTGAGAGATCTGCATTAGCTCCCAGTACGTTTCCAAGCACAATTCAAAGTGTTGGTGCTGACCTTTAAAGCCCTAAATGGCCCAGTATACCTGAAGGAGCGTCTCCACCCCCATCATTCAGCCTGGACACTGAGGTCCATCTCCCGAGGGCCTTCTGGTGGTTCCCTCACTGCGAGAAGCCAAGTTATGGGGAACCAGACAGAGGGCCTTGTTGGTGGTGGCGCCCGCCCTGTGGAACACCCTCCCTTCAGATGTGAAGGAAATAAGTAGCTATCCTATCTTTAAAAGACATCTGAAGGCAGCCCTGTTCAGGGAAGTTTTTAATATTTAACGCTGTATTGTTTTTAATACTTGATTGGGAGCCGCCCAGAGTGGCTGGGGAAACTCAGCCAGATGGGCGGTGTATAAATAATAAATTATTATTATTATATTGTAGAATGGTAAGGGGATCCCACAGAGACATCTAGTCCAACCCCCTGCAATGGAGGGATCTCAGTTAAAGCATCGCTTGCTCCATCTTCCACAGGGCAGCTCTTTGGATAAAACCGATCAACTGATACGTGCCTGGTCTGCCCGTTTCCTAAACTACTGGTTGTTGAGTGTGCATGCGTGTGTGATTGCTGCTTTTAAAGGGGAGAAAGGGGGCAAAATTCAGGGGGAAGCCCAGTTTGCCTTAAAGTATCCTGGATTATCTTTTCTAGAAGGCTAAATCAACCTTTTCTTAAGTTTCCAAGTTTCAGCTGCAAAGGATATTCTACTGACCTCACTCTCGTTGAGCAAGGAAGGATAATAACTGAGCAATATAGCCTTTCCCGCTAATAATAATAATAATAATAATAATAATAATAATAATTCTTCACTATTTATACCCCGCCCATCTGGCTGGGTTTTCCCAGCCATTCTGGGCAGCTCCCGACACAATACAGTGGTACCTCGGGTTAAGAACTTAATTTGTTCTGGAGGCCCGTTCTTAACCTGAAACCGTTCTTAACCTGAAGCACTACTTTAGCTAACGGAGCCTCCTGCTGCCGCCGTGCCACCGGAGCACGATTTCTGTTCCCATCCTGAAGCAAAGTTCTTTACCCGAGGTACTATTTCTGGGTTAGAAGAGTTTGTAACCTGAAGCGTCTAACCTGAAGCGTCTGCAACTGTAGTATCCTTCAGTGCTCAAAGACATGAGGTCAGACATTGAGTACTATCCTTAAACAGGGCTGCCTTCAGATGTCTTCTGAAAGTCAGACAGGTTGTTTATTTGTCTAGACATCCCTGACAGGAGGCATCTCCACAGGGCAGGTGCCACCACTGAGAAGGCCTTCTGCCTGCTTCCCTGTAACCTCACTTCGCAGGAGGGAGGCTGCCAGGACGGCCCTTGGCAGCTGGACCTCTGTGTCAGTGGCTGGCACCATGCGCTGTGGAGACGCCCTCCCATCAGATGTCTACTGGTCAAATCAACCTTGTCTGATTTTCAAAGTTTAAGCTGCAAAGGATAGCCCTACTTTACTGAAGCTCTCACTCGCTTTGATGTCATGTCGAAGTGTATAATACAGTGGTACCTCGGATTACATAAGCTTCAGGTTACAGACTCCGCTAACCCAGAAATAGTACCTCGGGTTAAGAACTTTGCTTCAGGATGAGAACAGAAATCGTGCTCCGGCGGCACTGCGGCAGCAGGAGGCCCCATTAGCTAAAGTGATGCTTCAGGTTAAGAACAGTTTCAGGTTAAGAACGGACCTCCGGAACGAATTAAGTTCTTCGCCCGAGGTACCACTGTAACTGGACAATGTTTTTTTCCCCAGGGTCTGAATCCATTCTTCCAGCTAGCCTGCTGAGCAAAGGTTGATTTTGCAACCCTTGACCCTCCCCAATTTTGCCTGTGGCCCTGCCCCCCGCTGTCATCCGGCCCCCGAAAAATTGCTCACGAGGGATTGTGGCCCCCAGGGTTGAAAAGGTACCCCCCCGCCTAGTACGGTACTTTATAGAGCAGAACGAATTTAGCCAGAACTTCCCTCGCCCCACTCACTTTGAGTAAGCGGATGTCGTTCGTCACAGTTCCAGAGTTGTAAAGTGGGTGAGCGATGGATTCTTGCACCCCGAAAATCTGCTGCGAGGCCTCGGGGGCCGCGAGGGAGTGGGCGCCGAGCACGATGCGGACGGACGGTGATCGCCTGGAGTTTCAGTTTGGAAAGCGCGGTTACAAAGCAGCTAGATACTGACTAGCTTGATCAGACAAAACCCCAAAAGTATAACCCAGAAACATAGCTGTCAACTTACAGATTTGAAAATAAGGGACCAGCAGTCTCGAAAATAAGGGATCAGCAGCCAAAATAAGGGATTTTCAGAACACAGGTATGTTCAACTTCTGAGCCCCTCCGAGCCAAAGGCAAAAAGCCCAGCCAGCAGCCAAACGAAGCCTCAAGCGGTGGTTCCCACAGCGCAGCAACCCGGCAAAGGGATGCAGCAAGAAAAACCACCGTCACCTCTCTGCTGGGAAGCGCTGAGCAAAGGCGAGTCCCCAGGCAACGCGGCTGATTTGATTGGCACAAGGCATGCAAGCTCCACCCCCAGTCGTTCTTAGACTCCTTATTGGGTGAGCAACGCAGCCAAGCAACACAGTTGGCCGGCAGGGAGGGAGGGAGAGGAGCTGCTTCCTTTGAAACCCGGGAAATTGAAGGGACATCATCAATCCGGGACAGCAGCAGGACACGGCGCTGGGATAAGGGACTTTCCCACCAAATAAGGGACAGTTGACAGCTATGCCCAGAAACAATGGAAACGTTTAAATGATTATTTATGTAGACAAAGATGAAGCGTAAGGTATTGGTTGTGTTTAGAATAGATTTAGGAAACTTATTGATTAGAATATTTGTATGAGAGTGTGTGTGGGAAATACGGAATAACAGATACAATTTTGCTTAAAATGTATATAGGAAGTGCAGTGCAAGCGATGGAAGTCAATCAATGAAATTTTGTTATTGAGATATTTGTAGAATCAATTTGGAAGAAATTCATCCAACTTTTCTTCTTATTTTTTCTTCTCTTCCTTTTTTCTTTTTTGTTCTTTTTTATACGTGTGTGCTTATCTGAAATATATATGTATACATGTATTTGCAGTATTTTGCTTGTATTTTGTAATAATTATATTAAATAAAATTTAATTAAAAATACAACAACCAGCAGATATAGGAAGGGAAGGCAGGAAAATCCAGACAGCGGAAACAGCCCAGACAGGCAGCTGTCTGTCTTACTGGCCCAGGTTCTGCAGAAAACCCACTGAACATTCGTAAGAAATTGCTCTTTTAATCTGGCAGCATTTAAACTCTGGAACTCCCTGCCACTTGACACAGGCAGGATTCTCTGCTGTCGTTCTTTCACTCCCTGTGAAAAACGTTCCTGTTTAGACGAGTCCAGCCAGACATGTAGGATGTGGACGTACAATCGAATCTGTCCTTGATTTATTGCTGAGTTTTTAATCTTAGAAAAGCAGTGAATGGCCCCCTCAACGTCCCCCAGCGAGGATTGTGGCTGAGTGGTGGATTTGAATCACACATGAAAAACATAAAACAAATCCTTATTTCCTGATGAGTAGCCTTTGGACTGGGAAGGGACGTGGGTGGCGCTGTGGGTTAAACCACAGAGCCTAGGACTTGCCGATCAGAAGGTCAACGGTTCGAATCCCTGCGACGGGATGAGCTCCCGTTGCTCGATCCCTGCTCCTGCCAACCTAGCAGTTCAAAAACACGTCAAAGTGCAAGTAGATAAATAGGTACCGCTCCGGCGGGAAGGTAAGCGGTGTTTCCGTGCGGTGCTCTGGTTCGCCAGAAGCGGCTTAGTCCTGCTGGCCACATGACCCGGAAGCTGTACGCCAGCTCCCTTGGCCAGTAAAGCGAGATGAGCGCCGCAACCCCAGAGTCGGTCACAACTGGACCTAATGGTCAGGGGTCCCCTTTACTTTAGCCTTTGGACTCTAATGTAACTTAAATAGAAAATTATCTTTAGAAAGATCCCCCCCCCGGCATTTTATTTTAAAAATCCGATTTAAATCCAGAAAATCTGACTTAAATAAGAAAATCTGATTTGTAAGAAAATCAGATTTGTTTCGATTTTAAAAAAACAGGATCATTGATTTTTATCCACCCTGGTTCCAACTTACCTGGGCATCAGGCAGTGAGCCGCCGTCATGACCCACTTTCGCCGCACCAAGAACCCACCGCAGACGTGCGCCCCATTCACCTGGATGGAGGCCATGAAGGGCTGGGAATGGGGCACAACTTCCTTGCCCCCGATAACCCTGCCCCCCCAAGCGCTAGGGGCGAAGAACCAGAGACCTGTGCGAGAAAAGGCCGTTGGATGAATTGGGTCAGAAAACGTCCGGCAGGTTGCGGCAGAACTATTTAAAAGCAGTTCTCCAAAGTTGCGTCGGGAGACAACAAAAGGAACATTTACAGTCAGGGCTCGGAAGTCGAACGGAATCCGTTCCGGAAGTCCGTTTGACTTCCAAAACGTTCGGAAACCAAAGCGCGGCTTCCGATTGGCTGCAGGAAGCTTCCGCAGCCAATCGGAAGCCACGGAACCGGATGTTTGGTTCCGAAGAACGTTTGCAAACCGGAACACTCACTTCTGGGTTTGCAGTGTGCGGGAGCCGAAAAGTCCGACTACCAAGGCATTCGGGATCAAAGGTACGACTGTATGCAGTTTCAGCGGAGTACGGAATAGTTTAGGCCCCAAAGGATATTATTTTATTTGCAGAATAATGGATAGGTATGCTTTCAAAATGACAGCAAGGCTGTTCTTCTATGGTTCTCCACAGCGTGTTGTTGTGCGCAGTGGTTTTCCACTCCGACAGATATGAAAAGAGAAAGACTTCCTTGTGTTGGAGGATGGAGAGCGGCTAATGGATTGAGGTCGAATCCCGACAAGACAGAAGTGCTGTTTCTGGGGGACAGGGGGCGGGCAGGTGTGGGGGACTCCCTGGTCCTGAATGGGGTCACTGTGCCCCTGAAGGACCAGGTGTGCAGCCTGGGGGTCATTTTGGACTCACAGCTGTCCATCGAGGCGCAGGTCAATTCTGTGTCCAGGGCAGCTATCTACCAGCTCCATCTGGTACACAGGATGAGACCCTCCCTGCCTGTAGACTGTCTCCCCAGAGTGGTGCATGCTCTGGTTATCTCCCGCTTGGACTACTGCCATGCGCTCTCCATGGGGCTGCCTTTGAAGGTGACCCAGAAACTACAACTAATCCAGAATGCGGCAGCTGGACTGGGGACTGGGAGCGGCTGCCGGGACCACATAACACCGGTCCTGAAAGACCTATATTGGCTCCCAGTATGTTTCCGAGCACAATTCAAAGTGTTGGTGCTGGACTTCCGGGGTGGCGCCTCCGAAAAATGGCGGAATTCCCTTCGAACTGAAGGGAACCCGCTGCACGGAGGCTTGGGTCCTGCCGCTACGGCGCAGCGGGGCCCTCAAAACCACAGGCGGAAGAAGCCTGTGGCCGTGGGACTCGGCGGGCACCGAGAGCGCTCTCTCCCTTGTACAGGAGCCCGGCAACGGGCTCCGGAGCGGGAGGTGCGTGGTGCTGTGAGTCGACTGCTTCCTCCGTGCAGCAAAGCCGCACTGCCGTTTCGGAGAGCGCTGCCTTCTTCTTGGACAATCTGGCATTTAAAACATCTATCCGTGAGTACCTGATCTTGGAAGAGCTGAACTACCTTTAAGATTGGAGAACAATTAAATAGTATTGGATCTGGACTTGAAATTGAACTTAATTGGGACTCGGAACGGAAAGATCTAAACAGGAAGTCAACCTTCCGTTCTTTTGTTAAGCGAAGAAAGCAAAGATAAATTATACTAAAGCTTGAAAATTAAATTCTGAGAGAACTAAAATTCAACACCTAAGATTTCTGAACCCCCCTTTGACTGCAGGAGAAGAAGGGGGTGGTTTTGGTTTTTTTTTAACCCTGTGGAAGTGAGTTTAAAATAAAGTAATTTTCCACCGCCCTGAACCAGGAGCGGGCTGTCAGAATTGACGTCTTGAAGTGTATCCAGCTCGACAGATAGTTAAAAGAAGGGTAACATTTTGACTTTACTGTTGCCTCTTAGGGAATTTTGGACAAAGTGTTTTTGGAAAAAGTAAGATTGTTGCAAAAGTAAAATTTGTTCCATCTAGTGGAACTGAGTGAAATTGCAATGCAGAGAGCTTAAAAAAGAAGAGCTATTCTCGTGGGAAAGAATTCTTTTCGACCTTGAAGGACAATGCTAGTACAAAGGCTTCAACAAGTGTTCCTGGAAGGTTTTGCAAAATTAAGTGCCCAGCTGGACCAGATGCGTCAGGAGTCGACCTTGATGATGGAAGTCACCAGAGCACAGCAGCAAACAAATGAAATTCAGTTAAAGTCTATACAAGTATATGAACCTGCTGTAGTGATGGAGGCTTCAGAGATGGAGGGACCATTGGATGGGCAAGATCAGCCTTTGAACTTGATAAATGAACTTGGGGCAAATCTGATGGGCCATCAGAAGATTGGAGTAGTTGAAGTCTCCAAGCTCTGTGGAAAATGGAACTGGCATTATCTGCTCTCTGGCCTGGGTAATGGGTCTGGAATGGACTTGCTGCAAAGAGTTAAAAGCATTTCTCTGCTGGAGTCTCCACGATTGAAAGGGAAACATCAACAAGAGCGGCGAAAGGGGCAAGAAAGAGACTTGAGAGCCTCGGATACGAGACAACCAGGTTAACGAGTTGGATTATTGAGGTTAAAAGGACTGACAATCTTGGGTCCTGGGGAGGGAGGCTGGAAGTTGACTGGGCTGAATTTGACTTACTATTTTTTCTTTTTACTTCTTAATATTGGGAATGTTTATAAATGTCTGAAGGGTGTTGAATGAAATTACATGGCTTAAGTAAGGATTGGTAAATGATGTGTATAAAGGTAATGATGTAAGAATTTGCTACATATTGAATATTGAATTAAAGTTTTTATATGACAAGAGGGAAAATAGAATAAGGAAATGTAATGATAGATTGTTGTGGAGAAAAAAAAAGACAGAAAGGATTTGCTGTGAAAATTAAAAACTAAGAAACAAGAGAGGGGAGGAGGAGGAAGTCTAGAAAGGAAGTTAATGGAGATGGTAAAGAACTACATTTTTCTATTTTTCTGTTTTTCTTTTTTTCTTTTTGCGGCTGGGTTTTCTTTTCTTTTCTTTAATATTTTTGTATTACTTTTGTTATTTCTGTATTTTCAACTTTTTTTGGAAATTTTGTTGTTATCCTTTGAAAATTTAATAAATATCAATTTAAAAAAACAAAAAAACAAAAAAACAAAGTGTTGGTGCTGACCTTGAAAGCCCTAAACGGCCTCGGCCCTGTATCCCTACAACTCTAAAATTGGAACCAGTGAAGGCGGTGAAGGTCCTGTGTGAGTGCCTGGAGGCAGTTGGAGGATGGATGGTGGCTAACAGATTGAGGTTGAATCCTGACAAGACAGAAGGGCTGTTTTGGGGGGACAGGAGGCGGGCAGGTGTGGGGGACTCCCTGGTCCTGAATGGGGTCACTGTGCGCCTGAAGGACCAGGTGTGCAGCCTGGGGGTCATTTTGAACCCATAGTTGTCCATGGAGGTGCAGGTCAATAGGTCGTAGGTCCGAGCCCCATGCATTGCTGAGGGTTGGACTAGATGATTTCCGTGGTCCCTTCAAAGTCTTATGTAGATTCTATGAAGGCTCCCTATCAATGTATATACATCAATACATAGCCAGAGTAATCTCCGTGAATTTGTTGGGTCTCCTTTTGAAGCCATCCCCTACCCTATTTATGGGACCGCCTCTCCTGGTCTGCCCCGCAGAGGACCTTAAGGTCCATGAATAACCATAGTTTAGAGGTCCCGGGCCCTAAGAAAGTCAGACAATCCTCCACCAGGGCCAGGGCCTTTTCAGTGATGGCTCCGACCTGGTGGACTGCTCTGTCCCATGAGACCAGGGCACTGTGGGATTGAACCTCCTTCCGTCAGGGCCTGTAAGACAGAGCTATTCTGCCTGGCTTTTAATTTGAATTCAGCCTGATCTTCTATTTCCCTTCTCTTCCCTCCCCCTTCCCTTTTTATGAAGATCACCCGCTCTGAGACCCCACAGCTAATTCTCCCCTGGTCTCCTCGCTGGCGCAAGTAGGACAAATTCAGCCAGCTAGCCCTGGTGATTATCTAAAGTTTATTAGATGGATTTCCCCTAAACTGATTTCTGAACTTTGAATTTTATTGTTATTCATGTTTTTATACTATATTTTATGCTGCTTTTACAATTGTTTTAAATTTGTTGTTAGCCGCCCTGAGCCCGGTTTTTGAACCCGGAAGGGTGGGTAGAAATAAAAATTTATTATTATATTATTATTATTACCCCTCACACGCAGCAGAGAAGGAAAAACCAAAGTGTTGCTTCAGATTAAACTGAAACAGCCGTATGACGAAAGGCGGCAGATAGATGCGAACTGATGTGGTTTTACATGAGGAAGAAAGGTGGGAGATGGAAGCCAGAGGAACCTTGGGGAAAATACCGTATTTTTTGCACCATAACACTCACTTTTTTCCTCCTAAAAAGTAAGGGGAAATGTCTGTGTGTGTTATGGAGGGAATGCCTACGGGTGGCATGCCTACGGATTTTCCTCCTCTAAAAACTATGTGCGTGTTATGGCCGGGTGCGTGTTATAGAGCGAAAAATACGGTATACTGTGTAATATCTAGAACTGTAGAGTTGGAGGAGACCATTGGGACCACCTATAACCTGTTTGCGTTTATTTACCGATAAAAGCATTCATGCCCCTAGCCTATTACAGTGTCTCTGAAAATTTTTACACATCACTTGGGAAGACAGGCGGAGGAATGCGTGTATTGGAAGAAGCAAAGATCACCCGTGTCAAAGCGAGGACTCTGAAACATCAACTTCGTTGGACTGTCCATGTGTCGGACGCTCGATTATCGTCTTCCAAAACAACTGCTCTATTCCGAACTTCAAAATGGAAAGCGTAATGCTGGTGGTCAGCAAAAGAGGTTCAAAGACTCTCTCAAGGGAAATCTTTAAAAATGTAGTATAAACACTGACAACTGGGAAACACTGGCCTGCGAGCGCTCCAGCTGGAGGACAGCCTTTCCCAAAGGTGTCCTGGGCTTTGAAGACACTCGAACTCAGGACGTGAGGGAGAAACGTGCTAAGAGGAAGGCACGCTTGGCAAACCCTCACCGGGATCAACTCCTGCCCAGAAACCTCTGTCCCCACTGTGGAAGGCCCTGTGGATCCAGAATTGGCCTCCACAGTCCCTCACGGACTCACTGTTAAGACCGTTTTCATGGAAGACAATCTTACTCGGCTAAGAGGGATCGCCAAAGATGACGACAACGACAAGTGTCCTCAGGGTGGCAGAGAGATCGTAACCCGAACGCACCCAAAACTTCCCATCTTACCTGTTTGGAGAAGGACAAGGAAGAACCTTGGCATTCTCACGAGGAGGAACGCCCGCAAAGCTTTTGCCATCTTCAAGGAACGAGATCTGTATTCGAGGGATCTCTGGGCTAAAGGATTTGACCGGGAGAATAGATCTTTGGAGGGGAAAGGAGCCTTTGTAGCCTTCCTTTAGGGAAGTAGCTCAGAGATTAAACCGGCGCCTAACCCAACAGTGGAGGTCGGTGGTTCGCCTTCCTCCACGTCAGCGCAAGGGAAGGATCCGGGAAGGCGTTACTCAAGCCAGCGTGGTTTCCTCATCCTGGGGGGATTAGGAAACATTTTCCACAAGGCCCCCTGAAGAGGAAGAGCGAGTCCAGGCTCAGAAGTGGGGGGTGAAGGGGGAATGGGAGCCATTACTCTGGTATATCTAAATTTAAAAATTCCTTCAGTAGCACCTTAGCAATAACAAACTTAGTTGGTCTCTAAGGTGCTACCAGGGACGCAGGTGGCGCTGTGGGTTAAACCACAGAGCCTAGGGCTTGCCGATCAGAAGGTCGGCGGTTCGAATCCCGCAATGATGGGGTGAGCTCCCGTTGCTCGGTCCTGCTCCTGCCGACCTAGCAGTTCGAAAGCATGTCAAAGTGCAAGTAGATCAATAGGTACCGCTCCGGTGGGAAGGTAAACGGCGTTTCCGTGCGCTGCTCTGGCTTCGCCAGAAGCGGCTTAGTCCTGCTGGCCACATGACCCGGAAGCTGTACGCCGGCTCCCTCGGCCAGTAGAGCGAGATGAGCGCCGCAACCCCAGAGTCGGCCACAACTGCACCGAATGGTCAGGGGTCCCTTTACCTTTTAAGGTGCTACTGGAAGGAATTTTTATTTTGTTTCGACTACGGCAGACCAGCATGGCTACCTACCTGTATGTGGTATATGTGGTATACAGCGGTTCCGCTCCTTTCTCCTGGGCCGTGTCTAGAAAGTGGTGTTGGGGCATGAGTGTTCGGACCCCTGGGCTCTCGCTTGTGGGGTGCCTCGGGGCTCCATCCTCTCCCCCATGTTTTTAACATGTATATAAAACCGTTCGGAGAGATCATCAGGGGTTTGGGCTGGGTGTTCACCAGTATGCTGATGTTATTCAGGCTCTGCTGGCTTTCAAGATCGGAACCAGTGCAAGGTCCGTGTGTCAGAGGCGGCTGGATGATGGATGGCAGACAACAGATTAAGTCGAATCCTGACAAGGCAATAGTACTGGTTTGGTGGACAGGGTGTGTGTGGAGGACTCCCTGGTCACTGAAATAGACGTAACTCTCCCCAAAGGACCAGGTGTGCAGCCTGGGGTCGTTTTGGACCCAGCTGTCCATGGAGGCACAGGTCAAATCCATGTCCAGAGCAGCTGTTTACCAGCTCCATCTGGAGACACAGGATGAGATCCCTCCCTGCCCGCGGACTGTCTGGCCAGAGTGGTGCATGCTCTGGTTATCTCCCGCTTGGACTACTGCTATGCATTCATCACTTCCTTCTGCGTTGCTTGGGGTTGGACTAGATGACCCTTGGGTCCCTTCCAACGCCACGATTCTATAATTCTAGGATTCTGACTGTTGTTATGCTTTTTAAAATCTTTTTTTTATTACGTGTTCTTAACGTTGTACAATGCCCTTGCATCTATTGATAAGGGGTGGTATATAAACTGATGATGATGATGATGATGATAATGAAGGCTGCCTTACACTGTGCCAGACCCCTGGTCCAGGAAGCTCAATACTAATAAAGTTCATGCATTAGCTGCTCCATTCCTCAAAATGAAATAATAATAATAATAAGGACCCCTGACCATTAGGTCCAGTCGTGGCCGACTCTGGGAGCTGCGCGCTCATCTCCCTTAGTGGCCGAGGAGCCGGTGTACAGCTCCGGGTCATGTGGCCAGCAGGACTGAGCCGCTCTGGCGAGCCAGGCAGCGCACGGAACGCCGTTTACCTTCCCACCAGAGCGGTACCTGTTTATCTACTTGCACTTTGACGTGCTTCCGAACTGCTAGGTTGGCAGGAGCAGGGACCGAGCAATGGGAGCTCACTGCCATCGCCGGGAGATTCAAACCGCCGACCTTCTGATAGGCAAGCCCAAGGCTCTGTGGTTTTGACCACAGCGCCACCCTCGTCCCAAAAATCTTACACACCTTTATTGTCATTGTACAACCTGTGTACACAATGAAGTCTATACGAGCCCGCCCGAAAATACGGTACTCAAATCGCTTATCGAACAACACACCACCTCGCAAGTCAATTTCGCTATGTTACGCTAATATTTTCTATTATTTATATGCCGCCCAAAGCAGTCTCTTCCATGCATTTGCCCAACCCCCTTTTGGAATCCATCCAAGCTGGCCTTCCTGTGGCAGACAGTTCCACAGTTTAATGCCGTGCTCCGCGAACGACTCTCGAATCTCCCTGCTGGCTTTACAGTGGCTCTGTACTGTTTATTTACACATGATCTCAACACATGGCGCTGCTTAAATCTTTTAATTATCTCTCAAGTTTCTTTTTTTTTGGGGGGGGGAAGAGTGTGGAAAGCCCCAGGGAAGCAATTTATGAACGAAACAAGCGGTTATGTAAGAACGCTCAGCTTGATTGCAGCCAAACGGAGGAAAGAAAGAAAAGTGAGGAGGCAAAAAACGCACATAACCCGACAAAGGAGTGCTTTTATCATTCTATTTTATTAGATATTTCCAAAAATAAAGGGGGGGGGGGAATGGAATGCCAGAAGGCGGCGATGGACGACATTGCATACAAGAATTCCACCTTGTCTCTGTACGGTTCTACGCCTGGATACAGAAATCTTGGTTTGTCGTCGCCTCTTTTGAAAAGAACGGAGGGGCAGGAAGGAGGAAGAAGAAGAAGAAGGAAGCACAATGGGATTGTCCACTTACTATATCAGGAAAGAGAACTTTTTCTTTTTAAAAAAAAAAAAACAACCCAAAAACACCGAAATTCTCCTTAAATAAAGCGTTTTAATAATAAATTACAACAGTTAAAAACGAACGGCGCGGGGGGGGTCCCCACACTTGACGGGAGCTGAAATAATAACAATAATAATAATAATAAAAATAATAAAATACGCTCGACGTCCCAAGCCTTTGGGCTGACCGGGAACAGCGGTATGCCCCTGACGGGACCGATGGGCACGGCTGGGTCGCGAGAGACCCTCCCAGCCAAGGAAGAGGTGGGGAGATATGGGGAGGTGGAATAAATGCCCCCCCTCCCCGAGGAAATAACCTGATGTACCAGTGGGAAAGGCTCTCCTGTTTCGTAGGATGAGGTTACATTCCTCCCCTTTTTTTAAAAAAACAGGATTTTGTTTCCCGCCCCCCAATATAAGAAGTTTTGGATCTTCCACATGGGAGCCAAAAAGCTCTTGGTCTACAGAAAGGATGATGAAATCATCACATACTTCGGGGAAAACCCCACAGCTTATTTACAAAGGGCGGAGGGGTGGGAGATAAATCTTTAAAAATCAAGAGAGAGAGAGGAATTCTTTCTGTCGGGATGCATTTGTGGATATACGCATATATATATATATATATATATATATATCGAGAGAGATAGGAAACCGCCTCTGGTTTTACAGCAAAACTACAATGGTTCGTCGTCAACACAGCGATTTACACTTCTGGGAGGGGGCGGGCGGGGAGAAATCCCAAACAGAAGAGGTGATATGTGACCATCGACATAGAGCAAGCCCTACAGGATTTCTCCCCCTTCCCCAAAATCCTGCGCACCCCCCTTCTGTACAAAGAGCGTCAAAACGGGGGTGAGCGCTCAAGTTCGAAAACACGTTGCAAAACGCAAAACGAAATAAGAACCGGGATATAAATATATATATATTTATAATGTACATACAGACACGCACACCCCATGGGTCTAATGTAGACTTCTAAGAAAATAGGTCCGATGTCGCTCCCTGCTGGCCCAAAGCACCGATTTTGTCTTTCCTGCTGAAATGGGGAGATGGGTGGGAAGGAGGAGCTCCCTGCTCTGACAGGGTGGGATCAGCTGTTTTGGGGCTGCGGGGAAATTTAAAAGGGTGGTGGCGAACACAGCACAAGCAGCGTCGAGAAATGGCAGCCGGGACAGACTTGGCCAACCGGGCGCCCCCAGGCAGCTCGGACTACAGCTCCTATCGCCCGCGACGTGGGGCAGGGCTCCAAGCTGGCGAGAGCTTCCACGGAGAGGTCTTTGAGGGCGGATTGTCAAGATGGAGGAAAGGGTGAGCAGGAAAGGCGGGCGAAGGAATCAAGTCTGCTCACCAGGAGTAACGGCCAAGGTTCACAGAGCTTTGCAACTGGCTCTCAGGCGCCCCAAATACGTTCCTGTCGTTGAATTGCAAAGCCAAACAAGTCTAGAAGGTGGCAGGCTTCTTTGACAGGGAGGGAGATATCTCTCCCCTTAAGTCAAAGAAAGGATCCCTCGGATTCTGGGTCGCTCATGGAGGCAGATGGCTAGGACGCCCAGGAAGGGCAAGGAGAGCTTTTCTGTGTTTCAAAGGCAGATTTGAGGCTCTGCCGCGTGGAGAGGCACGGCCGGGCTTTCTCCTGAAGGCTGCGCTGAGAGAGAAAAGACCTTTCGCTTCTCAAGGACTATTTAAGGAAACCGCTTCGCCAAAAGGACGTTTGTGCAAACAAAACAGACGACGAGTGAGCGAGTGAGAGTAACGCACAGGCAAGCTAACGCAGCTTCGGCTGTGGAAATATCTCGCCTTCGCCGTCTTTTCAGGGACGTGCGTGGGGCAGCCTTCGAAAAACCTCCAAGAAGCTTTGAACTGCAGCTCCCGCCAGCTGGCTGGCCGGGGGGCTGATGGCAGCCGCAGCCCAAACGTCAGGAGGTTTGGATTTGTAACATTGCCTGCCGTTCCGGCACTCGACAGGCCTCCTCTCGAAGGAACCGCGATTCGTGCTGCCTGGGTCTCGGTTTCGAACAGCAGCATGCGAGACGCTCAAACCGGTTCCGTCCCAAAGACCAGGTGGGTGGAAATTGTTAGGAAGGAGAATTGTTACAGAGACAAAAGGCAGCCTCGCTTGCAAAGCCTCGCCAGACAGCTCTTCCCTCTGCCTGTTGCAGCCTGCGGTGATAACCAACTCCGGTTAACACCCGGAGGCATGGAAAAGCCTTCTCCTGAAGGCTGAAAGGTCCTCCAAAGTCGATGCAATGTGGAGCCGTGCAAAATCGCCACCCAAAGCTTCAGTGGAAGCGAACTGCCTTTGGCCACCGGAACAGGGGACTTGTTTCTTGCACTTCTTTCAGGAACGCAGATCAACATGGCAAGAGCCAAGGAGAGGGCCGTCTCTCAACCTCACCGCCAGGCAAGACACTGTCTCGTAGAAATCTCTGGGCTTGGCCAGCTGCGCGGAAGCCTTCGCTTCAAAGACTCGTGCGCCGAAGAGCCCCTGTGGATTTTGGGGAGAAGGCCCGGCCCCAAACCGAGACACAAACACACGCACAAAATGCTCAATGTTGAAATGAATGGCTCGCAGGAGCCAAAACGACTGCTTCTGTGCCACGTCCACGGAGACAGCCTTGCCAACCCTGCCACAGCAGTATTTCTGACCACGCCGAGTTCCTTGGGGGCTCCTTGATCTCCCCACTTTCTGAGCAGAAAGCCGTTCCTCATTTCCCGGGGAATCGAAGGGGGGGGTGAGCGGCCACCCGGGTGACCAACCGCGCAGGTTCACAACGCCCCCCCCTCCTTCGCGCCCCCAAAAGTGCAGTAAACTGTTCCTTAATAATAATTCTTTTTTTAAAAAAAAAAAGCACGACAGTGCTACAATTCTGTGCAAGGACGGAAAAAATAAATACATGATTTTAAAACAAAACGAAGAGAGAGGAAGTTCACAGTATCACATACAGATAGGTAGCTACAATATAGTGCACTTTGAGGGGGGGATATATATATGTATAAATTGGTCACTACCCAGAATTAAGGGGCCCTTTCCCAGCTTGATACACGCTCCCCCCCCCCAGGAGGAGGAGCTGTTTACAGGTCGCTGCTTGGATGGATATAAATTCGTATCTTGAGGGGGGAGAGGAGGGAGAGAACGAGACGTGGTTGACAGAGGTCTTTCTTCCTGTCTTCCCCGGGATGGGTCGGGATCCAGGAGGTGCGACGACGCCCCTGCTCCCCGTCCCAGCCGAGCGGCAGCAGGACGGGGCGAGACGGGACCCGCGACTGGTGGCAAGAAGGACGCTTCGTTTCTTGGGGTTGGTTGGGGGCTTTGCATAGAAGTTACTGCAGGAGGGAGACAAAAAATGGAAAGAGAAAGGAGTTACTGGAAGAGCAAAACAAAACGGTTTCTGGCTGGTATTACAGTGGTACCTCGGGTTACATACGCTTCAGGTTACAGACTCCGCTAACCCAGAAATAGTACCTCGGGTTAAGAACTTTGCTTCAGGATGAGGACAGAAATCGTGCTCTGCAGCGCGGTGGCAGCAGCCGGAGGCCCCGTTAGCTAAAGTGGTGCTTCAGGTTCAGAACAGTTTCAGGTTAAGAACGGACCTCCAGAACGAATGAAGTACTTAACCCGAGGTACCACTGTACTATCCTGCAATCTATGCTTGGGGCAGGTGCGAAAAGGGGGGTTTGGAAAAAGGCATCGATGCACGGCGCCAGCCCCACTCGGCCGGCCGAGACTTACGCACCGCCTTCGTACAAATTGACACACGTATCGTGGCGTAGTAAATCCCACAGTGATTGTGGGGACAGACGGCTGCCAGCATATGACCCTTGTTGATATAAAGTAGGGTTTTCCCAAGCTGGGGCTCTTTCGCTGTTGTCGGACTACAACTCCCATCATCCCTGAACCGCTGGATGATGGGAGTTGTAGTGCGACAAAAGCGGGGGAGCCCCACCTAGGAAAACCCTGCTTTAAAGGCTGTGTTGGCCGTCGCTGCACAAAGGTCAAGGTTCTTTTCAGAGTTTCATCGTGCTTTTCAACAACCTGCCCGCCCAAGATCGTGGAAGCTCTTGCACCTGAGACAGAATGCAAGGTAAAATACCCGCAGGCAGCTAGAACAGCTTAGGAATTACACCAGCCTACAAAATTCTCCATTTCGTTCATTGATATAAACCATGAAGGGGTAAACAGGTAATGGAGAAAGATTTCTGTAGTTCAAGATTCTTGGATTAATTTAAAGGTAAAGGTAAAGGGACCCCTGACCATTAGGTCCAGTCGTGGCCCACTCTGGGGTTGCGGCGCTCATCTCGCTTTACTGGCCGAGGGAGCCGGCGTCCAGCTTCCAGGTCATGTGGCCAGCAGGACTAAGCCGCTTCTGGCAAACCAGAGCAGCGCATGGAAACGCAGTTTCCCTTCCCGCCGGAGCGGTACCTATTTATCTACTTGCACTTTGGCGTGCTTTCGAACTGCTAGGTGGGCAGGAGCAGGGACCGAGCAACGGGAGCTCACCCCGTCATTGCGGGGATTCGAGCCGCCGACCTTCTGATCGGCAAGCCCTAGGCTCTGTGGTTTAACCTGTGATTTAGAGGAAGTAGAGACGAGATTTGGATGGCATGCCTATCTAATAGATGAAAAAGTGATAGTACATAAAGGCTTCCTAGGGCATATAATCAGAAAATCTATATATATATGTATAATGATCATATAAGTCCTAGGCTCTGTGGTTTAGTCCTAGGCTCTGTGGTTTAACCCACAGCGCCACCCGTGTCCCTTATCCACAGCAATACAGGATCTACAAATGTTGGGAATAATAAAGCAAGCTTTCTGGGACATGCAACGAGTCCGCTTCATCAGGACGCGATCAGAGAAGGAGCTTTTCCCCTGCGACCCAAGTGGTTATCTCATGCACACACCCCCAGCGACTTACTGTATCGCTCTCCTCGTCGGAGACAGAGTGGATCTGAGTGTTATAATGGAGCGGCGAATACACCCAGTTCCGTTCGTCTGTTGGCTGCTGCACAGCAAAGCAAGAGCAAAGGCGGGCAGGAAAGGAAAACGAAGAAAGAGAAAGAGACAAGACAGATGAGAAGAAGGACAGCTCGGAGCACAACTGTGTAGCAGGAAAGAGAAAGAGAGAGCGCATAGCACAGGCCAGCCTTTCTCCAAACAAAGGGGTTGCCTTTTGGATATTTTAGGGCGGTGGCCTCGAGAGGGGAGATGGGAACGCCCCCCTTCTGCAAAACAACACAAAGAGTCTGGGTACAAGTTTCTGCTCTGCAAAGGCCTTAACTAGGAAGACAGCACAGCCGGGTTTGAGTCCTGACGGAGGTGCAACAGCTGGGATACGGCAGAAAATTCTGGGGAGATTTAGCCGTGGAAGTATTAACTGGCCGCACGTTCCTCTATAATTTAACTATGCGATAGCTGCTCAGGGAGACCAGAACAACGAATTAGGAAGAGTCTTCCATGGGCTCACTATGAAGCCATCTATGAACTATGAATACCATCTCCTGGTCTGCCCTGCAAAGGACCTTAAGGTCCATGAATAATCATAGTTTAGAGGTCCCAGGTGCTAAGGAAGTTAGATTATCCTCCACCAGGGCCAAGGCCTTCTCAGTGATGGCTCCGACCTGGTGGAATGCTCTGTCCCATGAGACTAGGGCCCTGCAGGATTTAAACTCCTTCCGTCGGGCCTGTAAGACAGAGCTATTCCACCTGGCCTTTAATTTGAATTCAGCCTGATCTTTTATTTCCCTTCTCTTCCTTCCCCTTCTATGAAGATCACCCGCTCTGAGACCCCACAGCTAGTTCTCCCCTGGCCCAAGTAGGACCAATTCAGCCAGCTAGCCCTGAGGATTACCTAATGCTTATTTCCCCTAAACTGATTTTTGAATTTTATTGTTATTCATGTTTTTATACTGTATTTTATGCTGCTTTTATAATGAAGTGTTTTAAATTTGTTAGCTGCTCTGAGCCTGGTTTTTGAACTGGGAAGGGTGGGGTATAAATAAATATATATTATTATTATTATTATTATTATCCTATCCTCCTGTCTTGCCCTGGCCTCAGTTTTCCCCATCTGCAATATGGGGAGAATACCGACTGACCTTACAGGGCGGTTGTAGAAATACTGCAACGTAACTACATAAACTAGCTGTTCGTGTTAGAGAAGAAGAGTTTGGATTTGATATCCCACCTTTCACTCCCTTTAAGGAGTCTCAAAGCGGCTAACATTCTCCTTTCCCTTTCTCCCCCACAACAAACACTCTGTGAGGTGAGTGGGGCTGAGAGACTTCAGAAAGTGTGACTGGCCCAAGGTCACCCAGCAGCTGCATGTGGAGGAGCGGAGACGTGAACCCGGTTCCCCAGATTACGAGTCTACCGCTCTTAACCACTACACCACACTGGCTCTCAGTGTTAGGGCCGGCTAGCTTAGCACTGCGAGCGACATTCGGCCTCAAGGAAAAAGGGGGTCCCTCTGCTACCACAGCCCCTGGGCACTTCGAAGCTGGAGATGAGCCCCGCCAGCGGATTTCACTTACGTCCCCAGAGGAAACCGAGGCGGCTCGGAGCCTGCGCAGGCGTGGGGAGTAAATCCAGTACCTTCCGTCTGTGAACTGGGTGGCGCACGGCAGGGCAGATGATGGAAGATTTTTTGGGGGGGGGGAATAAAGAAAGCAGGGAGAGGGAGATGGGAAAGGATGAATGGGAGGTGGAGAAAGAAAGAAAAAAAAAGATGACGTTGGAAGGGGTGAGGATGAATGATCGTGAAACAGAGAGAAAAGCTGATGGAGGCAGTTTTTGTAGGGGGAGAGAAGGACTGTTGCTGGACCTCAAGCTGCATGGAAAAGGTTTTGCTGGAGCTGGAGCTGAGATGCATGAAGGATGTTGCTGCGGCAGGAAACACCCCCCCCCCCATTGCAGGAAGGCATGCAGGGATGCAACTCAGGTCGACACCCAACAAAATAAATGAAGGTAAAGGTAAAGGTACCCCTGACTGTTAGGTCCAGTCGTGGCCAACTCTGGGGTTGCGGCGCTCATCTCGCTTTACTGGCCGAGGGAGCCGGCGTACAGCTTCCGGGTCATGTGGCCAGCAGGACTAAGCCGCTTCTGGCGAACCAGAGCAGCGCACGGAAACGCCGTTTACCTTCCCGCTGGAGCGGTACCTATTTATCTACTTGCACTTTGAGGTGCTTTCGAACTGCTAGGTTGGCAGGAGCAGGGACCGAGCAGCGGGAGCTCACCCCGTCATTGCGGGGATTCAAACTGCCGACCTTCTGATCGGCAAGTCCTAGGCTCAGTGGTTTAACCCACAGCGCCACCCGCATCCCGTTAGACAGTGAAATTCACGTCGAATTGCTGTTTTAGGGGTTGTTTTGAAAAGTCTGGAACGGATTAATCCGTTTTGCATTCCTTTCTATGGGAAAGCGCACCTTGGTTTTGGAACGGACTTCCGGAACGGATTAAGTTTGAGAACCAAGGTGCCGCTGTACAGAGGCTGACTCCCTTGGGCTCACCGAACTCCGTATCGTGGCTAGCAAGGTCTCCCCTGAGATTTGGGGCAAGTTTTCTTTCCAAATCCTACCTGGAAAGGCTGAACTGAAGAAAGGGAAGCTACACCTCCCATAGTTGCAGAACCAATGAATACAGGAGAGCGTTGGCTTTGTTTTTTGGGGGCGGGAGGAGGAATGACACGCTCAAAAAAACCCCAAAACAAACCCCGAGGAAAATCAGGAACACAGCAGTCCACAAATGCCAGATGGCCAATTCCGAACAGCAAATGTTATAATGAATTAAGCAACCGAGGCAGATTGCGTTTCCACTTCACATGCGTTTCAAACCACACGGCGCAGGTTTTTTTTTTTTTAAAAGAGCGAAACGAAAAGCAAAACAGGAGCCGATTCCCTTCTGCAGCTGTTTGGAGAAGCTGCTCTGCAAAGCAAAGGAGAAAAGGAGGGGGGGCAAGGGGGGGAGGCAGATCTGAGGCAGGATCCGGCAAGGGGCATTTGCTGCTGCCCCCCTTTGGCTGAAAGGGCTGGGGCTGGAGTCACTGAGGGGCACAAGCAAGGAAAGGGTCCAAACCCAGTCCTCTGGGGCTGAGACTGTTCAGCTAAAGCCGTCGGAGAGGGCCAGAGTCCATGTCAGCCCTACTCAGAGTAACCCCACTGTGGGCAGAACACTAGGCACGTCCAAACCACGCATTTAGAGCAGCGCTCGAGCGGACGTGGCTTCCTGTCCCCAAAGGATCTTGGGAACTGTAGTTCTGCTCAGGGTGCTGTTAGGCAGGCGTAGGCAAACTTGCCCCTCCAGATGTTTTGGGACTACAACTCCCATCATCCCTAGCTAACAGGACCAGTGGCCAGGGATGATGGGAATTGTAGTCCCAAAACATCCGGAAGGCCGAGTTTGCCTATGCCTGCTGTTAGGAGAGCCCTCGTTCCCCTCGCAGGACTACAATCCCCAGAGTGGCTCGGCGGTCAACCCCCCTTCCCAGGGAATGCTGGGAATTGTAGTTCTGAGGGGGGGTTGCTAAGAACCGTTGACGAACTACAGTTCCCAGCAATCTTTGGGGGAAGCCACAACTGTTTAAAGAGAGATATGCATGAAGAAGATTGGTTGGATACAGCCCAGGATCTTGCCCTACCCCCGCTGGGCAGGGGGTCAGATTGAGAGTTTATGGGGCACAGGGGCAGCTAGAAAACGACGGGCCTTCGAGGTGGGACTGTGCAGGGAGAGTGGAGTGGAACTCCTGCTTCCTTCCAGGGGGGTTCTTCCTTTCAATGGGTCTACGAGTAGGATTAGGAACCCAAGGAGAGTGTGCTAGATCAGCCCTGTGGCCTGTCTGGTCCAGCTTCCTGCTCTCTCAGGGGCCGACCAGATGCACGTTCAAAGTTCCCTGCTTGTAGAAAGCTAGGTCATCAGCAAGATGCCAGTTTAATTATGTGCAAGGGAGTTTACCAGCCCAAATCCGTTTAGCCACACACTGCGTGAAGGACTTTCTCTTATTGGTCCTGACTTGGGACGTTGGTGCCCGGGAGTATCTCCTGTCTTGCTTAAAGAAAACATGGCGTCACTTCCTGTCTTACTGAAGCCACTTCCGCCCTTAACCTTGCCACTTCCTTGGGGAAACGAGTCTCTTTTTCTACTTATTTATGGTGGGCATTGCAAAAGCAAGATGCCATGGAGGGGCAGGGCTGAGGAATGACTGATTTAAGTTCTAGCAGGTTTGACAAAAAGCGAACAGACGGGATTTGGCGTGAGAATCTGCGCCCACTCCAAACACACACACACACACACTTTAGCACCCAGACTCACTTTGACCCTGATTCAGCCTCCCTAGACTTCGTCCTCTGAACCCGATTCCGGCTGGAGAGAAAGAAGCAAGGCCGGTTCATCGATAGCTCTTGGGAGTCATCGCCTCCTGGGTTGTCTACCCAACCCAGGGAAATACAGCAAGCTTGCCTTACAATGAGTAGCAGCTCTCTGGGGTTCCAGGCAGCTCCCTGACTCTGAACCTGGGGCCTTCTGTGTGGGAAGCAGATGCTATACCGCTGAGCTATGCACCGTATTTTTGCTCCATAACACGCACCTGACCATAAGACACACATAGTTTTTAGAGGAGGAAAACAAGAAAAAATATTCTGAAAGAAACAGTGGATGTATGATTTTTGTGGTTCATGCTATGGCCACAGACATGATATGTGATTTGATGGTGAGTTTGGGGTAGCCCAATGCAAAAATCCTGAGGATCCATGTGGATCTGTGCTTTGTAACCACGTTTTGCACCATTGTGGCCCCACAAAACAGTGGATGTGTGTTTTTGTGCAGGCTATAGCCATGGACATGCAATGCGATCTGATGGTGAATTTGGGTCGACCCAATGCAAAAATCCTGAGGATCCATGTGCTTTGACCTCCCCCTTTCCAGGCAGCCTCCTTTATCGCTAGCTTCCCTTATTTCCCTCCTGATCGCTTGCTGATCAGCTGCTCAGCGGCTTTGTTTCAACACCCCTTCCCTCTTGTTTGCCTTAGCATCTTTTCCTTAGCCGGAGCAGTTTTTGCTCCTCCTTTCTTCTAATTTCTCGTTTTGGTATTCCTGTCTCCTCTCCTTGCAAGTTCGCTGTCTTTACCTCCCCCTCCCAGGCAGCCTCCTTTATCGCTAGCATCCCTTATCTCCCTCCTGATCGCTTGCCGATCAGCTGCTCAGCGGTTTCATTTCAACACCCCCTTCCCTCTTTCTAAAAAATAAAAAGCACAACCTGCTTTTTGCCCCTGGGCAATTCGGCTCCAGGGACCATGCATCACGCACAGACATTTTCCCTTACTTTTTAGGAGGAAAAAAATGCGTCTTATGGAGCGAAAAATACGGTACTTTTATTTCGAGCGAAAGCTAACACCCTAGTCCTCATGGTTCCGAATAAAGCGCTGGCTTGAACGGGAGCACCAGGAAAGGAAACTGCTTTCTGTAGAGGTCAATATGGTACACAAGCAGCTCTCTGGAGTTTTGAGCCCGGGACGTTCCCAGTCCTACCCAGAGATTTGAACCCAGTACCTTCTGCCCCCCCCCCAAAAAACCAGATTCTTTGCCCCCGAGCCACAGCCCAGCTGGTGTTTTTATGAACTCGAGGGGGAAAGAAAAAGAGGGAGAGGAGGCACAGCGGGGCCAGTCGCTTTTCTGACCCCCGCCGTTTCCCTTCGTTTATAAAACGGAACTTACAAAATATATATCCGGGACGGGGAGGTCCTCCTCGTCCGAAGCTTGGCTGGCGGGCTCGGAGGCCTGGCTGGCTGTCTCCACCTCCGCCGACGCCTTCGGCAGCACCGTGGCGCAAGCCAGAGAGGTCGCCTCCCTGGAAAAGGAACAGAAAGTGTGGAAAGCACAGGCTGAGTCCGGGTTATTTGCTTGCAGGAGCAGCCCTCCCCACTGCGACCCCTCAGGGTGGTTTTGCCGGAACCGCAAGGCCCCACAGAGTCAGGCCATTGGGTCGGCCTGGCTCAGGACTGTTTACACTGACCGGAAGCAGCAGCTGCCCGAGGCTTCCACGCACCCCTGCCTGGGGACTGGGTCAGGGCCACTTTGCTTGCAAAACTGAGCTTGGCTCAGTTTCCAAAACTAAGTGCCTGTCCACCTGTCAACAGAGCCTGCTCAATCCTTGCTCTAGCACAGGGGCTGCAAAGGGACAGCGGCTTTTTGAACACTCCCCTGGGACATTTTGCGTGCGTTACAAAAACGTAACTCCCGCAGATAGAAAGCTTGCACACCAAAGACAGAAGCAGCCTTTTTTTAGAAAAACCTGGCTAGCGTTAACCCCCCACCCCACCCCACAAATGTAGGGGAGGTTGTCAGTTTGCATTTCTTAGTGCAGAAAGTATTGGTCTGATGTGTAGAGATCTTTCCTATTCCAATTAACTCAAGAGGGTTCTGGAAGCTTCTTTTGTGTGAAAGCAGCAAGCAGAAGGTTCGTGATGTTTGGGTTATACCTTCAGAGAAGATGAGTCTAGCTGACTTAAACTGGTTCTGTTATCTTTCTCTGTCAAGGTCATGCTGAATATAATAATAAGGCCAGGAGGAGCCTGGATTTTACTATTTCTATCTCTTTTCCTTCTGGTGTGATGTTCTGCATATAGTGTTAAGGTTTAGACTTATTATGAGTTATTGTAAGTTTAAGTTAAATCTACTTATGATGAGCTATTGTAAGTTTAAGTTAAATCTGTTGCAACTGGATTTCTTATGGACAGCTCTAATCCTGAATACAGTGGTACTCGGGTTACATACGCTTCAGGTTACCCAGGTTACACACTCCGCTAACCCAGAAATAGTGCTTCAGGTTAAGAACTTTGCTTCAGGATAAGAACAGAAATTGGGCCCCGGCAGCGTGGTGGCAGCAGGAGGCCCCATTAGCTAAAGTGGTGCTTCAGGTTAACAACAGTTTCAGGTTAAGAACGGACCTCTGGAACAAATTAAGTACTTAACCAGAGGTACCACTGTACATTGGATTTGTGACCATTATGCTCATTTGCCTTAAGTAGCAGTAAAGCTCTGCCGAGTGAAATATTAATTGCCTCTGGTCTTAATTTTTTGGGAATCCTGCAATGTCTTTTAAGTTTCTGCTCTGCTAGCTATACGTTGGAATCTGCTTGGGATCAACATTGAGCAGAATTCCATGACAGAGGGGCCACAAACAGAAACCGAACTCTCTCCCTGTGGTCTGTATAATGGTATGGGGTTGCTCGCGCGTACGTTGCCGCCTCTCCTGGCTATGTTGCCTTGTTAAACCTTTCTGTCTGGACAGTCCTTCAATTCGTGGCTGCCTCAGTCGCTAGCAGAATCCGTCAGTGGGCGTTTCTTAAACCTTTTCCAACATAAAAGTTGTTTGACACCCAGTCTCCTCCTACTTTCTCTGCGCGGAAGTCTTCTGCGCAGGGAGGGCGTGGGTAACGGAGGACCAGTGCTCTCCCCGCTGGTGTCCGGTGAAGAGTCTGGGAGCCCTCTCTCTGATTCCCCCATCTGCCCCTCCTCATTCCTGGTGTTGCACTGAATTGCTTCCCCATCTGCTGAGCTGCCTCTCTCCCTGCTGGGCCCTTCTCCAGCATCATTGGAGAGCCTTCCCTCCACCTCTAGCTCCGATGTCAGTTCCCTGACAGTCTGTTTAGGTTTTCCAGACCCCTTGCCACCCTGGACGCGATTCGATTTGGCCGGCGCCTTCCTGACCCTTTCAACAGGGAAACGCCAAGGAATTGGGACATGAGACGCTTCCTGCATTCAGGGCAGTTCCTCTGTGACCACCCCCCCCATGTGCCTGGAAAGCTTTCGCATGCGTCCCAGCACAGCAACTTGCCCTGACCCTGCGGCAGCCATGTCTGGGACCACGATCTCGACTTCACACTTGGGCTTGAGTTCCACCGTGAGTCGCGGGAGGTCCTGTTCTGCCCGGAGCTGTTCGCGAGACCTGCGGGTTTAGGAGGAAAGGAATATTATTATTGTTGTTGTTGTTGTTGTTGTTGTTATACTCATTTCTATACCACTTTATACTTTTAAGAAAAACCTCAAAGCAGTTTACAGCATTATCAATAAAATAATCCAAAAACAAAGTCAAAATATAAAACGTACAAAGTAAAGTAATTAACAGGAAACTAAAATACTATCTTAAAAGATTACAAAATAAAACAGTGCAAAGGTCAACTACAGAATACATATTTAACACAAACGATGCTAACAACCCCCCAACTTAAACCTTTCAAAAGAAATCATTACTAAGTGAAGTCAAATATAAAATGCACATATAGGTAAAGGTAAAGAGACCCCTGACCATTAGGTCCAGTCGTGGCCGACTCTGGGGTTGCGGCACTCATCTCGCTTTACTGGCCGAGGGAGCCGGCGTACAGCTTCCGGGTCATGTGGCCAGCAGGACTGAGCCACTTCTGGCGAACCAGAGCAGCGCACGGAAACGCCATTTACCTTCCCGCCGGAGCGGTACCTATTGATCTACTTGCACTTTGATGTGCTTTCGAACTGCTAGGTTGGCAGGAGCAGGGACCGAGCAACGGGAGCTCACCCCGTCATTGCGGGATTCGAACCGCCGACCTTCTGATCGGCAAGTCCTAGGCTCTGTGGGTTAAACCACAGCATCACCCACGTCCCTTAAAATACACATATAAAACAGCATAATTAATGAGAGAATGAAATATTATCATAAGCATGACACAACCGAGATGGTGACTGGCTCCAAGGTCACCCAGTGAATTCCCTGGCTGAGTGGGGATTCAAACCCTGGTGCCCCAGGTCACTGCTCCAATTTATTAGGCACGTATTAGGGCCCGGGGCACTGAAATCTACAGATGGCCGTGATGATCCACTCCTGAGAGACACAAACAGTTAGAGGAGAAGCATTTGACTCACCTCCCGTCATGTCCCGAGGACTGCGTACGCCGCCTGCGAAGGAACAAGCAGGGCGTGAAAAAGCTAAAACTTTCAGCGTTGAATTTTCTTTTGATCTATATACCTGTTGTACGGAATGACTCTATATACCTGTTGTACGGCAATGGACTCTACACGCCCTAATGGTGGCCAAGAGACCGATGTTGATGAATTGGAAGAATTAAAAATATTATCCGCTTTAATCGATGGACTGGGAATATGACAACACTCACAACTTGCGGACGGGCAGCTTATGGATGCAAACTTCGTTTGGATAAATTGGACAGCGCTTGGCATCAGTTTATACAGAACGAAGCAGGCGATTAACACCTATATAAAGCAATACCTTGGAAGCCTAACAGAAGCTGTTCTGGAAATCCCTTCGACTTCCAAAACATTTCGGAAGCCACGTCAGACATTTGGGTTACAAAAGAACGTTCGCAAACCGGAACACTCGCTTCCGGGGTTTGTGGCGTTCAGGAGCCAAAATGTTTGAGTGCCAAGACGTTCGGCTTCCAAGGCGCGACTGTATGCGTTAGGGTAATAACATTGTGTATATTTATATAAGAATGTACAGGAGTATATTACAATGCATTCTTGCATGTTGTTTCTTTCTACATATTTTTGTTCTTTCCTCATTTCTTTCCTTTCCTTTATTTCTTTAAATTCTTTCAGTAACATATTAATACTGAAACGGCGGCAAGCTTTGTTACACAACAGATGAAACATGTACAAACGGTTTTTCCAATTTCTTCTTCTTTCTTTATACTTCTGCTGCCTCCTTATTTTTATTCAGCGACCCCCCCAATTGCACCCAAGGCTCCTACCGCCCCCCTGGATCGCTCCTGCGCTCCTCAGAGGGCGATATCGCCCACTTTCAGAAATACGGCACTAGTTAATCATCAGGGTCCCTTCCAACTTTTTACTTCTATGAACACATACTTATTTACTTAAGATAATAATAGTAATTTATTTTTTATAGCCTGCCCATCTGACTGGGTTTCCCCAGCCACTCTGGGTGGCTCCCAACAGAATATAATAATTAAAAAGTGGGAAAAATCAAACATTACAACTACCCTAAACAGGGCTGCCTTCAGATGTCTTCTAAAAGTCAGGTACAGTGGTGCCCCCAAGACGAATGCCTCGCAAGACGGAAAACCCGCTAGACGAAAGGGTTTTCCGTTTTGGAGGTGCTTCGCAAAACGAATTTCCTATGTGCTTGCTTCGCGAGACGAAAATGTCTTGCGAGTTCCTGCGGGGGTTTTTTCCTCCCCCCCCTTTTTCCCAAGCCGCTAAACCGCTTATCAGCTGATGGCTAAGCCGCTTAACAGCTGATCGCTAAGCCGCTTATCAGCTGATCCGCTAAGCCCGCTAATACTGTAGCGCTAATCTGCTAAACCGCTAATGGGCTTGCTTCGCAAGACGAAAAAACCCGCAAGACGAAGAAACTCGCGGAACGGATTCTTTTCGTCTTGCGAGGCACCACTGTAGTTGTTTATTTCCTTGACATCTGATGGGAGGGCGTTCCACAGGCAGGGCGCCACCACCGAGAAGGCCCTCTGCCTTAAGAGACTTTCAACATCCCTCAAAGTATGCGCAAGTCCCCCTTTTCTGTATTCTGCCAAGACGCCACGAGCCCCGTTATCCCGCAAAGGCAATTACACCGACGAGACCCGCTAACGTCACCCTGTTTGCTGTCTCGGAAGTCCCACTCAAAGGACGGTGATCAAAAACCACCCGGAATCTGAAAAAGGCTTATCGAGAGAGGCGCCTGGCTGTTCTTACCTATACCTGGGCTGTTCTGAGGACTCGGAAGGAGACCTCTCCGGGACGGAGAGAGAGGTGGATGAGAGGGTAGTGGCGATGGAGGCGGTGGTGGCTTCTTCGAAGGACGGAGGGGTGCACGGGAGCAAGTCTGGCCGGCCTGTCGCAGTGGAGAAAAAGGAGAGGACGTTTTTAGCTGCTGCAGGTTGTTAAAGTTTGTGGGTCGTAAAAACTTTGACCCACTGCTGCAACGCCCTGCAATAAATTTGATTTATTGCCACTCCGACAAACTCCAGTGGCGCCCACACGCTTCCACTCACGTGCTGCCACTCTTCTCAGTTGCTGGATAATAGCAGAGTTTAGGTAAAGGTAAAGGGACCCCTGACCGTTAGGTCCAGTCGTGGCCGACTCTGGGGTTGCGGCGCTCATCTCGCTTTATTGGCCGAGGGAGCCGGCGTCCAGCTTCCGGGCCATGTGGCCAGCAGGACTAAGCCGCTTCTGGCAAACCAGAGCAGCGCACGGAAACGCCGTTTACCTTCCCGCTGGAGCGGTACCTATTTATCTACTTGCACTTTGAGGTGTTTTCGAACTGCTAGGTTGGCAGGAGCAGGGACCGAGGAACAGGAGCTCACCCCGTCATTGCGGGGATTCGAACTGCCGACCTTCTGATCGGCAAGTCCTAGGCTCTGTGGTTTAACCCACTGCGCCACCCATGTCCCTCATAGCCGAGTTTACATGCAGTGTAAAATGGCTTGCCTGTGTCAACGTGGTGTCTTCAATAACTCAGCTCAACACCAGTGCTTCTAATCTAACACTCTTTGTTTAGAACTGTAACAAACTGAAAACCTACAGAATCTAGCTGCATGCTTGCAGCTTTCTGCCTCTAACAAAAACGAAACTACCTTGCTCACATTCTCAAACAGACTGCTCTCCAGAGGCTCAGCCCCACGGAGCACAGATCAAAGGAAAATGCCTGGGTCATGTGGGCAGTGCACCCAATTACTAAGAACGCTTCTGGAGTGTTAACTCTTGGCTGTCCAGAACCACAACATAGGTTCGTTGGCGTGAGCGCAAATAAGCGTGCGGAAGGGGGCTGGCCCATAGCTGTCAACTGTCCCTTATTTGGTGGGAAAGTCCCTTATCCCAGCGCCGTGTCCCGCTGCTGTCCCTTATTGATGATGTCCCTTCAATTTCCCGGGTTTCAAAGGAAGCAGCTCCTCTCCCTCCCTCCCTGCCGGCCAGGGAGGAGGGAGGCTCCAACTGGGTTGCTTGGCTGCGTTGCTCACCCAGTAAGGAGTCTAAGAACGACTGGGGGGGTGGAGCTTGCATGCCTTGTGCCGATCAAATCGGCCGCGTTGCCTGGGAACTCGCCTTTGCTCAGCGCTTCCCAGCGGAGAGGTGACGGTGGTTTTCCTTGCTGCACCCCCTTTGCTGGGTTGCTGCGCTGTGGGAACCACCGCTTGAGGCTTCGTTTGGCTGCTGGCTGGGCTTTCTGCCTTTGGCTCGGGAACTGATTGACTAAAATCCCTTGTTTTGGCTGCTGATCCCTTATTTTTGTGGCTGCTGGTCCCTTATTTTCAAATCTGTAAGTTGACAGCTATGGGCTGGCCACACACACAAACACACACGTCTGCACAGCCACCCTCTAATGACACAAGGAAACCGAGTCCTACTCAGGGCGAAAGTGGCGGCACAGCTGTTCTCTCCCCTTTTCCGGAGAAGACGCCGGACGCGCCAGGGCCGGGAAGTTGTTCCGCAGCGAGTGGAGCACCCCCGTCGCTGCGGTGAGGTTCCCGGGCGAAGCTGGGGGTCGTGCGAGGGATCAAAAGCCCCGCCCGCGGAAGCCTGGTTCTGGTTCAGCCACAAATTCATTCATAAACACAACCATTCATAAACACAACCATTCATAAACACATCATTCATAAACACAACCACCATCTCCGGGCCCCAGAACAGAGAAGGGACAGCTCAACTCTTTCCAGGACAACTTTCTACTAGCTAATTGGAGAGGGTGTCGGAAAGCGAATTCTTACCTTCCTCCCTACTCTGGGTAACGTTAGCACCTGCAACGGCACAGTAAGAAAATTGGAGGAGAAGGGAGAGAAGAAAAATATTTGTGGGATGGTGCTGGTATTTTGAGATACGCTATTTGCCAGTAATGATACACTGGGCACAAGATATAGGGTATAATATACTACTTGGATCATGGCAAAAGCTGTGAAAAGAAAATTTAAAATTTACAGCCTGCAGCTCATTAAAAGAAAACTATATGAAAATGATGTATAGGGTTTGACACCTGTAAAGCTTGCTAATATGTATAAAAACTCATCTAATTTATGTTGGAAATGTAAGGAAAAAAGAAGGTACTTTTTCCACATGTGGTGGACATGTAAAAAGGTAAAGGGCTCCTGGGAAAGGATATATAATGCAATGAAAAAGATGTTCAAAAATACGTTTGTTAAAAAGCAAGAGGCTTTTTTACTAGGGATATTAGGAGATGAAGTCCCAAAGAAGCAAAAGTGATTATTTATGTATGCAACCACAGCTGCTAGAATGTTACTTGCCCAGAAGTGGAAAGAAGAGACTATATCGAGGAAAGAAGAATGGGGGACTAAGATGATCGATTATGCCAAAATGGCAAAACCAGCTGGGAAGACCAGGCACCGAGATGAAGGAAAATTTAATCAAGATTGGAAAAACTTTATAGATTTTAAAGAACACTGCAAGAACGTGGAAACATTAGCAGGATTGTTGTAGCATTTATGAACTGATGGTAGAATTACGACGTGAAAGATAATTGGAAATTAAATGGAAAAATAATTAGATGCAATGGAAATTATAAAGGAAAAATCAGAAACCGGGGACAGGGGGGAAGTCAATCAATGTAAATTTGGATTGGAGATATATATATATATATATATATATATATATATATATATATATGAAAAATATTGGCGGAGATAATTAAATAAAATTTGGAAATAAATAAATGAGATTTAGATTGTTAAGAAAAGTTAAGAAATCTGATTCTAAATGGTATACTGTTTTTTTTTTTAGATAATGATTTTGGAAACTGCTAGATTCAGATACAAGGAAATTCAGATGGGAGGGACTAGAGGAAGTCAAATAATATGTTTATGAGATTGGAAGTTTAAGTAATTAATTTGTGTTGATTAAGTGTGTGCTGTTATATTTTCTGTTTTGTTTTAGCAGTTCTATTGGGGTTTTTTTGTCTTTTTTGTTTTACAGTATGTGTGATATTTGTATAAATTTAATAAAAATTATTAGGAAAAAAGAAAGAAAAGAAAAATGTTGTTATTAGAAAAATTGAAAATAATATTTTTTAAAAAAAGAAGAGACACGCTGTTTGCACTATAGGGTGTGGGGGTGCCAGAGAGCAGGTCGACCGCTAAGGAATAGCTGCAGGTGAGGGGAGGAGGAAGGCCAACAGGCGATGTGCGTTACCTTCGTCGTCTAGGGTGGGGTAGCTCCTGGCCCCCCGGAGGTCGTACTGGGCTTCGTCCTTCTCCGAGGGGAGCTGGCTTGCCGAAAAGGCGGCCAGAGGGCCAGAGGGCTTGACGGCTAGCAAGGCACTCCGCCCTTTCTTCGAGGGAGAGACCCTCAGAGCTGCATTTGGGGGAGAGATGGAGAGCAACAGCAATGTCAGGTTGGCTCAGCATTTGGAAAGGAAAGAGGTGCAGAGATGGATCCCCTGGCCTGTGTCAAGAACGTTTCCCAGCCAAAGGAATGCACACAGCAGATAAAGGTAAAGGGACCCCTGACCATTAGGTCCAGTTGTGGCAGACTCTGGGGTTGCGGCGCTCCTCTCGCTTTACTGGCCAAGGGAGCCGGCGTACAGCTTCCGGGTCATGTGGCCAGCAGGACTAAGCCGCTTCTGGCAAACCAGAGCAGCGCACGGAAACGCCGTTTACCTTCCCGCCGGAGAGGTACCTATTTATCTACGTGCACTTGGACGTGCTTTCGAACTGCTAGGTTGGCAGGAGCAGGGACTGAGCAACGGGAGCTCACCCCATCGCGGGGACTCGAACCGCCAACCTTCTGATCGGCAAGCCCTAGGCTCTGTGGTTTAACCCACAGCGCCACCCGCGTCCCTAACACAGCAGATACTTATTGTCAAAAGGTAAGACTTGCAGCTCTGGAGACCTACGTGGTTCAACCTAGCGTCTAGGCCAGGCTTCCTCAACCTCGGCTCTCCAGATGTTTTGAGACTGCAATTCCCATCATCCCTGACCACTGGTCCTGCTAGCTAGGGATCATGGGAGTTGTAGGCCAAAAACATCTGGAGGGCTGAGGTTGAGGAAGCCTGGTCTAGGCAGATATTCCCAGGTCCTCGGCTTGTCCGCAGACAGCTTTCCAGGTCATGTGGCAAAGCAGGACTAAACCGTTTCCGGTGCAACGGGACACCGTGACGGAAACCAGAGCGCAAGGAAACGCCGTTGACCTTCCCCGCCGAAGCGATACCTATTGATCTACTCACACTGGTGTGCTTTCAAACTGCTAGGTTGGCAGGAGTGGCAGAGTTTCTACTGTGGGCTGCAATGTGGGTGGGGTGGGCGGGCAATGTGGGTGAAATACCTGGGGGACGTGGGGCCAAGGAACAACAGAAATGTAATAAATGCTAAGAAGAGCAATCTCCTAGCACGTTCCAAAGGGAACGTGGAGGAGATGCAAAGTCGGTTTCGGCTCGCAGTTTTCCTCCCCAGCAAAAGCAAACAAACAGACCACACACACACACACTTACAGGTACTCTTCCTGAACACCGTGTTGGTCATGAATTTGAAGAATCTCTCTGCATAGAAGCTGGGCCTGTGGACCGACACTGTGTCCTAGGGAAACAGGGAGGGAGATGGAGGAGTCATTATCCGCAATTCCCAGCTGGGCTTCCGAGGCAGAACGAAACCAGAGTCAAGTCGCTGCTGTGAGTCACCTTTGCAAAGCTATAAATTAAACGCTTTTTTGGGAGGGGTGGGGTGGGGTTTGTTTCCGGTGCCTGCCTAATTGCAGTCCTGATTAAAGCTTCCTGTTTTGATTTTGGCAGTCGGCCGTTTCATTATCATCTTTGAATGGTTATTTAGTTTCATCACTCATTTAGATGATTTCTGTATTTGCTTCACATTTCCAAAATAAAAAGAGAGAAATTCTAATCGGTTTACAACTTTCTCCCTTAAAAAAAAGAATCAAATGCAACGCTACAAAGAAATTAAAAGTAAAACAAATGAAACAAAATTTACATATTTACTGTCTTTTATTTACTTAGTCGTACCTTGGAAGTCAAATGGAATCCGTTCCGGAAGTCCGTTCGACTTCCAAAACATTCAGAAACCAAAGCGCAGCTTCCGATTGGCTGCAGGAACAGTCATTTTCAGGTTTGGGCCATTTGGGAGTCAAAAAATTTGAGAACTAAGCTGTTCAAAAAAACCAAGGTACGACTGTATCACCTTTATCTTCCAGGGATGTACATGGTGTGTACAAACATACACACACATATATACAACAATTAGGTAAAGGGACCCCTGACCATTAGGTCCAGTCGTGGCCGACTCTGGGGTTGCGGCGCTCATCTCGCTTTACTGGCCGAGGGAGCCGGCGTCCAGCTTCCGGGTCATGTGACCAGCAGGACTAAGCCGCTTCTGGCGAACCAGAGCAGCGCACGGAAACGCCGTTTACCCTCCCACCGGAGCGGTACCTATTTATCTACCTGCACTTGGACGTGCTTTCGACTGCTTTAAATGAAAGATTTCAAATTGAGAAAATGGGGGGAGATTGCCCAGAGTTGCTGAGCTTCTTTTCGGGGGGACGCAGATTGCCCAGACTTGTTGAGCTATTTTGGGAGGGGGATGCTGAAAATCGCTCACCCGCAGGACCGCCACAGCCAATCGCCCGCCCAATTGCTGCAGCAGCCAATAGCCAGCGGACCTTGCCGCACCCACCAATCACCCGCAGAAACGCCACTGACAATCTCCCACTCATGGCAACCAACAATCGCTCGTCCCGCCTCTCCACTATCCGTGTATAAGACGACCCCCAATTCTTAACATTCTTTTAAGAAGAGAAGAAGAAGAGTTTGGATTTGATATCCCGCTTTATCACTACCCGAAGGAGTCTCAAAGCGGCTAACATTCTCCTTTCCCTTCCTCCCCCACAACAAACACTCTGTGAGGTGAGTGGGGCTGAGAGACTTCAGAGAAGTGTGACTGGCCCAAGGTCACCCAGCAGCTGCATGTGGAGGAGCGGGAAATCAAACCCGGTTCACCAGATTACGAGTCTACCGCTCTTATCCACTACACCACACTGGCTCTCAAATAACATGGCTCTTTTAAAATAACATAACCTCTGCTTATACATGGAAAAATACGGTATGCTCTTCTGAGGCAGGGAGCAGTTTTTAAACTTTTAAAATAAAACACAGCTCGTCAGGTTAAATGCAAAAGCAGCTCTGCGAACCGAGCGGCCCGTTGGGCCGAAACTCACCCCGTCGTGGACAAGAGCCTTCCATGTGTGCTCCAGCTTCTTGATGAATCTGGGTTGCAAAAGGAAGAAAGAAGTGTGGGAAATTAAGGGGGGAGGAAGACACACGCAAGTCCTGCTTACCAAACACAATGCGTTCCCATGAAAGCGTTTGTTAGGGGAGTGTTTGCGCAAAAGCCAATTGTTTCTATTATCTCTAATGGGAACATTTCTAATCCATTATCTCTTCCCCCCGTCACCGCAGCTGGCCATGGTTTCTTCCCAAAAATGGCTGCTGCAGCCAATCGGCAAGAGAGAGGCAAAGGAAAAACCAATTTGCCTGACACCCCCCCAGCCCCTGGTAGTTGGTATGTCCGATCCATAGCTGTCAACTTACAGATTTGAAAATAAGGGACCAGCAGCCAAAATAAGGGACCAGCAGCCTCACCTGTTCCAGGCACTGCAGTCTTCCTGTCCTCCTGCAGTCTGGTCAAACTCATGCTGGTAGCTTCGAGAACACTGTCCAACCAACTTTGTAACCAGAGGTTCAACTGAATAGAATCTGAATCACATGCACCACAAGGCCTATGCAGCCTCAACTTAAGATGGCTCCCCGGCCTGGCTTTGCACTGCAACGTTTGCAGCAGCACGTGCAACAAAATGGCATCCAGCATTCAAAAAACCCTTCAGCTTGCATTAACTAGCCACACACAAGGCATGCAAGCTCCACCCCCCAGTCGTTAGACTTCTTATTGGGTGAGCAACACAGCCAAGGAACACAGTTGGAGCCTCCCTCTTCCCCGGCCGGCAGGGAGGGAGTGAGAGGAGCTGCTTCCTTTGAAATTTAAGGGACACCATTTAAGGGACATTTAAGGGACATCCATCAATAAGGGACAGCAGCAGGACATGGCGCTGGAATAAGGGACTGTCCCTTCAAATAAGGGACACTTGGCAGCTATGGTCCGATCTCTCTCAATGCCCCCCCCTCCGTGGCTTCTGTCCCAAAACTGCTGCTGTCAACCAGCAAAGCACAAACAAGTAACGAAGTGGGCAAACTCTGGCTGTCCGGATATCTGAATCAGCTGTGTGTGCAGTGAGGTTTGGACATAATTACTTATGTTTGGATAAGTGAATTTTTGGATAATGGGCAGGCGGATATGCAGAAACAAACACTGAGATGTTTTTACGAATGTAGAACCTCCCTAGGGAACCTTCGGGTTTCAAATCCGGGGCAGAAACTGTCCTGGTAACCATCAAAGGGCAAAAACTTTTCCACCTGGCCTTGCCTGGGACCCTGGTAAGGAGAAGCTGCCGTTTAAATCTATATTCTTGCTCTCCGTCGACATTTTTGTGGGGAATGCCCTTTGCGTTTTTGGCAGGAAAAGAAATCCATTGGGTTTTTAATACTTTGCAAGCGTTCGGATTTTGTTTCAAACTTTTGTCGTTTTTATTTACGTTGGTGTGAGCCGCCTTGGTGTGAGTCGGCGGAGTTCAGGGCTCAGAGCTGACCATCGGATACGATGGTGCCAAGTGACAGTTTTGGAGCCAAGCGTCATCATTGGAGGGGGGGTGCACAGGACCCCACAGTGGAGACAGTACTCAGGAGGGAGGCTGCATAGAATGGTAACACTGAAGAGTTGGAAGGAACCATTCTAGTCCAACGCCCTGAAACACAGGACCAACGTAGGGCTCGAAGCCACGACCCTGAGATCGAAAGCCCAACTTACTGTATTTTTTGCTCTGTAAGACTCTATAACCCCTCTTCCAAAGGGCAAAAATACCGTATTTTTTGCTCTATAAGACTCACTTTTCCCCTCCTAAAAAGTAAGGGGAAATGTGTGTGCGTCTTATGGAGCAAATGCAGGCTGCGCAGCTATCCCAGAAGCCAGAACAGCAAGAGGGATTGCTGCTTTCACTGCGCAGCGATCCCTCTTGCTGTTCTGGCTTCTGAGATTCAGAATATTTTTTTTCTTGTTTTCCTCCTCCAAAAACTACCGCATTTTTTGCCCTATAGGACACACTTTTTCCCCTCCAAAAATGAAGGGGAAATGTGTGTGCGTCCTATGGGGCGAATGCAGGCTTTCGCCGAAGCCTGGAGAGCGAGAGGGGTCGGTGCACACCGACTCCTCTCGCTCTCCAGGCTTCAGGAAGCTCTCCGCAAGCCGTGGGAGCCCGCGGGAAGTCGCGCCGGGCTCCCACGGCATGCGGAGAGCTGCCTGCATCCCGAAGCCTGGGGCAAGCCAGGGGAGACCGGCGCGACAGCAGCCTGTTCTGGGGGCTGTTCTCGGGCTTCCCCCACCCCAGTCCCACGCCTGGGGGGGGGTTTTCTTTATTTCCCCCCCCAAAAAAAACTAGGGGCGCCCTATGGGGCAAAAAATACGGTAGTTGCGTCTTGTGGCCTGGTGCGTCTTATAGAGCGAAAAATACGGTATTTTCATGGCCCACAAACGGAGGAGACATGGAGGGAACACCTACCTGTAGGACTGGAGGATATCAATGATTCCCACGTGGAGGAGAAGGCGCTCGCCTTTGCCATTCACGGCTGGAATGCCACCCATTCTGAGAGGGAGGAAAGAGAGACCAGACCTGTCAATATCCACTGGCTGCAACCAGAAACACGCTCAATGCTTCGTTCGTGTATAATGAAGATCATCAGGGGGTTTGGGCTGGGGGTTCTCTAATAGGTGGATGATACCCAGCTCTACCTCTCCTTTAAATCAGAACCAGCAAAGACAGTAGATGTCTTGTGTGAGTGTCTGGAGGCGGTTGGAGGATGGATGGCGGCTAACAGATTGAGGTTGAATCCTGACAACACAGAAGGACTGTTTTGGGGGGACAGGAGGCAGGCAGGTGTGGGGGATTCCCTGGTCCTGAATGGGGTCACTGTGCCCCTGAAGGATCAGGTGTGCAGCCTGGGAGTCATTCTGGACCCACAACTGTCCATGGAGGCGCAGGTCAGTTCTGTGTCCAGGGCAGCTCCATCTGGTACTCAGGATGAGACCATCCCTGCCCGCAGACTGTCTCGCCAGAGTGGTGCATGCTCTGATTATCTCCCACTTGGACTACTGCCATGCGCTCTAGGTGGGGCTCCCTTTGAAGGTGACCTGGAAACTGCAACTAATCCAGAATGCGGCAGCTAGACTGGTGACGGGGGGCGGCCGCCGAGACCACATAACACCGGTCTTTAAAGACCTACATTGGCTCCCAGTACATTTCCAAGCACAAGCCGAAGTGTTGGTGGGCAGCTCTTTCAGCTTCTCTGACAGCCACTGCAGGGAAGAGGGGCAAAGGCAGACCCCCCCAACCTGCTCCACTTACGTGTCGTCCGTATCGATAGACTCCCCGCGGGCGGCCCCGCCCTGGATGGACTCCATCGCGGTGGAGTACAGGGCCTTCTGCCCCATTGGCCGCTTCTCGTCGGAGGTGCTCTGGGCCCCGTCCGCCTGCCGCTCCCGCTCTTGCTGGTCCATGTTGTGCACCCCCAGGAGCAAGCTGTAGTCCATGATCTTGAAGCTTTCAAGCACCTGGGGAGGAGAGGGTGGCTTGACCAATAGCCCTGGGTTGGCTTCACAAGTTAAGCCTACAAGACCGGGAACTGGCGGGACGCTGAGTAGGGGCTGGATTGCGATGAGTTGGCACCAGGAGACTGACGCATAGCTGTCAACTTACAGATTTGAAAATAAGGGACCAGCAGCCTCGAAAATAAGGGACCAGCAGCCACAATAAGGGATTTTCCAAGCACAGGTATGTTCAACTTCTGAGCCCCTCCGAGCCAAAGGCAGAAAGCCCAGCCAGCAGCCAAACGAAGCCTCAAGCGGTGGTTCCCACAGCGCAGCAACCCAGCAAAGGGGACGCAGCAAGGAAAACCACCGTCACCTCTCCGCTGGGAAGCGCTGAGCAAAGGCGAGTCCCCAGGCAATGCGGCCGATTTGATCGGCACAAGGCATGCAAGCTCCACCCCCCCAGTCGTTCTTAGACTCCTTATTGGGTGAGCAACGCAGCCAAGCAACACAGTTGGAGCCTCCCTCCTCCCTGGCCGGCAGGGAGAGAGGGAGAGGAGCTGCTTCCTTTGAAACCAGGGAAATTTAAGGGACATCATCAATCCAGGACAGAAGTGGGACACAGCGCTGGGATAAGGGACTTTCCCGTTGAACAAGGGACAGTTGACAGCTATGGACTGACGTGGAAGAAGGGACCAGCGGTCTGGGGGACCCTGCAGCAGCCGGGAGACGAGAGGCAGAGGCAGGAGAAGCTGCAAGATTGCAGAGGGAAGAACAGTCGCCCCCAACCCCTCCAGCTCCACAGTCTCCCAGGGCCAGGCGAGGATTGAAGTGGGAGGAGGCAGAAGGAGACACCACGCAGAGAGGAGTCTTCGCCTGCTTGCGCACTGCTCATAAGCCAAGGTGAGGGCCTCTCTGTTGAGGCCTACCTGGACTCCTGAGATAATCTGAGGCTCTTTTTTGCATGCCTCTTCCAGGAGAAGTCTGGAAGGTTGCGATGGGTCTTTTCTGTGGGGGCGCCCCGTCTGTGGAATGCTCTCCCCAAGTAGAATCGCCTGGCAGGTTCATTATACGCCTTCCTTTTCAACCAGGCCTTGGGGTGATTAACAACTTATACCTCTTTTAATTGTGTTTGCAGGATGGGATGAAGGGTTCATTGGTTCGGGGGGGGGGGGAGGGTTGCACTTGTTTTTATTGTGTACAGCAGGCATGGCCAAACTTGGCCCTCCAGATGTTTTGGGACTACAATTCCCATCATCCCTGACCACTGGCCCTGTTAGCTAGGGATGATGGGAGTTGTAGTCCCAAAACATACGGAGGGCCGAGTTTGGCCATGCCTGGTGTACGGTCACACCTTGGTTGTCAAACACCTTGGTACTGTACTCGGATGTTTTGGCTCACGAATGCTGCAAACCCGGAAGTGAGTGCTCCGGTTTGCAAACGCTTTTGGGAAGCCGAACATCCTACGCGGCTTCCGACTGAGTAAAGGAAGCTACTGAAGCTGCGTCTTCGTTTTCAAACCATTCCAGGAGCCGAACAGACTCCCGGAACGGATTAAGTTTGACATCCAAGGTACCACAGAATATGTTGTGTTTTCTCGTTGCGAGCTAGCCTGAGATCTATGGATTAATAAAATGAATAATATTTCCATTTCTCTCTGCGCTTTTTTACTGCAAACCCAAGGAAGAGAGGGCTGGAAATACCGCAAAATGAAACAAATAAGGCCCCCCCACCCACATTGCCAGTGCGGCAAATGCCCTTGAAAAGGGTACAGAGCAAAGCCAGAAAAGGGCATGATAGGTCCTGAGGGCCATCATCGGCTCCTGGTCTGAGGTTCTACTAGCCTGATCTGACTGGCTTCCGTGCAAGGTAAAGCTAAAGGACCCCTGGACGGTTAAGTCCGGTCAAAGGTGACTATGGGGTTGCGGCACTCATCTCTGTGTGGCTTCCAACATATATAAAATTATATATAAAGGTAAGGTAAAGCACCCCTGGACGGTTAAGTCCAGCCAAAGGCAACTGTGGGGTTGCAGTGCTCATCTCGCTTTCAGCCGAAGAAGCCGGCGTTTGTCCGCAGACAGCTTTCCGGGTAATGTGGCCAGCAGGACTAAACCGCTTCTGGCGCATGACAGAAACAAGAGCACATGGAAACGCTGTCTACCTTCCTGCCACAGTGGTGCCTATTTATCTGCTTGTGCTGGTGTGCTTTCAAACTGCTAGGGTAGAAGGAGCTGGGACAGAGCAACAGGAGCTCACTCTATCGCAGGGATTCGAACCGCCGACCTTCCGATCAGCAAGCCCAAGAGGCTCCGTGGTTTAGACCACAGCGCCACTTGCGTCCCCTGCACAACCTACCAAGCAGTCCCTCTGCAGTGTCTTGACCACAGCGCTGAAGGTGTCCGTGTCCAGCATGATCCCGTCGGGCATGTCCTGCATGAAGTCCAGGTCCTTGTAGGTGGGGCTGGACTTCTCCTTCTCCTTCTTGGAGGCCCGGCGCTTGTACGTCGAGCCCTTCAGGTCGTACTTCAGGTGCATCTTCACCACACGGGGCAAGATGTTGTTCATCACCACCACCCGGATGTTCTTGCCCCCGGACTGGACGCAGTAGAGGCCGTAGAATTTGGGCAGCAGCGTCCGGGGATTCTGGTTCAAGTTCTAAAAGGTAAAGGGACCCCTGACCATTAGGTCCAGTCGTGGCCGACTCTGGGGTTGCGGCGCTCATCTCGCTTTCCTGGCCAAGGGAGCTGGCGTACAGCTTCCGGGTCATGTGGCCAGCATGACGAAGCTGCTTCTGGCAAACCAGAGCAGCGCATGGAAACGCCGTTTACCTTCCCGCCGGAGCGGTACCTATTGATCTACTTGCACTTTGACGTGCTTTCGAACTGCTAGGTTGGCAGGAGCAGGGACCGAGCAACGGGAGCTCACCCTGTCATTGCGGGGATTCGAACCGCCGACCTTCTGATCGGCAAGCCCTAGGCTCTGTGGTTTAACCCACAGCGCCACCCGCGTCCCTTCTCAAGTTCTAGAGGAGGTTTTTAAAATAATAACAACAGTAATTCAAAAATGAGAAGGACACAGCATGTCACGCTTTGGGGAATCGGCCTTCCACCCCCGTGGCCGCAAATGAGCAGATCAAACAGAAGAGAATTCTCACCAGTTAGTTTCTTTAAGAAACACAGCGAAGGACAAAAGAAAGCATCTAACCAGAATGGCGGTGCTCCCAATTAAGGCTCACTCGCTCCCCCTCCGTCCCTATTAATCTACGTTACTCTTATGTCTTGTAATCTGAGCTTGGAGCCTCTGTGTTTTCTGTTCTGACACTTTCTGAGCTCTTCGGGACTTTGCGGGCGGTGGGGTGGATACTCTCCAGAGACTGTGAATCTCTTAACCCTCTCTCTCTGCTAGTGCTTCTTCTGCTAGCTGTTCCCCGTCCAGTATTTCCCAGCTTCTGCCTTCTGAACTATGCCCCTCTGCAAACCACTCTTCCAAATCTATACTGCTGTCCTGCTCCTGGGAAGATTCAGGATCAGGAGTAGGGGGGTGGCTCCCACCATTCTTCCTCAGTGCAGCCTTCCTCAGCACGGTCCCTGACACAGCAGTAAAGGTTTTGACCTTTAAAGCCCTTCACGGCCTAGGACCCTCGTACCTACGGGACCGCCTCTCCCGGTATGCCCACGGAGAGCTTCAAGGTCCATAAATAGCAACACCCTAGTGGTCCCGGGCCCTAAGGAAGTTAGATTAGCTTCAACCAGAGCCAGGGCCTTTTCAACACTGGCCCCGGCCTGGTGGAACGCTCTGCCTCATGAGACCAGGGCTCTGCAGGATCTGATCTCTTTCCGCAGGGCCTGTAAGACAGAGTTGTTCCGCCTGGCCTTTGGCTTGGAGCCCATTTGATTCCCTCCCCCTCTTTCTTTTTCCTTTCTCCTGTGATGAGGCTGCATGTTAATATTTTAACGTTTCAATATTTTAATGTTGTATTTTAATCTTGTTTTTAAGTTGTATTCATTCAACTTGTTTTTATTATTGCTTGTTAGCCGCCCTGAGCCCGGCCTTGGCTGGGGAGGGCAGGGTATAAATAAAAATTACTATTATTATTATAGTACAGAAACTGTCCTGAGCCTTCTCAGGGGGTCGGGGCAAGACTTTGCATGCAGAGGGACCAGAGTTTAATCCCTGCTGGGAGGAGAGAACCTGCCTGAAACCCTGGAGGGCTGTTTGCTGCCAGTCATAGAACACTAAGAGTTGGAAGGGAGCAGAGAGGGGCACAGAGTTCGAATCCCTCCAATGGAGGGATCTTTTTGCCCAGCGTGGGGATTATTATAAAAAGGTAAAGGGACCCCTTACCATTAGGTCCAGTCGTGGCTGACTCTGGGGTTGTAGCGCTCATCTCGCTTTATTGGCCGAGGGAGCCGGCGTACAGCTTCCGGGTCATGTGGCCAGCAGGACTAAGCCGCTTCTGGCGAACCAGAGCAGTGCACGGAAACGTCGTTTACCCTCCCGCCGGAGCGGTACCTATTTATCTACTTGCACTTTGAGGTGCTTTCGAACTGCTAGGTTGGCAGGAGCAGGGACCGAGCAACGGGAGCTCACCCCGTCCTGGGGATTCGAACCGCCGACCTTCTGATCAGCAAGTCCTAGGCTCTGTGGTTTAACCCAAAGTGCCACCTGCATCCCGGGGATTATTATAATTATTATTAAAATCATTGATTTTTATCCACCCTGGCGAGTCTCTACATCTCTGCGGATTCCCGCTGCAACAAAGGACCCCGAGAGCGTCTTCCGCTGCGACGTACCATGTAGTAGCCAGGAAGCAGCTTCTGGAGGAATTCCGCCTCCTTGTGCATGACGGTCTTGATGATGAACTCGTCGTCGCTGGTGACGTAGAAGAGGGAGCCGCTGGCCCCGGGGTTGGACAGCTCGATCAGGGGCTCGTTGCACAGGGAATACTGGGCGGGAAGGAAAGCGAGAGAAGGCAAAAGGCGTTCAAGGATGCGGCAGGCGTTAATGGCAACTAAGAGGCGGGCAAAATCGAGGGGCCTCTGAGACCCACCGCGAAGATGCCCAAGCCTGGGGTACCGTATTTTTCGCTCTATAAGACGCACCAGACCACAAGACGCACCTAGTTTTTGGAGGAGGAAAACAAGAAAAAAAATATTCTGAGTCTCAGAAGCCAGAACAGCAAGAGGGATCGCTGTGCAGTGAAAGCAGCAATCCCTCTTGCTGTTCTGGCTTCTGGGATAGCTGTGCAGCCTGCATTCGCTCCATAAGACGCACACACATTTCCCCTTACTTTTTAGGAGGGGGAAAGTGAGTCTTATAGAGCAAAAAATACGGTATTTTTGCCCTTTGGAAGAGGGGAAAGGAGCAGTCCTCACCAAGTAGTCATCCGGGCGGATGCCGAACAGCTCTCGGAAGTAGCGGAAAGCGACGGGCGCGTACGTCTTGAACCTGAAGTCGGGGTAGTGGTGCGCTGGGGTGAGGTTGCTGCCTTCGCTGTGGCACGAGAGGAAGAAGAAGACACAGAGAACAGCTCAAACCCTCTCTTCTCCACCCACAGAGCTCTTGTTACAGTGCAGCAGAGCTGGCTAGTGTTTGTCTCCATCTTTCCTCTAGGAGGCTCGAGGTGGCAGAAACAGACCTGCCCTTAAAACAGGTCTGTCCTTGAAACCTAATGACCCCCCAGAGGAAGCCCTCTAACCCTTTCTGCCCAGCCCTCAATATCAGTGTTAGAAACTCAGATTTATAAGCTAATGGCCAAATGGCTCCTGAAACCTGGGTTAAAGTTACCATAAAGGTAAGCTTTTAATGTTTAATAGGTTATTGTACAGTGGTGCCTCGCAAGACGAAAAGAATCCGTTCCACGAGTCTCTTCGTCTTGCGGGTTGTTTCGTCTTGCGAAGCAAGCCCATTAGCGGTTTAGCAGATTAGCGCTACAGTATTAGCGGCTTAGCGGGCTTAGCGGATCAGCTGATAAGCGGCTTAGCGATCAGCTGTTAAGCGGCTTAAAGATCAGCTGATAAGCGGCGGAGCGATCAGCTGTTCCGCGGCTTAGCCCTCAGCTGATAAGCGGCTCCGCGGCTTGGGACACCGGGGGGGGGCACGGACAAAACCCCGCAGGAACTCGCAAGACATTTTCGTCTTGCGAAGCAAGCACATAGGAAATTCGTTTTGCGAAGCACCTCCAAAACGGAAAACCCTTTCGTCTAGCGGGTTTTCCGTCTTGCGAGGCATTCGTCTTGCGGGGCACCACTGTATTTCAGTGTTTTGTTGGAAGCCGCCCAGAGTGGCTGGGGAAACCCAGCCAGATGGGCGGGGTAGAAATAATAAATTATTATTATTATTACTGCATGCGGGGTGGGAATGGGGAACGTAGCTTGCTGCCCCCGCCTCGGCCACTACTGACACACAGCCCCCAGGAAGCTGACTAGGAGAGAATAAGGTCCATGGCTTGCTCTCACAGCTACACCCCTCTAGCCATCCCTCCCGTCATGTTTGTGGCCAAGAGCTGCTGTTCAAATTGGGCTCCACCCTGCCGCCTCCAGCAGCCAACTTACCTGGGGAAGAAAATGCTCTCCACCACGTAGAAATCTTGCATTAAGACATCCCGCTCGGGTTTGGAGCTCAGGTTGCCCACCGTGTAGCCGATCCCAAGTTGAATGGCTCCCTTGAGCGTGGTGGACGTGGTCTGAGGACAGACAGGGACAGAGTGAAGGAATGGGTTCCCCAAACCCAAAATTGACTGTGCAGGCAGTTTGAAACGGCATGAAAATCCCTATTTTTCCTTAGCTAAAATCCATTAACTTGAGCTCTGAGTCAATGTATAAACAGAAACCCGGCTGTGCTCAGAGCCCTCTCCTTTATCAGTTTGTGACGGCAAGGATGGCCTTCACTGTACCAGTAGAACAGAGAAGACACGTCCGTGCCTTATCTTATGTCCTGACCACAAAAGACGCACAGACCGAAGTCCGGAACAAGGCCAAAAGTGTGTTCTCGGAGATGACACCTCTTCCTCCAAGATAAGAGTAGGAAGAGGAAGATCCTTTTACGGTCAGACGTACAGGAAGGAATTCCCTTTTATGGTTAAGAATACTGGAGCAAGAACATATGTGATGTCAACCTGCATACATAGGCTGACGGGGATGGATTTATATGGGAAGGAGGGAGAGGGTGCCTGGAGGATATATATACTGCATGAAACTTGTCATCTCTTTGGACTTGCTGTGGACTTGATCACGCAAGCGCCTTCTGCTATCCGGAGAGCAGAATAAACTCTTTCTTGGAATCAACCTCGGTGTCATTTGACTTCCTTCCTCCTGTCCCGGAGCAACGCAGACCCAATCGGTGAACTCCAATAAGGCTACAAGAGCAGGTGGGGTTATGGCATGATCTCCCCAAGCGGGGGGTGGGGGCATCTGTTTCTGGCTCACCCCTCCATCTATCTGCCAGGAGAACCCACCGCCGTACCCGGCGCTCTGCTAACATGCTGTACGTGGGGCTGCGCTTGGGAGACGGCTGAAACTTCAGCTGGTCCAAAATGTAGCTGCTAAATTACTGGCTGGGGTGAGATCTCGTTTCAAAACAAAGCTGAACTGGCTGACAGTTCATTTTTGGGCCCGGTTCAAGGTGCTCGTGCTCAGGTCCCAAATACCTGAAAGATCGCCTCCTTCTCTACAGGCCCCTCAGGTGCTGAGATCGAAAAGAGGGGGGCGTTCTGGTAATTCCTTGGCCCTCAAGAGGCTCAGGGTGTGAGTATGTGGTGGCCCGAGAGCGGGGCCTTCTCCGTGGCGGCCCCTAAGTTGTGGAACCGCCTTCTCGCAGAGCTGTCTCTGGCACCTTCATTATACTGCTTCTGGAGATTGCTGAAGACACCTCTTGAGGTGAATACAGTGGTACCTCGGGTTACATACGCTTCAGGTTCAGACTCCGCTAACCCAGAAATAGTGCTTCAGGTTAAGAACTTTGCTTCAGGATAAGAACAGAAATCGTGCTCCGGCGGCGCGGCAGCAGCAGGAGGCCCCATTGGCTAAAGTGGTGCTTCAGGTTAAGAACAGTTTCAGGTTAAGTACGGACCTCCGGCACAAATTAAGTACTTAACCCGAGGTACCACTGTATATATTTTAGGACCCACCTTATTTTCACAATTGTTGTTTTAAACCAGCGTTTGTCAGACTTGGGTCCCCGGCTGGACTACAACTCCCACCATCCCCAACCACCCGCTAGGGATGATGGGAGTTGTAGTCCAACAACAAGCTGGGGACCCCAAGTTTGGGAAATGCAGCTTTAAATACCGTGTTTTAACACTGTAACCCACCCTGGTGACCTTAGGAGAAGGGCAGGAGACATATAAAGAAACAGTAAGGATACCTTCTTGTAGGTCGTCTCGCCGGATGCATCGACCCCGCGGTGGCCAATCTTCTTGCCCTGTCCGGCCCCCGGCTGCCCCGTCAACGAAGGTGCCTGAGGCAGGAGGGATTTCGAGGTCAGCCAAAACATCGCCAAGGTGGGGGGGAAGCTGCCCCAGGGCGTGTAGGAAGAGCAGGCAGCTCCCGGGACGCCAACCAAACTCCTCAGCAGCGGAGATAGCTCAGTTGATAGAGCAAGAGGATCTCAGAGTTGTGGGCTCAAGCCTCACCTTGGGCAAAAGATTCCTGCACTGCAGGGGGCTGGACTAGATGAGCCCTGGGGGGGGCCCTTCCCAACTCTACAAGCCTGTACTTCTATGTTTCCTCCAGAAATGGGAGAACTAGACCATCCCCTTCTGGGTTTTCTCTTAACTGTTCTTTCCAAGCTTTCACATCGTATCTACGGGACTGTCTCTCCTGGTCTGCCCCGCAGAGGACCTTAAGGTCCATGAATAATCATAGTTTAGAGGTCCCAGGCGCTAAGGAAGTTAGATTATCCTCCACCAGGGCCAGGGCCTTCTCAGTGATGGCTCCAACCTGGTGGAATGCTCTGTCCCATGAGACTAGGGCCCTGCAGGATTTAACTTCCTTCCGCAGGGCCTGTAAAACAGAACTATTCTGCCTGGCTTTCAATCTGAACTTAGCCTGATCTTTTATTCCCCTTCCTTCCTTCCTTCCCTCCCCCTCCCCTTTTTATGAAGATTACCCGCTCTGGGATCCCACAGCTAATTCTCCCCTGGTCTCCTCGCTGGCCCAAATAGGACTAATTTAGCCAGCTAGCCCTGGTGATCATCTAATGTTTATTGGATGGATTTCCCCCCTATAATTGATTTTTTATTTTATTGTTATTCACATTTTATACCATATTTTAAGCTGGGGTTTTCCAGCATCAATTAAGTGTTTTAAACTTTGTTGTCAGCTGCCCTGAGCCCGGTTTTCTGAACTGGGAAGGGCGGGGTATAAATAAAAATGTATTATTATCCTTGCTTTCTTTGCCCCCAGGGCCCTCAAAGCAGTGAAGGATCATTGAAAAACCATCCTATTATCAGCACCGTTAAGGACTACAAGATCCCGAAGGTTCAGTAAAAACCAACAGGGGCCGCTGAAGCAATCGAAGGATTCAAATCTCCTTCCAGTGACCTTGTGAACCTTTCCTAAAGAAATCGAGGGTTTGTTGTTGTCCGATTCTATCTCGTGTTTTTATCTTGCGAGCCGCCCTGAGATATTTTGATGAAGGGCAGTATATAATTCTAATAAGTAGTAATTTTTTAAAACAACGCCTTCTTCTGCAGATCCGGGAGCGAAGCCTCTGGGACTGTTAGCCACTTAGCTGAGCTCAGGCCACAAATCACTCTCCCAAAAACTATATGGAGAGAACAAGAAGCCACCCTCCAGTACCCTGATTCTTTCTTGGAACCACCTGCTGTGGTTCGGATGATGATGGGACACCGAGTGGGACCCCTGTTGCTTATCCTGAGTCTCAGGAAAAGGTCAGGACAGAAGGAAAGCACTTGAACTCACCTCTGTTAGGACAGCCTTGCTCACCGCCGGCCCTGAGGAGAGAAGGAGAGAGTCAAGATAAGCAGGAATGTCTCAGAACCTCAACAGGTACCTGCTGCAGAGCTCAGCGTGGTGGGGAGAGGGACCCACCTAACCCTGGCAGAAGGCCTTCAACCCCATTGCCAAAAATACCACCCCCCTTCCTCCAAATCAAACCGATTGACGTTTCCCTTCCGCTCTCCTTGACTTGCTGTGATGCTGAACACACAGAGGAACAAGTCCCTATTCAATGCAGTGGGATTGACGTCCAAGCAAACGCAAAAAGAATGCCTTATATGCATTGCTCAGGAGGCTAGTCCACATCGAGGCAATCCGAGGCAGCTTATATACCAGGTGGGGACCTCACAGTGCCAAATTGGGGCAGGAAACGTCACGGTCCGGTCTACGGGCGATTGAAGTCCTGGCTGAGGACGTCGGGACCGGGGGCAAGATGGTGGGGTGGGAGCAGGAACTGGAGTCCAGAAGCCAGGAGTCAGGAAGCCAAGAGTCCGAGGGTCAGAGAGCCGGGAGTCAAGAAGCCAAGGGTCCGAGGGTCAGGAAGCAAGGAGTCACAAAGTCAAGGGTCCAAGGAACAAGAAGCAAGGAGTCACGAAGCCAGGGGTCCGAGGATCAAGAAGCAAGGAGTCACGAAGCCAGGGGTCCGAGGATCAAGGAGTCACGAAGGCAGGGGTCCGAGGGTCGAGAAGCAAGGAGTCAAGGAACTGAGATCCGAGGATCAGGAAGCAAGAAGCCAAATGCAGCAAGGCAGGAGATGAGTTGCTGTGGCAAAGAACCGAAGGGAAATGCTGACCTTACATCCCTTCCCGGCTCTTGCCACCAGGTGCTGTGAGTTACCAATTGGCCTCACCTGTCCGGCCGTGCCTTGCCTCTTCAGAATAAACTTAGGAAGGCCCCAGTCCTGCGAAGTCCTACTGGTCACAAAGCCTGGCTCCTGCATGCACTCCTGACAGAAAATCCCTCCAGAGAAGTAATGGCTATGTTCTTTCGGAGGAAGTCTGCCTCTGAATATCAAATGTTGGGAATCACGGGGGGCGGAGTAGAGAGTTGCTGTGGCTCTCAGCTCCTGCCCGTGGGCTTTCCACAGGGGCCATCCTGTAGGGACAGGGTTCTGGGCTAGATAGGACCCCCTTTGGCCTCATTCAGCTGCTGCAGGGCTCTTCCGGTGTTCTTAAAACTGGTCCGTCAAGGACAAAGGTTCCAGCTTAAACCCACGATCCCCACCTCAGTACAGTATGGTGAAATGTGTGGCCGTGTGAGACACAAACCATCCAAAGCGCTGAGACCCCATCCACGTCTAGTCCCTCGGAGCAGATTTGGCAGACTACTCAATGGCTGGATTCATCTAATGAATAAGCCCTGCGAAAAGATTTCGGCTCACACAGTGGGTCTTTCCACTGCACCCTTCGCCCTCCAAAACTGATTTGCTGGGAGGAAGGTTTGTTCTGTCCGGCAAACCGAATTGCAGGTGCAAATGCGATGCTGAAGAGCAAATTATTATTCTTTAACCTCCCTCCCCTCCACCAACTTTTAACAGTCTGGGAGGTAGCCTAGACATGCACTCAAGTCAATGAAAAGCTTATTCAACCATCCCATGGACTTTCAAAGTCCTGAAGTCTATCTTCATCACAGGGACTGGGAACTTGATTTTTAGGGGTATTTTTTTTGTTTGTTTTTATAGCAGAGTAGGAACAGGTGCCCTGCTTGGCATATTTCATAGCTTCTCTGAGTTATTCAAGCCCCTTCGCCACGGCAAGGCAGTGATCCATGAAGGATGGATGCTTCTGAATTCCGGTGCTGGAGGAGACTCTTGAGAGTCCCAGGGACTGCAAGAAGATCAAACCTCTCCATTCTGAAGGAAACCAGCCCTGAGTGCTCACTGGAAGGACAGATCCTGAAGCTGAGGCTCCAAGACTTTGGCCACCTCATGAGAAGAGAAGGCTCCCTGGAAAAGACCCTGATGTTGGGAAAGATGGAGGGCGCAAGGAGAAGGGGACGACGGAAGACGAGATGGTGGGACAGTGTTCTCGAAGCTACGAACGTGAGTCTGACCAAGCTGTGGGAGGCAGTGGAAGACAGGAGGGCCTGGCGTGCTCTGGTCCAGGGGGTCACGAAGAGGCGGACACAACTAAAAGACTAAACAGCAAAGGGACAGGTATCCTGGGAGCTGGATTTGGCACATTCTGTGTTGTTTTTTTCTGGCCTCAAACCAAAGCCCAGCTACACAACCCCCAAAACTACCCATTATGATGCGGGTGGGGATGTAAACCGAAGCCTTTTAACACATACAAACAACCACACTGCAGAGAGCACTGCTTCTAGGGAAACTGGGCTGGCTAATCCCTTCTCTGCCAACTGTAAAAATTCCAGCACTGGAGATTAGCTTCAGTTTTGCAATAATGACCACAATCGGCTTTGCCTTGCCGCATTTAAGTACCTAATAAAAAGTCCCCAGGGATGAACGGAGTCCAGGTGGGGGGGGGGTAGAGAAAACCCATAGATAAGCATAATTAAAAAATATATAAAGATGGGAGGCGGGACTGGGAGGACGAGACCAAACGAAGGAACCTCACACACGAACACGCCGGGCTATTGTGTCTCAAATGCGCAACGGCAAAAATCCGATTTGTGACACAGGCCGAAAGGAACGCCTCTCGCTGGCGGCTTGCCAGGGGTATTAAGGGGGCACTTATCTCTTAAGCCAGCTGACAGATGGCCTGTTGCAAAAATAAATAAATAAATGCCAGTAACAACAACTCATTTAACTCCGGTGGCGTGAGGGTGAAGCTGTGGAGCCAGGGAAGCCAGGGCATTGCAACCTAGCCTTGCTTATCGAGTGCTGCTCACGTCTCCCAAGACTGCACCAAGAAGCACCTTGCCTGTCACTATCCGGGCATCCTCCAGATGTTAGGGGCCACAATTCCCTGCATCCCAAGTGCGCACAAAGCTGGAAGGCTAGTGGTTGCCAAAGGGTGGCTTGTATGAACCTGCCTCCCCCCTTCCATGATGATTATTATGACGTTTAAATGCTACATTTCCTCCAAGCGTGGGATAAAAGGTACTCAGCCCACCTTCTCTAACCTGAAACCATCATTATCTATAGCGCTTCTACTGCCGAGCGGTGGAGCTACTGGTAAAGGGACCCCTGACCATTAGGTCCAGTCGTGGCCGACTCTGGGGTTGCGGCGCTCATCTCGCTTTATTGGCCGAGGGAGCCGGCGTACAGCTTCTGGGTCATGTGGCCAGCAGGACTAAGCCGCTTCTGGTGAACCAGAGCAGCGCACGGAAACGCCGTTTACCTTCCTGCCGGAGCAGTACCTATTTATCTACTTGCACTGGTGTGCTTTCAAACTGCTAGGTTGGCAGGTGCTGGGACAGAGCAACGGAGACTAACTTAGTTGAGTACTAACTGGGGGAGGAAGAAGAGAAAAGGCCTCGCATCTTCTCCCTGATGTTAAGTCGGAATCTCCTTACTTGTAACTTGAAGCCACTGGCTCCAAGTCCTAGCCTCTGAAGCAGGAGAAAATAAGCTTGCTCCATCTTCCATGCGACAGCCCTTTAGATATTTCAAGATAGCTATCATAGCTCTTTAACGGACATCTCTCTGGCCACTGTGAGATCAGGATGCTGGCCTCGAGATGGGCCCGTTTTGCCTCATCTGCTTATTTATTTATTTTGTTTAACCTTGTCTGGGAACCGACAAGGGAGAGTATCAAAATGCCACACACCCCAATGCAAAAATCACGTAAGTAAAAGCGACGCACTTCAGTGCCTGGCGACGGGGCCAAACTCTGGTCAGAGGTAAGAACTCACACCACGAGAACTCTGCTAAGAAGTCACGCTGCGAAGGCATTTATGTGTCATCCGGAAAGGGAAGAAAACAGGAGCAAGGAAACGCAGGCAGCTGCAGTCCACACACACACACACACACACACACACACACACACACACCCCAAGCGGAAGGCTGAATGTCTGGTCTAATCAGCTCAACACCCAACCCAAAATGCAGAAAGGAGACATTAATAAGGACCCACAAGCGCTCTGGCAGCTCAAGTCTAGACAACTTAAAGGCATGGAGAACCTAGCGAGCCATGCCTTCGAAACGTGTCCTGAAACGACCGCCTAGGCATCCTATGGAGAACCAGAGAGAGAAGGAGACAAAGGTGGCTTTTTGTGTGCCTCAACCCTACAGCCCCACTGGCTACGTAGAGCCCTGCTATGGGTCAGCTCCATAAATTAAGCCGGTGAACAAATATGGGGAAAGCAAAATGGCTGTGAAACGTTTTCCTTGAAGCTGGATTCTTTCAATGGGTGTTCCAATGTGCTGTAAACCGCTTTGAGGTTTCTCTTTAAAATATGAAGCGATATAGAAATGGAACAAACAACAACAGCAACAACAAATTCAGTCGAGGAAAAAATGGCACCTAGACGTTCCATTGTGGCGACTGTAAAGGTAAAGGGTAAAGGGACCCCTGACCATTAGGTCCAGTCGTGGCCGACTCTGGGGTTGCGGTGCTCATCTCGCTTTACTGGCCGAGGGAGCCGGCGTTCACCTTCCGGGTCATGTGGCCAGCAGGACTAAGCCGCTTCTGGCAAACCAGAGCAGCGCATGAAAACGCCGTTTACCTTCCCACCAGAGCGGTACCTATTTATCTACTTGCACTTTGAGGTGCTTTCGAACTGCTTGGTTGGCAGGAGCAGGGACTGAGCAACGGGAGCTCACCCCGTCATTGCGGGGATTCGAACCACCGACCGTCTGATCGGCAAGTCCTAGGCTCTGTGGTTTAACCCACAGCGCCACCGTAACCTAGATTAAAAGCGCCATTTGGTGATTAGCTTATATATCTGAGTTTCCTGACACTGGCTAGATGGACCTCTCTCTCTCTCTCTTTCACCATATAAATATATCTCTGCCTAAGTAAGCTCCAAAACCAGCTCCTGCTCTCCACTGCCGCAGGGTAAGGCCAGCCTTGAATCACGCTCTCATTACTCATCCTGGCTGGCGGTGCTTGGCGTTCCAGCCCTCTGTACCACCGCGGCAAAGGATCAGAGTTCCACCCTCCCGTTCCAAACTCCACCCCGGGGAGCCAGAATCAGTGTGGGCTGAAGATGCTTCCCTGCCTGGAGCAGAATTTACTCACACTGCGCTCACTCTGTTAGGGCCAACTGCTTTAAACAATCTTGCCGCACCACCAAGGCATCAAACCCTGCCCATTAATCCTAGTGGCTGAAGCAGCCTTGTGCCGTGTTTCCGCAGAGTGGGAAAACTCTGGACTTTTCTTTTTCTAAATGCAGCATCTTACTCCAGCCAAAAAAAGGCTCCCAGAGCAGCTTACACACACCATCTATTAAAATAAGGCAGGCTACTTCCTTCCCATGGGACACGGGTGGTGCTGTGGGTTAAACCACAGAGGCTAGGGCTTGCCGATCAGAAGGTCGGTGGTTCAAATCCCTGCAACGGGGTGAGCTCCCGTTGCTCGGTCCCTGCTCCTGCCAACCTAGCAGTTCGAAAGCACCTCAAAGTGCAAGTAGATAAATAGGTACCGCTCCGGCGGGAAGGTAAACGGCGTTTCCGTGCGCTGCTCTGGTTCACCAGAAGCGGCTTAGTCCTGCTGGCCACATGACCCGGAATCTGTACGCCGGCTCCCTCAGCCAGTAAAGCGAGATGAGCGCTGCAAGCCCAGAGTCCTCCACAACTGGACCTAATGGTCAGGGGTCCCTTTACCTTTACCTTACTTCCTTTCCAGATGGAGTGAGCTCTGCTCCTCAGCTCTCCCACTGCCATCATCACCAGGTGGTGCCAAGGCTCAGGTCCAGTGCCCGAAATCTGCCAGGCACATTTCTCCAACGAGCGCAGGCCTGATGGCAACCATGTGGAGATCTCTGGATGCCAAGTTTGGCGACAGACATCTCCATCTGGCCAGTCCCTCCAGCTTTCTTAAGCAGCTCAGCGGAAGAGCTTTCTCGCTGCATAGATATCCCAACTTTTTCTGCAAGGAGAACACGGTTCACCCCCCTCCTCAGTTAATCCCTACAACGACCCTGAGAGGTAGGCTAAGAGGCTGCAACCGACTCAAAGGTCATTCAGCGAGCTTCGTGACGGAACGGGGATTCGAACCCTGATCTCCCAGTTCCTCGACTGACACTCTAACTAGCACACCTCACTGCCTTCCGAGAGCACTTCTGCTATGGGGCAGCTCTACAGACTAAGTGGGTAAATAAATATGGTGTCTCCTAAAATTCAGAAATTTGTTTCATCTCCTTTACATCTGATGGGAGGGCGTTCCATAGGGCAGGTGCCACCACCGGGGAGGCCCTCTGCCTGGTTCCCTGTAACCTCGTTTTTCGCAGAGGGGGAACCGCCAGAAGGCCCTTGGAGCTGGACCTCAGTGTCCAGGCTGGACCATGGGGGTGGCGATGCTCCTTCAGGTACACGGATCTTAAACAACCCGTTTTAAAACAGCTGTGCTGGTCGCCATTTTTTTCAAGGCGCTGACAAATGACTCGGGTCCCAAACACCTGAAAAGGCCTCCTACTTCCCGGAAGACCCTCTCGGGTGCTGAGGTTGGCAGAGCAGGCCCTCTTGGTAGTTCACCCTCCCTCAAAAGCTCAGGTGGGTTGCGGGCCAGGGAGGAGAGCCTTCTCTGCAGCAGCCCCTAAGCTGTGGGCCTCCCGCCGCACAGAGGTGAGCCTACAGCTTTCAGAGAATTCTGAAGATTCACCCCTTCACCCTGGTTTTCAGCACTTGAGGACCCACCAGGTTTTCATGGTTTTTGAGTTGTTTACAGTGGTGCCTCGCAAGACGAAATTAATCCGTTCCGCGAGTCTCTTCGTCTAGCGGTTTTTTCGTCTTGCGAAGCAACTCTATTAGCGGCTTAGTGGATTAGCGCTATTAGCGTTTTAGCGGCTATTAAAGGCTTAGCGACTTAGCTGCTAAAAGGCTATTAGCGGCTTAGCGGGTTAGAAAAAGGGGGGGGAAAGCGAAAAAAAATCTCAAGACTCGCAAGACATTTTCGTCTTGCGAAGCAAGCCCATAGGGAAATTCGTCCTGCGAAGCGCATCGAAAAACGGAAAACCCTTTCGTCTAGCGGGTTTTCCGTCTTGCGAGGCATTCGTCTTGCGGGGCACCACTGTACTTGTTTTTAACACTGTGTTCCTGCATGGCAATGGGCCCTGGGACCTCAGGGTGAGCAATAGATAACATTAATGCCACAGGTTTGACAGCGGAAAGACTTCGGGGGAAGAGAATGAAAGGACATCTGTGTACCAGGGGGAGGCCTTGAGATGTGCACATCAAACCAGGGCATGTTTCTAAAGCCTGTATCAAACACCAATCCTGTTATTACCGTGAACATGATTTGAATCCCAGCATCACCCACACGCAAAGAGGGTGAAGGTGGAGGGGAGAGAATAAACACTCTTGATTTATACAGCTTCATTGTCACATGCTGGTTAAAGGGTGTTACAAATGACTCACGGAGGGAGGGGTCCAGTTTTTAACCATGCTATTTTTAATTTGGGGGGGGCCCTGCGAGTTCTTTTATCGCCTGAGGCTATATTTTGCATCCGATGTGCTGCCGTTAACAGAGAAAGTAAGCAAGACGCCATTAAAGATGGGTTTTCTTTCCACTGATGAGGGTTGCATCTAAAAAAAAAAAAAGATTTCATTTATCCCTTCCATCCCCTCAAAAAAAGTGCCCCCTACACTGAGGTATTGATGGCCTCAAAGTCTGTTTAAATCCAACCAGATTAAATTGTTTAAGAGGCAACTGAGATATTTCTGAAACTGCCGATGGGCCTGGTTTTAAAACGCCTGCCTGCTGCCTCAAAGAGCAGTTCTCTCAACTCCAGGCATTTTGGAACATCTCCTCAGGGAGGGTGGCAAGAGGGCAGGCTCAGTTTTTTCCTGACTTTAAAAATAAATTCCAAACTGACCTGGCCAGGGGGAGAATCCTCCGAAGACACAGTCAGCAGGAGTAGAAATGGGGGTGGGGACAGCGCCAGAAACTCAGATATATAATCTATTTGCCAAATGGCACCTTAAACCCAGCTTACAGTAGCCGCGATAAATTGCCTAGGTGCTTTTAATGCAAATTATACTTATTGTTATTATTACTGTTCGTTTTATTTCCATATCGCTTCGTATTTTGAACAAATCACAAAGCGGTTTACAGCACGTGGAAACAAACTATCCAGAATAAAACAAATGCAAGCTCCAGGGGAAACATTTCAGATCCTTCTCTAAGTGACATTTTGCTTTCTCCAGTCGCCAACGAGGCATCCAGGGATCCCCACGTGGTTGCGACTGGGCACGCGCCAGTCGCAAAACGTGGCTGGCACCCGGTTAATTTCTAACACTGCGTCCGGGGAGGGGAGTGTCAGCTGGGTGGCGGTGGAGTGAAAAATAAGGGGGGGGGGGGGGAGCAAGTTTTAATTTATACAGGAAGGGAAGGAAGAGCAGAAATAGGTGTGGGTCTGAATTAGGGTCCCTTTTCTCTCCATTTACACAGGCGTTGCATTCTGTGGCCCCGCCCGTTTAATTCAAATCACATACAGTGGTACCTCTGGTTACGAACTTAATTCGTTCCAGAGGTCTGTTCTTATATATATACATGCCTTATGAGGAACGGCTAAGGGAGCTGGGCATGTTTAGCCTGGAGAAGAGGAGGTTAAGGGGTGATATGATAGCCATGTTCAAATATATAAAAGGATGTCACATAGAGGAGGGAGAAAGGTTGTTTTCTGCTGCTCCAGAGAAGCGGACACAGAGCAATGGATCCAAACTGCAAGAAAGAAGATTCCACCTAAACATTAGGAAGAACTTCCTGACAGTAAGAGCTGTTCGACAGTGGAATTTGCTGCCAAGGAGTGTGGTGGAGTCTCCTTCTTTGGAGGTCTTTAAGCAGAGGCTTGACAACCATATGTCAGGAGTGCTCTGATGGTGTTTCCTGCTTGGCAGGGGGTTGGACTTGATGGCCCTTGTGGTCTCTTCCAACTCTATGATTCTATGAATCTGAAACTGTTCTTAACCTGAGGTACCGCTTTAGCTAATGGGGCCTCCCGCCGCTGCACAATTTCTGTTCTCATCCTGAAGCAAAGTTCTTAACCTGAGGTACAGCAGTACCTTGGGTTATAGACGCTTCAGGTTACAGACTCCGCTAACCCAGAAATAGTACCTCGGGTTAAGAACTTTGCGTCAGGATGAGAACAGATATCGTGCGGCAGCCAGCGATGACTGGCAGAGAGGCTTCCTAGAGTTTTCCAACAGGGCTCTTTCAGAGTTCTGCCTAGAATTGAAGCTGGGACCCTCTGGGAATAAAGCAGATACTCTATGACATTTCTCCCACACCACCTGCAAATATAACTACTACCAATGAAAACTGAGCTGGATAGCTCAGTTGGTAAAGCATGAGAGTCTTAATCTCAGGGTTCATGAGTTCAAGTTCCACGGGCAAAAGATTCCTGCATTGCAGAGGGTTGGACTAGATGACACTTATGGGCCCTTTCCAACCCTACAATTCTACGATTCTACTAACACCTGATCACCTCATCTGTCTCCTGAGAAATCTCTATGTGGGACAAGAAGCTACAGTTAGAACTGGATATGGAACAACTGATTGGTTCAAAATTGGGAAAGGAGTACGGCAAGGCTGTATATTGTCTCCCTGCTTATTTAACTTATATGCAGAATTCATCATGCGAAAGGCTGGGCTGGATGAATCCCTAGCCGGAATTAAGATTGCCGGAAGAAATATCAACAACCTCAGATATGCAGGTGACACAACCTTGATGGCAGAAAGCGAGGAGGAATTAAAGAACCTTTTAATGAGGGTGAAAGAGGAGAGCGCAAAATACGGTCTGAAGCTCAACATCAAAAAAATGAAGATCATGGCCACTGGGCCCATCACCTCCTGGCAAATAGAAGGGGAAGAAATGGAGGCAGTGAGAGATTTTACTTTCTTGGGCTCCATGATCACTGCAGATGTTGACAGCAGCCACGAGAATTAAAAGACGCCTGCTCCTTGGGAGAAAGGCGATGGCAAACCTAGACAACATCTTAAAAAGCAGACACATCACCTTGCCAACAAAGGTCCGTATAGTAAAAGCCATGGTTTTCCCAGTAGTGATGTATGGAAGTGAGAGCTGGACCATAAAGAAGGCTGATCGCCGAAGAATTGATGCTTTTGAATTATGGTGCTGGAGGAGACTCTTGAGAGTCCCATGGACTGCAAGAAGATCAAACCTCTCCATTCTGAAGGAAATCAGCCCTGAGTGCTCACTGGAAGGACAGATCCTGAAGCTGAGGCTCCAATACTTTGGCCACCTCATGAGAAGAGAAGACTCCCTGGAAAAGACCCTGATGTTGGGAAAGATGGAGGGCACAAGGAGAAGGGGACGACGGAGAATGAGATGGTTGGATGGTGTTCTTGAAGCTACCAGCATGAGTTTGATCAAACTGCGGGAGGCAGTGGAGGACAGAAGTGCCTGGCGTGCTCTGGTCCATGGGGTCACGAAGAGTCGGACACGACTAAACGACTAAACGACAACAACTAACACTGCAAATAAGAGTCCCAGGATAGCCCCTCAACAAGCTTCGTGAATAATATTCCCTCGTTCCTTTCCCTGGTCACCGCCGCCAGGCACCCAGCGTTAATAATAATCAAGAAATAATATAAACTAATAGGGACGCGGGTGGCGCTGTGGGTTAAACCACAGGGCCTAGGACTTGCTGATCAGAAGGTCGGCGGTTCGAATCCCCGCGACGCAGTGAGCTCCCGTTGCTCGGTCCCTGCTCCTGCCAACCTAGCAGTTTGAAAGCACATCAAAGTGCAAGTAGATAAGTAGGTACCGCTCCAGCGGGAAGGTAAACGGCATTTCCGTGCGCTGCTCTGGTTCGCCAGAAGCGGCTTAGTCCTGCTGGCCACATGACCCGGAAGCTGTACGCCGGCTCCCTCGGCCAGTAAAGCGAGATGAGCGCCGCAACCCCAGAGTCGGCCGCGACTGGACCTAATGGTCAGGGGTCCCTTTACCTTTAATAGGAAGCTATCAAGTAATGACTGGGGTTCAAACCCCTACTCAGCCATGAAGCTCACTGGGCGACCCTGGCCCAATCAATGGCATTTCAGCCTAGTGTTGTTGAGGGGATTAAATGAGACGGGGAGAGGCATATATATGACACCCGGAGCTCCTTAGAGAAAAGGGTGGGACTGGAACAAACTCCCTTTACTTGGGTGCCAGTCCTGTTGGACTCAATGGGGCTTACATCTGAGTAGTCACATGAAGGGTGCGATCTCCTCTACTGGCCTGCGTCATGACTTGGCAACGCTTGACAGCTAATGGCTGTAATCCAAGCATGATGCAGCCTGTCACCCATCAGTTAATACCTGGGTCACTGCCACTATGAGTCATGCCAGCCGAGCAGGCCAAGTGAAATAAACGATAATTAAGACCCATAACATCCAGAGGTCTATCCTTGAGTAGGACTCAACACTGCCCATGACGGCTAATGCACTAGGTAATGGGTTGATTCCCACCCTAAGATGACGAGGGTGACTCCCCTCTAACCTATCCCACCCAGTGTTCGAAATTTGCCAGGGACCAGACACGTTTTGCACATGACGTTCGGCCTGGGAAGGCGCCGGGGTGTCAAGATGGCACCCGGCCATCTCCATCGTCTGGGGATCGTTGGGTCTCGGCTGTTTCCACATCCTAATACACCACCCTGTAGAAGCAGTTGTGTTTTATCTGCACAGCTGCAATGAATTTTAGAAACCGAAACGCTTTTTTCCATGCAACCCGAGTAGGAGCAGGAGCAGTTCAGGAAAAGAGGTTGGAGTATAGGCCCAATATATGATTGTCCCTGAATCAAGCGACTTTTCATCTTTTAAGTTCTCAAAGCTCTTCACCAGGGGTCAGCAAACTTTTTCAGCAGGGGGCCGGTCCACAGTCCCTCAGACCTTGTGGAGAGCCAGACTAGATTTTTTGGGGGGGGAAATGAACGAATTTCTGTGCCCCACAAATAACCGAGAGATGCATTTTAAATAAAAGGACACATTCTACTCATGTAAAAACACGCTGATTCCCGGACCATTTGCACTGAGAAGGCCATTGGGCCTGATCCAGCTCCCGGGCCTCAGTTTGCCTACCCATGCTCTTGATCTAGCTCAAAGCTGTCATCTGAACTGGCCAGATTAATTTAACTGAGAAGCAATCATTTGAACTAGCCCATCATTTGAAAAATGAGACTTGATAGAGCCATTGTGCCCAAAAATGGCAACTATGGTAGGTATTGCATTTTGGTGACTGCAACCTTTGTTTAAAGAGCCGTTTGGTGCCCCCATATTATTATTAATAAACAAGATTCGAAGCGTTAGGCTGGCAGTACTGATTCCTCCCTCCTCTTCCCCAAAGCACACCATATGACTATTACTTATTACTTTCCACGGTTAGCAGTAAACTAGAATTATGGTAACAGGATGATGATTTCCCCCTCAGCCACCCAGAGTGCACCATATTATTATTAATATTCTCAGTAATGTTATTAAATTCAAAGTACGGTATTGGGATGGTGCTGATCGCTGCCCCCCTCTCACCACCCCAAAATAGGTCAGATACTGATATTACTAATGTTAAGAATAAGTTAGAATTATAGTATTAGCATGACAGTATTCCCCCCCACATACATTTTAAGTAATGGCAATGGATAAAAATATTAATACTACTACTACTACTACTGCTGGGAACAATATTATTAACAAAAACCCAAATACATTTCAATTAACTACGGCAGTAATAATCCCGATAGCAACACCAGTAATTACAACAGCAACAATACAGTGGTGCCCCGCAAGACGAATGCCTCGCAAGACGAAAAACGCGCAAGACGAAAGAGTTTTCCATTTTTTGAGTCGTTCCGCAAGACGAATTTCCCTATGGGCTCGCTTCGCAAGACGAAATGTCTTGCGAGTTCTTGCGAGTTTGTTTCCTTTTTCTTAAAGCCGCTAAGCCGCTAATAGCCGTGCTTCGCAAGACGAAAAAACCGCAAGACGAAGAGACTCGCGGAACGGATTAATTTCGTCTTGCGAGGCACCACTGTAACAGTAACTGGTATGGCTTCAAATAGGATGCTGAGATTCCTGCATTGCAGGGGGCTGACTAGATGACCGCTGGGGGTAC